GTGTAGAACAATCCTGGAGATGGGCTACTTTTGTTGGGTCTTGATGAGTGTCTGACATATGGCTGTGAAACCACACCAGTCTCCTCATCACCCTCCAGTGCAGACCTCTTCTCATCAGTCTCCTCTCCTGCTACCTGTAATCTGCTCCTCGGCTTCTCCTTCCTGTTCATCATTTGTGCTAGGTGATGTGACAGGAAAAAGCAGATATGTCAATTCAGGAAAGTTCAGGAGGGCTCTTATTTCTTCTTCTGACCTCTCAAAAAAATATATCGCAGTTCCTCTCTTGGCAGCTGTCCTGTGTTCATCGAAATGAACCACATGTCTTGTGCTGACCTTTCCAGTATTCAAGTCAATTGCTCTGTCACCTTTGCTCCAGTAGCATATCCAATCATAATTGTCTGTCCTGATCTGGAGTCTAACTTGTGTCTATTCTCCTTGAGTACAAAGGCATAGCAATACAAGTGGTGGCCATTTCACACGGGGGGGGGGTTTCCATTCGTCCCTCCCCCATGTGTGTTGGTGGCGCAAATAAGCATTTCATCCCCCGTTCTGCCCTCTTCCGGGTCCAAAAGGACCCGCATGTCTGCGATCACGTGTCAGTTGGACACACCTAAAATGTTCACTGCCTGTACTGCCAGATACATGTTTGTGTGACATACTTGGCACTCTTCCATGTCAAAGTTCTAAAGCTGTGCATGTACTTCTCTTGGTTGGCAATCTGTTGTGGAGATATATTGCAGGGGCTACCACATCTCCCCACATTTGTTTGGGAAGGCCAGGGTCACTCGGCATGCACTTTGTCATCTCCATAAGAGATCTAAACTTTCTCTCAGTGACTGAGCTTTGTTGAAGGGTGTGTAAAACACTCCCCACTTGTGTGTAATCCCCTCTTCATCCACAAGAGATTTCATGTGGCTCAAGGTAAACTCACCTTCACTGTCACTGACCAAAGTTGTGGGTTTCCTCTGAAGCTTATTGCTCACCGTGGTGATGTGTTTTCTGAACTGTACAGTTTCACTTTTCTCCTTTAGAAAGTACACATTGCAATACCTTGAGAAATCATCCAGAAAAATTAGTATGTATTTATACTTCCCTAGGGAGGGAACATTAAGTGGGCCATACACCTCAGTGCATACTACATCTTGCAGTCTGGTGCTTCAGTAAATGGAGGGAAATAAACTTTAACACTCTTCTCAGTGATACAGCTTATGCACTTGGTTGTGACTGGTGCATTTTGGTTTACCTTCATCCCTGTTGCAAGCTCCTTGCATTGCAGTTCAGTTGTGGGACATACAGTGGTACCTCGGGTTACAGATGCTTCAGGTTACAGACTCCGCTAATCCAGAAATAGTACCTCGGGTTAAGAACTTTGCTTCAGGATGAGAACAGAAATCGTGCTCCAGCGGTGCAGCAGCAGCGGGAGGCCCCATTAGCTAAAGTGGGGCTTCAGGTTAAGAACAGTTTCAGGTTAAGAACGGACCTCCGGAATGAATTAAGTTCTTAACCCGAGGTACCACTGTATAGGATTTGATGCACGTGATTTTCTTTCAATTGATTGCTAAGTTTGCAGTTTAAGGTTCCTGGACCTATACCACATCTCTTTATGGTTTCACCATATGCAATTTGAATCCGCTGACTGGGTGACATGGTCAATGCTGCCAAATAAATCTTCATCATAACTCATATATGAAGAACATCCAGAATCAATTAACCGTTTGTTTGATTTTGCATCACAACAGTTTAGAGTTAGATTCTTCTCATGCAAGGGGGTGAAAGGGGAGGATGCTGTGGGCCATGGAAAAGTTCCAACACTGGATGGAACTCTGGTTGCTGGGCAGAAGAGGCCAGGAGGCAGCAGTGCTGTGATGAGGTTCCCTTGCTGGGGCCCTTTGCTGTCAGTGATGCCTATTTGGTTTTGTGTCGAAAGGTGATGTGGTGTGCCCTGTTGTGTAGCACCTGCCTTGTGTCTTTAGGCCTTTTAAACAGGGCAGTTTAAAGAGAAAGACAAGGGGGGGGCTCCTGGAACCTTTTGCCAGGATGTGGCCCAATAGCACATCTGCTCAGGAGGAGGAGAGATGTCGATGCCCTTAGAAGAATCAGGACTACAGCAGCTATATTTAGATGAGAGAAGCCCTAGCTCAGCCTGGCCTGGAATGCGTTGAGGTTGCTGTGGAAATCGTGCATCGCAACATATCCTTGAAGAAGCATTGTGGGGGGGGGGGATCCAAAGAACTCTGCTGTTGGAGAGTTGCACCAGGCGAGGTCAACAGCAGAAGAGCCATTGAGCTGAAGAGGTTCAGGTGTTCTCTGCCACTCTTCTTCTGAACTCCTCCATCATTGTCATGACATATGAGACATGCTGCAGAGTTCTACATCAGATATTGGTGGGAGGGGGGGTTCTTTTTGTTTGCTTTTTAACCAGCTGCAGCCTCAGGAGGCTGCCAAGCTGAGTGGCGGAAGAAGAGGCAGGAGGGGTTATTCAAACTGTTCCCTTTCTGCTGTTGAGGAATTCAGAACTGTCTTTGCACTGTTGCATTTCTCCCTTTGGCGGGGGATGGGTCATAGAGGAACCACTGTCCCTTGCAACTGAATAATGTGTCTAGTTTTTGAGCAGAATTGCAATGGTAGACAAGATTGCGCTGCCTCCCTCCCCGCTCTTGGGTGCAGCCTCAGAGGCTGCTTTTCAGCTAGACACAGAAGCTGGTGGGGGCAAAGAAGCACTTCACACCCTCCTGTCTACACTACATCATGTGTGCTCCCACCATTGGCTTGGGAAGCAGGGTACACACAATGTGGGCCACAATCCATATTGTTTCAAAAGTTAGGTGCCGCCCCATTCTCTGCTGAGCAATAGCAAGATTCTAGGGGGTTCCAGGCACTCACCCAGGTTCTGTGTTTCTTTGGAGAATGGAAACACAGTGGAGACTGTTGTAGCTTTAAGAAATATGATTTATTCACATATTTACGCCTTCAGTCTGCACGGGGGAGCCCATCTCTTACAATATGGTCATTTCAAGAGGGGCTTGTTCCCCACAGCAGTGCAGCACTGGAGTCAAAGTCATCTTTCCCAGCCAGTCTTCAGCCAGCCTGCCCAAGATGGATCCTGGTCTTTGTTCTCCCTTCTTCTTCCCAGTACACCTTGCTAAAAACACTCCTACCCTGTAACCTCAAACATGCACCCTATCACCATGGCAATCTCAGGTGTGGCACTTGCTTGGAATTAAACTTAGCCTGTATTTTTCCATGGGCCTCCAATCTTTGCTTCAATACTCCAAATAACAAGAGTTGCCATGTGTCCTCTTTTTCTAGGACATGTCCTTTTTTTCAGGGGTAAAATTTCTGCCCAGGTGGTTTTTTTTAATTTGCAAAAATGTCTCTGGCTATACTTTCTGGATGAGACATCGACATAACCGGTGGTTGAAGACTTGCTTTCCTTTTCTCTTCTCCTGCCCCCAACATATATATCACAGTTTCTAAAGCCTACATATAGTAGGGGTATTTAAAATGAGAGCCATTATAGTGTCCTCTTTTTTTCTCTTCAAAATATGACAACTTTAAAATAATCAAAATCCTACTATTTATTAATTTCTAGGGTCTAGGGGGGGTCCCCCCAATCTATAACAATAGCTATCCTGTTGTTTCTTACAAAATGCTGTGTTTTGATGCATTTTCCCCACAACCAGCTACAATCCGAATTGAGAAGAAGAGTGATCTAGCTGTGGTTTTGTTTAAGCTCACATAAATGCTTTCATATTATCATGCGGCTCTGATACCTTAGCACTCTCTCCTCATTGCTTTTTGCACATAGTGTAAAAAATAAAGAATAAATGGAGATAAGAAATGGCAGGGTGCATTAGACACCATTGCAATGATCATTATAAGTGTTATTATTAGTTTTATTCATGTACCAGTTTTATCTTCCAAGGATCTCAATGTGGTGTGCATGGTTGCATTAGCAGCACCAAGGCTGGGGTGCAAGCCTAGGCAGTGTGTATTTGAGGTCCTGGGATACCCAGATGATAATACCACACACACACACCAGCCTCACTTATGTGATCCAAAGGAAAGCAATATGTTTGGCACCAGCTTGGCTGCAGGAATTCCCAGAAGGAGGCATACAAGGCTCCATCCAACTGACCCAGGAACTCTACTCTGGATTTGTGGAGGGTTTACTCCTTAGACTTGTCTTCTCCCGAGGATATTCCACATGGCGGCAGAGGTTTAGGATCAGAATATTCCTTTTTCTAGATGGGCTACCTTCCCAGGTTGATGAGCCTCAACTGCCCCTCACTTCCCTCTACAGCATGTGCAAAAACCGCCTTCTTGACCGATGGACCACATATTGGTCTCATCCGCTCAATCCACCAGAGCCTGTCTTTGCACATAACTCACTGAGGGTTTGAGACCCATACCCTCACCTGATTTAGCCGGCCAGTCAAAGCAATTCCCTGGGTGTGGTTGCTGTCACATGCTGGCAGCTTTTAGGAGCCACAGGAGAGAGCTGGCTGGATTGTAATTAACCATATACAGTGGTACCTCGGGTTAAGTACTTAATTCGTTCCGGAGGTCTGCTCTTAACCTGAAACTGTTCTTAACCTGAAGCACCACTTTAGCTAATGGGGCCTCCCGCTGCTGCCGCGCCACCGGAGCACAATTTCTGTTCTCATCCTGAAGCAAAGTTCTTATCCTAAGGTACTATTTCTAGGTTAGCGGAGTCTGTAACCTGAAGTGTATGTAACCCAAGGTACCACTGTATAGGAAAGAGTCGCATCTGTTGCTGTGACCCTTTTTTTGCCACCTTTGCCCTACCCACCTCCCGCATGTGGCCACAGAAGGTTGTCCAAAAGAGGATGCGTCCCTTGGCTAGAGTAAGAGAGGAGCAAAGCAATCTGCTTCATACTGTGTCAGTCTGTTGGTCCATTTAGTGCAGTGTTCCCTACACTGACTGGCAGCAATGTCCCTCTAGGTTTCCAGATACAATCTTTCCCAGCCCTTCCTGGAGATGCCACTGGGGATTGAACCTGGGACCTTCTGCATGCCAAGCAGCTGCTCTGCCACTGAGCTTCCTGCCGCCCTTTCCCTCTCTAGAGCATTTGCTTTAGCCTGTGCTTGGAGGCCAGCAGTTTTGTGGGGCCATGTTGCTGGATTTTGGATTCCAGGACGTCCTGGCAAGAGTGGAAGCCAGAGGCAGAACGGACGGCACTCAGCATTTCCTTATTTATTTTCCAACTTACTTGGTTCTGTCTCTGGCCTTAGAGAACATCCCTTGTTTCCTAGGAGACTGCAGGGAAGGAGAGTAGATGAACTGCGAAAACTCTTTTGCGGTGCTCGAAGCCGCCCTGATGAAAATTAACACAAATACAGTAAATGCCAAGGGAGGCTAAAAATAGCCTCTGTGCCAAGCCCCATTCTGCTCCTGTCCATGTCAGCTTGGCATCTGAAATGCAGCAAAGTCTGCGGGGGGGGGGGGAGCTTCCAGGGCTGGTGGGTGGCCTGGATTCTAAGGGGCTGTTCTGGGGCAGGTGCCTTCCATGGGCATGTGTCCATCATGCCCCTTGCTTTCTCTCTCACAAATGCTGGTCCATGGTCTTGCTGCAAAGGTTCAGCATTGGCACCTCTTAGAGACAGGAAGGTGGTGGTGGGGGATAGAAAGTAGCTGCCCCAAACCATTTGCTCATCATAGTGCCTCTGGAGGGGAAATCTAGGTGAGTTCCCATGTCCCAAACGGCAGGGCCGGCATCTGCTGTCCCCACTACTGCCGCCCCCTTCCCCACAGCCAGCCCATGCAAGCCAGACCACAAAAAGCAGCCAGGTGCACTGCAGAAAATGAGCCAGGAAGGAAGAGGCATTGAATCATAGGGTTGGAAGGGATCTGAAGGGTCATCTAGATCAACCCCCTGCAATGGCATTGCTGTAGTTTGGAAGTGGCTGGCGGTCTCTCCTAGGGCCCTCTGGCCTCTTCCCTTGGCAAAGCGAGGAGGGAGTGGCTGTGACCTGCTTTCTCCTCTCCTTCAGGGCAGACTACCTACCAGCAGAAGTTGATTAATAAATTGATGGTAACAACAACAACAGCAGCAGCAACAACAACAACAACAACAAACCAAGAACAACTGGCCCAATAATGCTGCAAAACCGTATCTAATCTGTCATGGCTTTCATGCTTTTGCCTGCTAGAAAATGTTTTCCATGGACTTTCCCCATAATAAATTTGTAACCTTTGGAGTTAGTCCTCTGCTTTCTGTGTCTTCTGTGTAACAACGCCAGGATGAGTTAGTGATATTTGGCAACCTTGCAGTGGAATGCAGCTGGCTGTCTTTAGGAGTAATAGCTCTTCTCTTTGTTTTTATAGCATTATTTCACCGTTAACTTCAACCATGAAAACCAGAAAACCCTGGAGCTGAGGACAGAAGATGCTAAAGACTGTGATGAATGGGTAGCAGCCATTAGCCATGCCAGGTAAGTCCTCCTCCTTTTCTCAGTGGCCCCGTGGAACATGAATCCTGCTGGGGCAAGGTGTCTTGGGATGGAGGGCTGGGCTGGCATGTGTCAGGTCAGGTGCAAGAGGCCACTGACCATGTTAATTCTGCTGGGGGAGAGAGAGTGGGAGAGGGAGCCAGTAAGAGGCCTTATTTCTGGTCACCCTTGCTGAGCAATGGCTCATAAGTACTAGTAGTACTGTAGTATTATTAGTATTAGTATTAGTAGTAGTAGTAGTAGTAATATAATATATTTACCGGTATTTCCCCAGCCACTCTGGGTGGCTCCCAACATAATATTAAAAACACGATAAAACAGAAGAAACCATATAAGAGGAAATCAGCCCCTCTGGGCTGCTTACAGAGAAAAAGTTGACAATGAGCAATGCTTGGGCTGACTCTGGAATTGTAAAGAAGCACAGGACTTTGCTCCATGCCTAGAATTCAGCATCCTAACAACCTCAGAATTTGTTGTTGGGTTTTTGTTTTGAGTTTTGCGTTCCACATCTCATGGCTGCAAACAGGGCTGGCCCAAGACATTTTGCTGCTTGAGGCAAAACAGAAAATGGCAGGAGCCCCCCCCCTCCTCTGCTGCCACCTGAGGCGACTGGAGGCAGCCCAGGGAAGCCCCAGCACACTGAATGTGGGGGAGAGAAAAAAAGGAGGCAAGAGGGGAGCAGGCAGTGGCTGCAGGCAACAAGCACAGGAGACAGCGAGCAGCACAGTCCTTGGGCTCCAGATCAGCCGCCCCCTCCCAGCTGTGCCCAGCCTGCCTCCCAAGGACAAGGCCTTGTCAAAGCCCTGGTTGCAAAGATAAGCATCAGTGTGTGTAGTCAGTGCCAGGTAGGAGCAGGAAGCGGGGGGGGGGCATCTGGAGAAGGCTCGGGGTGTTAAGGGAGTGTCCTTGCTCTCCTTCCCCGTTGCCCATAGAACTGCAAGAAACAGCCTCAAACAAGCAGGTGTGCCGTGCAGAATGGGAACACCTACACTTCCAGGCATCAGTTTGCTTTATCTGGGGTGGAAGGTGGGATGCCTTTTTGCAGCAGAGAGGATGCTTTGTGGCCTTGCTGACAGAAGGCTGAGGGAGGGTGTCCCCCCCCCCCCGGCCTTCTCAAAATGTGCTGGGCAGCAGCTGGGCAGACTTAGGAGTTGGAGAGGATGTTGCATCAGATATTTTTTTCTCTACTCTTAATGCTGCCTCTGCACCTGGGAGGCTGCCAGTTGCCACAGCCAGAGATAAGAATTCATCCTTGACATTTGCGTTTTAATTCCATTCCCTTTCTTTTAACATTCAATTCATTTTCCTGGAAAGGCTGCTTTTAACCAAGCAGGGAAACAAAGAGGCGACTCCCCCACCCAACTCACATGTAAAATATTGTGGGCCAGATCCTTCCACGAATATTTGAATTCATAGAACTCGTTGAATGGGATTAAATGGCAGTACAGCCCTCAACATCTTTACTCAGAAATAAACCATGCTGAGTTCAATTCGGCTTTACCTGTGTGATTGCACCCTGTGTTTCCCAACCAAAGTCACTGCCAGCTTGGAAGGAGCTTGGCCATTCCTAATCGCCTGCAGTCCAAACCCATATATAGGTCTACTCAGAGGCTTCAATGAGACATATTCCCAGGTTAGTAGATATAGGATACCAGCCTTACCTGTCCTTTAGTACCAGGTCAGTCCGACTGGCGCTCATCTCGCTATATTGGCTGAGGGAGCCAGCATACAGCTTCCGGGTCATGTGGCCAGCATGACTAAGCTGCTTCTGGCGAACCAGAGCAGCGCATGGAAATGCCGTTTACCTTCCCACCTATTTATCTACTTGCACTTTGACGTGCTTTCGAACTGCTAGGTTGGCAGGAGCAAGGACCAAGCAGGAGCAAGGATCAAGCTCACCCCGTCACGGGGATTCGAACCGCCGACCTTCTGATCGGCAAGTCCTAGGCTCTGTGGTTTAACCCACAGAGCCACCCGTGTCCCTAAGCCTGGTATAGCAGGACATGAATCTGCCTTCTTGATGGGAATGAAAAGGTCTTAAAGGTCTTCATAATGGTTGCCAGAGATTTTGCAGAATCTCTCGCTGATCCTTGTGGGCTCATAGAGTTGATCCATGTGACCCCAAGCTGGCACAGAGCACATGGAAAATGGCGAGAGCATCACAGCTGATCACACAGTGGAAGAAACCACTGTCCAATTGCTCCAGCGTGTAGCCAGATCAATTATGATCCCTGTCTTCTGCTAAAAATTGATATGGCTGCAAGGCAGATCAAGCTGCAAACATGCCTGGTGTCTGTGGACAGCAGGAGCATAGTTTGAGATTGGCATGTGCTCAGGGCCTCTTTGGGGTCATGTGGGTTGACCTCTATATGTGGCCCACTGGGTAACAGTGGCAGAGTGCAAGCTTGGGAACTGGACATGGAATCTTCAGATAATCACTTCTTAGCTGTTATTACTCACAAGCTGAATATGGGAAGCCAGCCTTCCCCAGTCTCCTCTGGTCCTGATGTTTTGAACCAGAACACCCATCAGCCTCAGCTTTGCAGCTGCTGTGGCTGGGGCTGATGGGAGTCAGTAGTGCCAGCTTGGGTGCCCGGGCCGTGAGTGCCATGCAGCATGCATGATATTGGCACCAAAATTTGTGGGTGCTGGGCACCTTCATGGGGAATTTTGTGGGTGCTCGGTCACCCAGAGCCCCAGGGAGTTGGCACCTATGATGGGAGTTGTAGTCCAAGATTTCTGGAGGGCATTAAGTTGGGAAACGGCTGCTCTAAAATGTTTGGATAAAAAGAATGGCTGGAGCTTGATGGGAATGATCAATCAGAATGATCAAATTCAAGCCAAGCAGTGGCAGGGAAAGTTCATGCTCTGAACTGTAGCAGCAGAGTCGTGCCATTCCCTTTCCCCCATGATGAATGCAGTTATCACTTGATGGCTTCTCGGGTCGGCTCTCTCTCTCTCTCCCCCATAGGAATTTCTAATTGTGTTGGCAGCAGACACGGCTTGAGGAAGCCACCATGAGTAGCAAGATCCACCCCAATGACAGCATTTAGGGCAGCACGTGGACCTGATCCCCCAAGTTTTCCATTGTTGTTGGTGGTCATGAGTGCCCAACCTGGTGGGTGGGTGGGAGATGCAGAGCAGGCAGGAAAAGCAACAGAAGGGGAGGAAATGTCTTAACAACTCTGTCTATATAACAGTTATAGGACTCTTGCTACAGAGCATGAAGCTTTAATGCAGAAGTACCTCCATTTACTTCAGATTGTGGAAACGGAGAAAACAGTTGCCAAGCAACTCAGGCAACAAATTGAAGATGGAGAAATAGAGACTGAGCGCCTGAAATCTGAGGTAAAAACATGCTGATTATGCAAAGGGCAAAGGAGCCTGTGCGGTTGGTCCTTGTAGGCTGCATTCAGACATGCATCATGCCAGGAGAAATGTACCCCCTTCCTCTCAGTGGAGTTGGTTTTTTTTGCCAGCAATGGGAAGGACCCTTTGGGGTATTTGATGGCACACGATGGGCTGTTTTTGCTGCTCTCTGACTTCCAATTTGCTTTTAGGCGAATTGTATACTTTGCCTATTTTGATTTTACTATGTTTATGGACTGTTTGCATTTGTGTAGCAGTATTTATTTAGTTGGTTATAAAAAAATGTACCTATATCGCTTTTTACAAAAAAATAATAATATGAAAGCAGTTCACAACAGCAAAAAGTAAGATAAAACCATACCATAAAAGCATAAAAGGTTAAAAACAAGGAAGTTTAAAACCAAGATCATTAACCCATTTTGCAGGACTCTTAATTGCCTGAATAGGCCTGGTGTAATTGAAAATTTTCAGCAGGCATTTAAAGGTTGGCACAGAAGGTGCCTGTTGAATCTCCACAGAGTCTGACAGGACTGGGCCAATGACTTGGTTTCCACTGCTGTCAAATGAGCATCACCAACTCTGGGAATGAATAATGACACTCCTGCAAATGATCTCGTGACCGAGCTGGAAGAGAAATATTCAGATGATGCCTAAGGTACCCTGGACCTAAGTTGTTCAGGGGTTTTTTAAATGAATACAAGAATGTGGATTCATTGTTGCTATTTCTTTGGTTTAAAACTTTATCTAGTTTGTAAATATCTCTGTAAGTCACTTTGGGCTGTTTTGAGAGAGGTGAATTGTTAAGCAATTTAATAAATAACCATAACCGTAATGCAAAGGAAAGCCATCAGAAAGGTGGCATGTTCTAGAGTTGAAGAGATTTGTAGCATTCCAGGTGAAAATGCCATGGTAACCAGATTCACACATGCACAGGCTGGGACTGAACCTGTGTCCTGCTTCTGTATGGAAAAACCTGTGTCTGAATGGTGTTTTGAAAACCAAGTCTCTGGGCTGAAGTGTTTACCCTTTGACAAGAGACTACTTGAAGTTCCACTAGTTACTTAGTGCTGGCTGTGCAGGAGACATTAGTACCTTAAGCACAGCAATATTCATCTGGAAGGGGGTTGAGTAAGATACTGTCGGTTGGGCAAGTTATGGTGTTCAACGAATTTTAGAAGCGATGCCTAGAAGACCCCTAATCTGAAAACTTGGTTTCTTCTAGCAGTAGCAGACCTTGCCACAGGCATGACTGCTATGGGTCAAGTCATCCTTGTAAGTCTCAGCCTGGAGGTCACAATATGAGGAATGGTTAAGGATGTTGGACATATTTAGTCTGGAGAAGAGAAGACTGAGAGGTGACATGATAGCCATATTCAAATACCTGAAGGGCTGTCCCATGGAAGACCGAGCTGCTCCAGAGGGGAGGATCCAAACCAATAGATTCAAATGGCAAGAAATGAGTTTCCAACTAAACATAAGGAAGAATAATTCCATGGTTGTAATAATATTAGGATGAAGGAAGAGCAGAAGCTGTACATTGTATAGTTTTTAAAAATCGAGCAACGAGTAATCCAAGAACTATCAATATGTTGGTGCATAATTAGTCTGCCTCTGTGCTTAAATTCTTAGTGTTGTACTTTCTGCTGTTCCCCTCAACAACACCCCACTACCCTTTGAAGCGCAGATCAAATGACATTTTCCTTTAATGTGCAAATTTTGCTTACTGGATTTTGAAAGGGAAAAGCAGCTCTTTCTGCTGTGTAAAAGATTTATCAGCAGACCAGCCAGGAACTCTCCCTGCTTGCAGAGGAGTCATTTCAGCTATTAGCATGGCTAATATCAGAAGTGAGTCCATTTTGTTCTGAATATGATCTGTTTGATAATGCCTAATTATGAATAAATTGCACACTGTGTTAAAGTCAGTGGTTTGGTTGGTAGGTTTATGGGGACAAGATTGTCACTGAAAGGACAAGGTCCACCAGTTGTAATTATTTATTATTGTTTATTTGTTGCTTTTTCTTTTCTTTTCTTTTCTTTTTCCTCAAAAGTGAAATTCAAACTGACTTGCAAAAATGAACATTAGAAACAAGGATAAAGCAACTTAAAATACACAAGTAATATAGAAAAGATAAGCAGAAAATTAAGATCCTAAGACTTTGGGGGACTAAAAACACAGTGATAGCTCCCGGCATGGCTCCCTGGGGAGAGCATTCCACAAGCAGGGAGCCACCACTGACAAGGCCTGTTCTTGTGTTGCTGTCCTCTGCCCCTTCCTTGGAGGGAGCACATGGAGAAGGGCCTCATGTGGGGAATTCAGAATCTGGGTTGGTTCATGTGGGAAGAGGTGGTCTTTGAAGTATGGGGGTGTTGAGCTACATAAGGCTTTATTGGTCAAAATCAGCACTTGGAATAGGGCCCAGAAACTACTTGGTAGCCAGTGCAGTCAAGCCAGGATTGGTGTAATGTGCTCAGAACCTCTTGTACCAGTGAGAAACCTGGCCGCGGAATTCAGCATCAGCCACAATTTCCCAACCATTTTCAATGGCAGCCCCACATATAAAGCATTGCAGTAATCTAGCTGAGCAATTGCCAGAGCATTGAAAACAGGAGTGTCTCCACCTCCATCATTGAGCCTGGACCCGGAAGTCCAGCTGCGAGAGCCCCCTGGCAGTTCCCTCACTGCGAGAAGTGAAGTTACGGGGAACGAGGCAGCGGGCCTTCTTGGTAGTGGCACCCACCCTGTGGATCACCCTCCTGTCAAATGTCAAGGAAATAAAAAACTATTTTACTTGGGAGACATCTGAAGGCAGCCCTGTATTGGGAAGTTTTTAATGTTTGATGTTTTATTATGTTTAGGAAGCTATCCAGAGTGGCTTGGGCAACCCAGAGCAGGGTACAAATGAAAAAATATTATTATTAATAACAGAAGTTAGGCTATCCCTCTCCAGACAGGGGTGTAGCTGGGCCACCAGCCAAAGCTGACAGAGGGCACTTTGTGCCACTTGAAGTCAATTGAGCCTTAAGTGACAGTAATGAATCCACAAGGCTACACACCTGCTCCTTCAGAGCAGAACAGACCAAATCCCACCCTTCCTCTCAGCTACTTAGAATAATAGAATTGTAGAGTTGGAAAGGACCCCAAGGGTCATTTAGTCCAACCCCTGCGACGCAGGAATCACAGCTAAAGAATGCCCGACAGGTGGCTATCCAACCTCTGTATAGAAACCTCCCGCAAAGAAGAGGACTTGCCACAGGGCCACAGTTTGAAGGACATGCTGCGGGGGGGAGACCATGTTGGGCTCAGGGGTGCACCAGATGTGCACATTCTCTGAGCCCAGTTCTTTCCCATGAACATCTGCATTTTGCTTGCACTCCTTCTCCCCCCTATTCAGATGAATGGGACTGAGCCTTTTGTGTCTTCTGTGTTCCTGCACATGAATTATAATAGTTTGATAATGGAACAAAGACTCTCTCTCCCAAGGCATGCACACTGTACATTTGAAACACATCACACCCCAAAGAATCATGGGAACTGTAGTCTTCTCAGGGTGCTGAGCTCTGTGAGGTGCAAACTAGAGTTCCCAGGATTCTTTGTGGGGAGGCATCTGCCTTTAGATGTGTTTATATGCTGCCTGAAGAGTGGGACAGAGAGGGGTTGCATTGCCAGGCAGAAGTCTCCCAGGAGGTACTTAATGGACACCCCACCCCCTTTTAGGCCTAGGAAGAGGTCCCTACTTTTTCTCTAGCCCCTCAACTCCACCACAACCCTGATCTCTGGGAGCGGAGCGGGGGCGGCCTTTTAAAAATAAGCAAGCCTCCTGCATAACTCAGGATCCTCACACCCACCTGCCCCCTTTCCCTGTTTTGCTGCCCAGAGCACCCATATGCGGCATGCGGCATGACACTTAAAAAGAGGGGGTGTGATGTTTAAAAATACCAGGGCTCTAATGGAGGCTGCTCTGTATCTCGTTGCTAGGGGCAACCTCAGGATGTTAAACTGAATGGCATCAGCTTCGAAGGGACAATGCTTTCGTGCATCTCTGATTTGTTGTTGTTGTGATGTCACTTCCCCAGAGCCAATCTTGCTTCTACGCCTCCCAGTTCATTTGCATGCTTGAATTTGATTTGTTTAGGAGTTTTCTTTGCATGGAAATAGACATTTTACATCTCCGTCTTTCAGTTCATACAAGGAGTGTTTGCACCAAAACATTGTTCTGGTGAGCTGCCAGGGCATGACCTCAGCTAAGAGGCCGAGGGGTTGAAAAAGCAGCAGGGAGCATCCAAGACAAGGAGCCTCCCTTCTGACTTCAGTTGTACTTCATGTGCACCCTGCATTTGTTTATGCATCCCATTTTTGAACATTTGAAAATGTGCAACAAGTTAACGGATGCAAGATAAAGAAGAATGAGGCTTCTGGGTGCAACTGGCGGATCAGTCTGGCCCAGGAGGTTGTCTGAGGTGCGCAATTCAAGCTGATTGACCTTTATGGATATTGGGAATATTTTCCTGGGAATCCAAACCAACCTCAGCCTTGACTCTGACCGGCAGTATTATGACAGACCACATTGCAGAGCTGTAGTAAGCTAGAAAGTAGATAGAGAAAAAAGATTTCTCCCTCTCTCACAACTTGTGGACACCCAATGAAGCTGAATGCTAGAAGATTTGGGACAGATCAAAGAAAATATTGCCAGAAACTACAGGAGGGGAGAAGGCTCTTGGGCTTGGATCCTGCTTGTGGGTGTCCTACAAACACCTGGTTGTCCACTGTGAGAACAGGATGCTGGACTGGATTGTCCATTGAGGTTTGACTGTTTTAGCTTTGGGGTTGGCATTATCTGGGCCAACTTTTAAATGTTTCGTTCTAAATAAGAACTGAGTTAGAAAGGGCCAACCATCAGGAAGCTCTTGGCTCTGCTGCTATCTTTTAGACTTTTTTGGAAGGTGGGATACTGATGCCCGGTCTCAGCTGCATTAAAATCTTGGAGTTTTACTGTGGTTTTCAAGGACTGCTTGCACTGCCATTGATTGATGCATTGAGAAACAGCTTCTCAGTCTGAATCAGGAAATAACACCTTCTGACAACAGAATGGTCTGCTCTGTACTTCTTGCTATCCACACACCATACCTTTAAAGCACTAGTATACCCCTTTGATAGTTTGGAGGATCCTGGGAACTGTGGTTGATTAAGGGTGCCTGGAATGGTCACCTTGTGAGGTCAGCACCAATAACAACCTACAATTCCCAGGATTATCCATGACTGGGTGTCAGATTCCTCTTCCTGCTGTCCTTTCTGAATAACTCCATTCCATCCCCCCTTTTTTCCTTCCAGTGGCTCAACATTCCATGTTGTTGAGTTATTCTGGATCCTTCTCTCTCTTGGTTTTTCTCTCTAGAGATTTTCTGGAGCATTTGCAAATCTCAGGGTTACTCTGAGTCTGCCAATACCTTTCTCTTTTGCGTGGGTGGTGCGGTTTGGGCTACAGAAGCATGAACACAGAAAGACATTAATCAGATTGGGGGGGGGAATGATATTTATACAGTAGGCTAATTAATTCAGAGTAAGTCACAATTTTACATCTACATCACCAACGCATGTGTTTTCCTTTACCTAACTGATGGTGATTCAGCTTCCAAGCAACACAGTTCCAAATTTGCCTTCGGAAAGTAACCATCCTTTAAAAAAACAAAAACATTTATATGAAATAATACTGAGAATGCTGCCACAACAGCAGTAAGAATACTTATTGCAAAGTATTGGAAGACACAAGATTTACCCACTCTGGAAGAATGGCAGATGAAGGTGATGGACTATATGGAACTGGCGGAAATGACTGGCAGAATCTGAGACCAGGGAGAAGAGTCGGTGGAAGAAGATTGGAAGAAATTTAAAGACTATTTACAGAAATACTGCAAAATTAATGAATGTTAGAATGATGTCAGAATGAAGTTAAGTGGTTTTAGCATTAATGTTATAAAGGTGTATGTAAAAATGGATTGTTAACAGGTGAAAATCCAAAGTTATAATATGTTAAGTTAAAGGATTAAGACAAAAACAAAGAGGGAAAGGAATTGCTGAATTAACTAACAGAACTGGAATACAAAAAAGGGAGGTGTGAGGAGGTCAGGGAAGTAAGGAAATGAAATGTAAGGCATGGAAAGACTGATGTGTTTTTTTTTCTTTTCTCTTTTTATTTATGTAATCCTTTCTTTGAAACTTTAATACATATCATTAAAAAAAAAAGAGAATGCTATCGGCTCCCTGCCCCAGTCCCCAAGAGACAGCCCTGAACAGGAGGGATTTGGCTGTGTCAACTGAAAGTAAAGGGCAGGAGGCCTGGCTACCTGGCACAGATATTGCCATCTTCTCAGTCAAAAAGTGAAGAGCTGAGGCAGCAGGTCACAAGGCAGGTGGGGAAGGAGGCTGGTGGGTTGTGCCATGTCAAAGAGGTCCTGCCTCCTCTTAGGACCAGATCAAAGCCCTCATAGCAGGATGGGCAAGCCTGAAAACCAAACAGGGGGCACGTTATTCTCCTCACAATAACCCTACAAAGCAATATAGGTAGGCTGCAAGAGAGTGACTGGGAGGCGCTTAGCCACTAATCTTCAACACCATCACAGACACACACGACCATCACTGTGCTGTCAACCCCCTTCCCCTCCAGGGCCAGTGTCCTCCCCCCTGGTCCCCATCTGTACCTTACAAAAAGTGGAGGCAGGGGCCTCCTTCCTTCCTTCCTTCCTTCCTTCCTTCCTTCCTTCCTTCCTTCCTTCCTTCCTTCCTTTCTTCCCTGCATTGCAAGGAGTTGGACTACAGGGTGCTTTGGGTTCCTTCCAACTCTACATTTCTATTTATTCTTTCCTTCCAGGGTGGCTGTGCATCTTGCAAAAGGCATTGCTAGGGGGACTTGTGTCATCCGCCCTCTGAGCTGGCCTGTGGCATTGTGTTTGGATTGGAAGCACATCCTGCCACCCTGAGATCAAAGTTTTTAAAAGACGTTCTAAACTCTTTAAAAGGGAGAGGAGGGCAGGGGAATTGGGGCCCAGGGGAAAAGATGGAATGGGGAGTTTGAGATCCTGGAGCCAAAACTCGACAATGCCCCTGAAGCCAAGTCACCTTGTGGGGAATGGGTGAAGGTGTGTGTGTGTGTGTGTGTGTGTGTGTGTGTGTGTGTTCAGCCTGGAAAAGCAAAGGGAAGGTGCAACCATCCCATGGGCGTAGTCAGGATTTTTGGTAGGGAAGGCAGGACTGGGGGGGGGCAGAACTGACATGATTGGTCAGTTAGTTACCGGTAAGTATTTCTATTGTTTTACTTGATCTGGGGGGGGGCAGTTGCCCCCTGCGCCCCCTCCGGCTATACCCATGACTCAAATGGATACAAGCAGCAGTAAGTGGAGGCAACCTCCTCTCCTCCACCGCCGCCACCCCGGGCTGCTCCACAAGGTGGAAATTGCATGAAGCAGTTTTCGGTGAAGCCTTAAAAGGCATTTCCTGATGGTAAGAGCAGTTGACCGTGGGAAGGGGGCCTATTTGGAGGGGGGAGCAGGCATGTAAGCAGAACAAGAGAGCCACTTCTGAGGAATGATGTCAGGAACGTCCCTTCCCTGAGCGACAGCGAGTGCTCCAAGGATCAAAGGGGGTGGCAGGCAGAAAGTGACAGAAGCTTGCTTTCTTCACATGCAGAGAGTAAGGCAAGCCCTGCTCGTCCTGGAATGCAAGTTGTAAATTCCCAGGACAGTGAAAGGCAAGCAGTAGGGCAGCAGCTTTCAGGTACACTCTCAGGGAAGGAGGGGCAAACTAGACAATCTGCTCATGAGTCTCCTCGTACTGGAAGGATGAGCAGAGCTCAGGCTTGGCGTCAGGCCAACAGAAGGCGGAGCAGATGGCGTATATCCTGTTGGGAAAGAGCCCACCTTCCAGTGGGCTCAACTCACCCATCGAGTGAGGAAGATTGAGCTGTGTGCTCGGACTGAACTACTGTGTAAATACCAATACAGTGGTACCTCGGGTTACAAACGTTTCAGGTTACAAACGCTTCAGGTTACAAACTCTGCTAACCCAGAAGTAGTTGCTCTGGGTTGAGAACTTTGCCCCAGGATGAGAACGGAAATCGCGCGCCGGTGGTGCAGCGGCAGCAGGAGACCCCATTAGCGAAAGTGCGCCTCAGGTTAAGAACGGTTTCGGGTTAAGAATGCACCTCCAGAACAAATTAAGTTCATAACCCGAGGTACCACTGTCAATCTGAAAGTTATAAAACCGCCAGCCTGCTGTCTCTTGGTGAGGGAGGGAGATTGTAAATCCTGACAAATGGTGTCATGGCAGAGTTTGCGCAGGGTGGGGAGTTGAGCCAAGTGACCTCTATGATCTTGTCTAGTTCTAGGATGAGTTTGTAAGTACTGTGAGGAGTGAGGGGTAGGCCCTTTGTTACAGTTTTTAGAAGGCTGCCATGCAGTGGCTTACCAGAAGTCAAGGCATGTCGAGGTGAGGCGGCTACCGGAACTTGTATTAGGGGACCCCCCTTTGATCCCCCCACATTAACCTAAGTACTGGCCTTTGGGGATCTCATTCAAACCATTTCATTGAAGTGATATCTTGTACTGGACCAACTGATATAAGAGGATGTAAGCCAGGCATAGGCAAACTCGGACCTCCAGGTGTTTTGGGACTACAACTCCCATCATTCCTAGCTAACAGGACCAGTGGTCAGGGATGATGGGAGTTGTAGTCCCAAAACATCTGGGCGTTTGCCTATGCCTGATGTAAGCTTTTGAGCTGCACAGGGCTCTTCATCAGAGAAGTTTTGTGGAATTCACCCTATATTAACATCAAGTGGTTCGGTAAAAAAAATCAAATACTTTGTGTGTGCCTCCTGCAATAATATGGAAGAAAATGTAAAAGGACTGTATGAGTTTATTATTGCCTGCCAGGGAAAGGGCCTTTTCAGTGGTGTCCCTCCAGCTTATGGAATACTTTCTGAGAAGGCTCAACTGGTGCCTATGTTAGGCGTTTCTTTTGACACCAGGTGAAGACTGTTTGCTCTTTTAAAATCCTATGTTTTTATTTCTTATAACTCTTTCCTCACTCTTTTTGGGGGGGGCGTGTTTTACTGATTTTATGCTGTTGGGTGCTTTTACGCTGCTGTTTGTTAATTGTGCTGGCAATGCTTGTAAATATTGATTGTTTTTAGCACTGTTGCATTTGAATTTCATTGATTTTAATTCATGAGCCGCCCAGAGGACACAGTTGATTGGGTGGCATAGAAATGCCCAAATCGAAATAAATCTGTGATGGAAGCTCCCCCATGGAATTCCAGGGAGTTCCGCACATCTTGCTAGAAGTGCATCTCTCACTGGCTGGGCGCCTTCATCATGATGGCCTCCCTGAGTGAAGCTGGCTTGTTACCATGTCAGTCCTTTCACCTTTACTTCTCTGTTTACTGTCTGCTCCCAGATTGCAGCCTTACTCAAAGACAATGAGCGCATCCAGTCCAATCAGACCAATGCACCCAACGACGATGACAGTGACATCAAGAAGATCAAGAAGGTAGGCTCTGGTGTTTTAGAGAGCTTGGTCTCTGGTCCAGCCTTCCAGATGTTTTGGACTCCCATCAGCCTCGGCCAGCACAGGCTGGCAGAAGTTAGAGTCCAAAACATCTGTCATAATTGAGGAGCAAGAGCTTTATTATAGCCAGTAGGTGGTGGTAAAGTGTCCTCTTCTGTGCTTTGCAATGCCATTAACCTCCAGGAAGGAGAGCAAACTTTCTGGCTAGGCTGGTGCTTGTGGTTTGCAACACCTGGATGGTACCAGAGAATGGGGAAGTCAATGTCTCTGTGTGCTGTTGTGTTCTGTGCTTCTCTGTGTGGTAGGAAGGCCCAGGTGATGTCTTTGTCACAGTGATATTGACACACAAATGTGAGGATATTCCTGAGGGATGGAAACAGGCACCCAGGAAGTCATTGTCTGGATCACAGCCACTGCAGGCCAGATACCCCCAGATCTCTCCACCAGCTCTCCCACAAAAAACATTGGTGGGGGGTGGGGACAAAGAAAAATGCACAGCTCCTGGCTGGGAAGAAGGATTGCCCCCCCCCCATCTGCATTGGCTTCTAAATAGTTTGGGTCTCTGATCCTTAATGCCTCTGAGTGGTCTTGCTTCTCCTTCTCCTTATCTGCTGATAAGACCCTGCTCCACATTCCAGTAAAATGAAGCACAGTTAGTGGGGAGGTAAGACAGGGACTTTGAGTTTGTGGCACTTGGGAGGCTCACCTTCCTCCTGTGTGATCATATTTGGCTTTTCAGAGATTAATAAAGGCTCTTTTATTCAATCCACTCTTCAGTCCGCGCTGACTCTGCACCCAGAAATTAGTTACTGCTTCTCTTTGTATACTGTTTTGGCTGCTGTGTTTTTATCTTTATAATATTACTTTATTGTACTGAAAATGTGACCGAATGCTGTTTTGTGGACTTTGGGAAAAAATAAAAAATAATCATCCAGTGAATTTTGAAAATAAATAAACTCATCCTCTCCTCAGAGCTCCTGGTTCACAAGATGCAGGGTGGCTAATCGCTGGACTACTCTTCAATCTCCATCTATAAAAGGAGACTTCCCAGTGAACCATTTCAAGGGTGCTCATGGTGGGAGGGCCTCCATTTTGGACTCCTACAGATTCCCTGGGCTCTTATGCACACCGTATTCCCCATAGACCATGGCGGATTACCTTTGCTATGGATTAGTTGAGGGAGATTGGCCAGGAAGCAGATACAAAATGTTTGCTTGCTTAAATTGATATTTTAATGCCACTTTTGGCTCTGCAAAGAGTCCCTAAAGCAGCTTGCAGAAAAAGACAAGTAAAAGCAATAAAATCAAACAAGGAAAATAAAACACTGACTTGTTATATGTCTAGACACCATTGCTCACTAAAACAGAGCAGCAAAAGGACTCAGTTTACTGGGCCAGATAACAGTAGTGCTGGCTGCAAAAGGACCACATAGGAACACAGGAAGCTGCCTTATAGCAAATCAGAACCATTGGTCCATTTTGATCAATATTGGCTACACTGACTGGCAGCGGCTTCCCAGGATTTCAGGTAGGAGTTTCTTCCAACTCTAGCTAGAGATGCCCGTGGGGATTGAACCTAGAAACTTCTGCTTGCAAGGCAGATGCTGTACCACTGAGCTATGGCCCTTCCCCTTTTTACTATTCTTTTAGAGGTGGAGAAGAAGGGACCTTCCCAAGGGAGGGTATATTGGAGCCAAGAAGGCCCCACAGGTGTGCCAAGGCACTTTTGCCCACAGCACTGTCAGGCTGTGAACCTGAACTTTCGGAGGGAGGGAAGGGGTGCTGCTCTATCCAGAGCACGCTGACTGCCCATTCCTGGGTTAGGCTTCAACTGCCCCCAACATTTGCCTTGTCTGTAGGGAAAAGGTTCCAGTCCAACACAACCTCCAGATTCCAAGTGCCTCCTTGTCTTATGATGGAAAAAAGGATGGGGTGGGTGGAGATCTGAGTGGATGTCATCTACATACTGATGGTGATCCTGCTCTCCAGCTCCCCAGATGATCTCTTCCAGCAGCTTCAGGTTGATGTTAAAGCAACACGGGGGCGGGAGATGGGGGGAGATGAATTCCTGCAGAAGGAACCCTGGCTACTTACATTTGGCAGGCTCTGGTGTTTCCTGGATTCTCGCTAAAGAATCTCCAGGCTTCAGTTTGTTTCTTCATCCTTGCCCTTTCCTTGCAGTTGGAGGTTCACCCACACAAAAACCTCCCTCGCCTCTCAGATGGAAATCTTGCATTGATTTACGTCGTAGGACCTGCAGCGTTTCATGCTGCCTGTCACCCAGGAGATTCCAAGCAGGGGAGCGGGGGAACCACCCTGTCGTTTCTTCATTGAGCTTAGGAAACACAAAGGCGTCACTTGGAGCTCATTAAGAGGCTGTAGTTTCTGGGCTGCTTGAGGGCCCCCTATACCTGCCCACACGGTTGGTGAGACCTAGTGCAGACTGCCACCTCTCCATGATGTGTGGGGAGGTGTCTGGGAGTGGGGAGCAAATAGGTCCCCTCTTATAGGTCCAGGTGAAGGCTACAGCAGCCAACCCAATCCTGGAAACTTTTGGTACCCAGATGAAAGACTCGATGAGGACAAGGCTATGACTCCTTTCTCATGAGAGAACCCCTGATACTGGGAGAACTCCTGGTACTGAATTGGGGCCCTCTCAACAGGGTGGGCACAGCCGTGAAACCATCCTTGGGCTCAGAGGATGAGTTCCCTGTGCCAAATGTCTATCTTCTCAGCCTTGCAGAAATCAAAGATGGCAAAACCCGGTAGGGGACCAAGGTGGAACAAGCCACATTACAGACCTTGTCAGCCTACAGAAGACTTCCATTGGGTCTAGCTCCCTGTTGGAGGCAGCAGTGCTTCTGAATGCCAGTTGCTGGAAACCATAAGAGAGGAGAGTGCTAGTGTGCTCAAATCCCACTTGCAGGCTTTCCACTGGGGCATCTGGTTGGCTGCTGTGAGAATAGGATGCTGGACTAGATGGGCCAGGCTCTCCTTATGTTCTGACTAAGTAGGGGATCCTCAACTAGCAATGCTCATTTGGAGCTGTCCGAGGTCCTGATTTTATCTTCCTTCTGTGACAGAGCTTCTGACCAATCTTCACTGGCTTGATCTGATTTTGCATCCTATGACTTGCATCCGGCTATTTTGGCCAGCCTCTGCCTGCCTTGCCTTGACTTCACCAGATACCATCTCCTTCCCCCATGTGCCTCAAGTTCCCATAGAACAGAATACCAGGCCAATGTGGCCTGCAGTTCAGGGAAGGGCATATAGAACCTGCTTTGCATGCAGAAAATCCCAGGTTCAATCCTCAGTGGCTGCTCTAGTTAAAAGGCCCAGGTAGTTAGGGATGGGAAGCCCTGCTGGACTCTCCAGAGAGCCACTGCCAGCGAGAGTCAACAATACTGGGCTTGAAAGGCGTATTAATGTGTTGTAATTGGTGTTTCAATCTGCTCTTATTTATGTATTGCGTTATCTGTAGCAAATGTTTCTGTGTATATACCCTTTGGTGCCAGTGCGTGACGGTGCTTAGAGACATATCAAAGCCTTTCCTGAGAGTGGGATTGGCATGCTAGGTACAAGTGCAAACATAGAGTATATATACAATATTTACACTTCCAAAATCCAAGGCCCTGGGGGCAATCTGCCTGAGCTTTACGCACCGATCCAGAAGTGTTTCTGTTTCCACCAAGATTTATATAGGGTCTGGTTGTGGGTTTCCCAGCAGAGAAGGGAAGTGACCTCATGCATGCTCAGAGGCACTCTTTTGTTTCATAGGAACCCCCAGCCACTGGAACACATTCTGAATCCAAAATAGATTAATGCCCTGCAATTCTGTGTTTTAATAGGTACCTGTGTGCACATAGATATTAAATACACCATATAATAATAAACAGAAGAGCAGTCAGTGAAGGGCACTATCTAATCTCAGGGAAATAATTGAAGCTTTATAAATACAGAAGGGACCGATAGATCTGTTCTAGCCCCTACAAAATGAGACTGATGAATCTCTTTGCAGAGCTGGGATGGGTGTGATGAAATCTTGCTGGGATCTTCCTTGCGCCAATTTGAAAGCTCCATGCCGAATGGTCACCTAGTACTTCTCCCTGTTGCTTTGTGTGATCACCTTATGAAACTTCTTGTCTTTTATCAGGTCCAGAGCTTTTTACGAGGCTGGTTGTGCAGGAGGAAATGGAAGACCATCATCCAAGACTACATCCGCTCACCTCATGCGGACAGCATGCGGAAGAGGAACCAGGTGGTCTTCAGCATGCTGGAAGCTGAGGCAGAGTATGTTCAGCAGCTGCACATCCTGGTCAACAACTTCCTGCGCCCACTGAGGATGGCTGCCAGCTCCAAGAAGCCCCCTATCACCCACGACGATGTCAGCAGCATCTTCTTGAACAGGTGAGTAGGGGCCACTTCTGGCTATATCTGGCTCAAGGAAAGCAACGTGGTATTCCAGGGTTTAAAACAACAACAACAACAACAACAACAGAAGCTAATAGCCCCACAGTTATTTGTTTTGCTTGGGTGTGTTAGATTTATACCCTGCCTTTCAACTTTTCAAAAAGTCTGCTTGGTGGCTTATAACCAGATTTAGTGTGTTTTATTTTACTTTTGCAAGCGTAACAAAAAAGGGCTTTGGGGAGCCTGTTGCTAAAAACTCTAGGACAACAAAAACGGTTTCTTATTTAAGAGCTGGAAACCAGCCAGTGAGAGGCTATTGAACCATGAAATGCAGGAAGCTGAATTAATTCTTTGTGTCTGACTTCACCACAGAAAATGTAGAGGAGATTCTTCTAGCAGAACTGATTCCCCCCACCCCCCACCGGTCAGGGAGGGAGGCTGAAAAATTGAGTCAAGTAGAGGTGACAGGATGAAGTTCTGGGTCTTGCCAGCAAATTAGCAAGTAACAAATCACCAGGGTGATCTAGTAGACATAATATGCTTGGACACATGAAAGGCTTTAAAAAATGGCAGGATCAGAGAATGTGTCTCTGGTCCTCAAGAATTTTCCAGACTACAACTCTCATCATCATCATCTTTGTCCATTGGCCATGGTGGCTTCTGGGACTGCTTGAATTTGGAGTCTAACAACATTTGGAGGACCACAGATGTAAAAAATAAATAAAATGTATTTATTTAACCACTTATATCCCACCTTTCTTCCAAAGAGCTCAAGGTGGCATAAATGGCTCTCTTCCTCCCCATTTTGTCCCCACAACAACGTTGTGAGGTAGTTTAGGTGGGCTGAGTGCAGATTCGAAGCCTAGACTCCCAGGTCCTAGTCCAACCCTCCAACCACTACACCATTCCTGGCTCTCATGTTTCCCCCCACCCCATGTCATAAGTTATGCAAGCACTGGACAGTGTGTGCACAGTCAGGCAAGGGGGATGTCCCAAGTGCAGGATCCTTCGCCACCTTCCAGCAGTGACTTGCAAGGAACCTGCCGGCCACCCAAGTTGTTCATGCAGCAACTGCCGCATTTCTGGTTGAATGCAGCCCCCTCTAAAGGTGCATCTGGAAAGAAAGTGCAGGTGTGTCAGTCAGGACTTGGGTGTGTGCTAGATATGCTCTCTCTAACACACACTAACACACACACACACACACACCACTTTCTAAAAATACTTCCTACAGGGTGGGCTTTGTTTCCACAGAAAGGAGGGCACAGGCCAAATTAGCTTCCAACTCTGGTGAATTAGAACAAATGGAGCCCTGGGCTAAATTCTGCCAGGACTGAGCTCTCGCTGCACCCCAAATCCAGGCACCAGCAGCTCCTGTTTTTGCTCGCAGCTGAAATCGCCTGGCCTGTTGCTCAGCGCTCCCCCTCCCAGACTGTTTCTGTTGTTATAGCTACTGGTGCATTAGATCATTCCTAGCAGGGGTAGATGCCAAGCCTGGCATTCAGCAGTAGGCAGGCTTCACAAGCTCCTCACCATCCTATTAAGCACTAATGGAGCCTTCAGATAGGCATAGCAAGGGGCTGTGCAAATGCACCGCCAGGGGCCTCCTCCAGTGCTGGAACTGGGATGGCCAGATCCTGCCCTGCAGTAGCCCATGAGGAAGGATTCTGGCCTGGCAGGCTGGACCACCTCATCAAGAGAGCAGCCTTCCTCCTAGTGCCTGGATCATTTCCTGCCTCATCTGGCCCCAAGCTCCATTAACTCCTTCCTCCACCTTTCTGACCTTGTCAAGCCCTGTTAGCAGGGCACACATCTCCAAGTCTGTGTGTATCTCTGTGTGCCCTCAGGCATGCTCCAGTTTTCCAAAGAATCCCCAGTTTCTACTACGATGGCACTTTAAAACTCCACATTGCAGCTCCAGAACACATCCTTCTCGATCAGTGCTATACCTTGTGGCTGTACTAAAACATACCTCCCAAACATGCATTCCTAGGACTCTGTTGTTTTCCTGTACTCTGTGGTGACCCCCAGCGGACTTAGGCTGCATAGACACCATGCTTTTAAAGTGCACTTGGAGCACATTCTTTTCCTCAAAGAATTGTGGGCCCTGTAGTTTACCCCACACCGCTTTTTAATTTCCAGCAACCCTTAACAAACTATAGCTCCCAGAAATCTTTGAGATGGGGAAAATGTGCTTCAGATCATGGGACCTGTAGTTTAAGGGTGCTGAGAATTGCAGCTCTGTTAGGAGAAATGACAGGGATGAGGGTGGTTCTGTGGGTTAAACCACAGAGCCTAGGACTTGTCGATCAGAAGGTCGGTGGTTCGAATCCCTGCAACGGGGTGAGCTCCTGTTGCTCAGTCCCAGCTCCTGCCAACCTAGCAGTTCGAAAGCACGTCAAAGTGCAAGTAGATAAATAGGTACCGCTCTGGTGGGAAGGTAAATGGCATTTCCGTGCGCTGCTCTGGTTCGCCAGAATCAGCTTAGTCATGCTGGTCACATGACCCAGAAGCTGTACGCCGGCTCCCTCAGCCAATAAAGCAAGATGAACGCCGCAACCCCAGAGTCAGCCACGACTGGACCTAATGGTCAGGGGTCCCTTTACCTTTACTTTTAAGGAGAAATGACAGTTCGTATGATTATTGGTGGGTGAGTGTGCATTAAACATACAGTATAGTTTGGATGCAGGGCGAGTATCTGTGAGCTACCTTCCTCACTGGATAAGTGCTTGAACATCTGCCATGGATGGCATCACCAGAAATGCAACAGAGCAGTTTGTTCTTGCCACCTTCCCACAAGGCAGGATAATTGCTTGGCTGGTATCCATACTTCCACGTGTCCTGCAGATTGACAGCAGTCTGCCCATCCTAGTCCCTCTGTGGCTGAAGAATCCCTTCCTCTCTCCCAGGAGTGCAGGGATCATTAGTGGGAATGAATGGACAGCAGAAGTGATGCTTCAGTTTGAAGGAAGAGGGCAATGTTCACTTTGGGCTGCTGTTGAAATATTTTACTGGCTGCCAGATTCTTCTGCTGAAAGTCAGGGGCTGGTGAGAACCAGTATCAGATGAAAGGCGTTATTGGTTATCTCTTCCCACCTGCCCCCCCCCTTTTTGTATGAAGACACCTGTGCCCAGACAAAGCACATGGAAAGATGTGCACAGGTGTTCTGAGCTGTGTGAAGCAAGACCAGGTGTTATGTACTGAAGTTCTCACCCTGGGCCAGCAGGGGGATACTGTAGATAGTTCAGGTCCACATATGCAAATAAGGGATCAAAAGTGACGTTCAGTGATTGGATAGTTATAGAAAGTTGTTACAGTTACGTTGTACTGGAGCTCTATATAAGCAGGCTGGCTGAACCCTTCAGTTCAGTTCTGTTCTGGCCTGTGAATGAACAAGAGCTGTTTGAAGAATCGCTGTGTCGTCTGATATGTTCACCCACAACTTAACACCAGGCTTGTCCGAATGGAAGGAGGCCAGCAGCGCCCAGTTGAGCAGGTTTGCTGAAGAAGATACAAATCTGTGTTGCGACTACCATGTATATTTCTGGCCACCTCACCTCGAAAAGGATATTGTAGAGTTGGAAAAGGTTCAGAAAGGGGCAGCCTAACTGATCGGGGGGGGGGGGGGGGGTTAAATGCAGAAAGGTTGTGGCATTTGGAACTTTTTAGTTTAGAGAAAAGGGGAGTGAGAAGCAACATGATAGAAGTTTATAAAATTATGCCTGACGTGAAGAAAGTGGATAGAGAAAAGTTTTCCTCCCTCTCTCATAACACTAGAAGTCCTATGTTTGCAGAGAATAAAAGGTTCATTCTTAAGAACTGAGCACTCACTCCTCATACTTTTTGAACCCTGGGAGCACCAGGAGGATGTCTCACAATGGCTCCCCCGTCTGATTCATTTTCTTTTCTCTTTCAGTGAAACGATCATGTTTTTACACCAGATCTTTTACCAGGGCCTGAAAGCACGCATCTCCAGCTGGCCAACCTTGGTGCTAGGTGAGTGTTACTCTTTGCTCTTTGTTCTCTTCCTGGTTTAACAGGAGGGCAAGCGTCAACCACAACAAAATGTTGCCGCACAGAGTTGCTCCTATTCAGCCACGACCTCTCCTCGGATGCTGCACTCCATGCCCTCACAACAACCAGCCAATATCCTGTGCCCGCTAGGGTCCAGGGTAGAGTCAACAGGGGCTGGCTGTATCTCCTACACCCTCCTCTTCTCACTGTCGCCTGTTTGCTCACAGCTGACCTCTTTGACATCCTGTTGCCGATGCTCAACATCTACCAGGAGTTTGTCCGGAACCACCAGTACAGCCTGCAGATCCTGGCTCACTGCAAGCAGAACAGGGATTTCGACAAGCTGCTGAAGCACTATGAGGCCAAGCCGGACTGCGAGGAGCGGACGCTGGAAACTTTCCTGACATACCCCATGTTCCAGGTGTGGGAGGAAGCAGCAGGGGTCTGTCACAAGGGGGTGCCCAAGACAGCCTCTCTCTCCTTGCCCAAGTGCAAGGAGAAATTCCAGTGTAGATCCCTGGTGCCAGGGATGCCAACTTGAATAAAATATTGGGGGGCCCAGGTAAACCCCACCCGCATAATTGATCAAAAATATTTTATTGGGGGTGTGGATCTGAAGCAGTGGCATGCAGTGAAATTTTTCATAGGGGAACAGTTAGGGCCAGAGGCGCTAGGTTGCGAAGAGGATGGGGGGTTGAAGTCATGCATGTGACATTGTGGCATCCTGATGTCACGCACGTGAGCATCACGCTTGCCTCCCTAAACCAGTCAGAAGATTCCCAGGCTTTGCAAAGGCAGTACCAGGGCTCTGACAGGATGCTGGAGCCCTTCTGCCTCATTCCAAAAGCTGGATGGGCTTTGGGAAGATGGCAGGATGGATCTTAAACCCATCACAGCCTTGCACCTCCCTCCCTAAGCCAGGCAGAAGCTTCCTGGGCTTTGGGAAGGAGGCACCAGTGGAACATTTAGGGGACTAGTCACTAGCCTAGTCCCCTTAGTCCAATAACCGCACACCCCTCAGTCCCTAGGAGCTGACTCTTATGCCTGTTGCTGGGAAGGAACAGAACTGCAGGGTGTCTTTTTAAAGCCTGGCTCTTTCTGAATCAGGTCTCTTAAGTACCCTATTAACATTTGAAGAGATTTGCAGGGTATTTGTGACAAGCTGGTTTAGGGCAGATCAGGCCATTGCTCTTGGGGTGGCCATTTGGGGTGGAGAGCCTCACTTTTTGAGCAATGGGGCCCAATACATTTTGCCCACCCCCAACACAAAAAAGAGGCCTGAGTGAACTAGAGCCACCTTGCCTCACCTGGTGCTCTCCGGACATTTTGGACCAATGCCAATGCCATTTTGGATGTTCTGCCAGTGGCCATGCTGAGCTTCCCCCACTTATTCTCAACAGCTATGGGGATTCTAGGGCAGCTCCAAAAAAAATGCATAAACCAAATAGCTTGGATGGAAGATCCCCAGAATTTCTTCCTGCTGCTTCCAGGTCTTACCTGTGGACTTTTCTGCATTGCATGGAATTGTTCTTCCCCCCTCTCTCACCTGTCTCTTCTTCGCCCAGATCCCCAGGTACATCTTGACGCTGCACGAGCTCCTGGCTCACACGCCCCACGAGCATGTGGAGAGGAACAGCCTGGACTACGCCAAGTCCAAGTTGGAGGAGCTCTCCAGGTGGGGAGATTTGGGAGTTCAGGCTGTAGGGTGGAGGGTGTGGTGTGTTGAATTTTGGGCTCAAATTTTGCCATGAGGTTCTGGTTCTGGAAGGCGAGAATGTAGCCGGGTGCTACGTGACTGTATGTGCACCCCCGAATACTCGCCGCCATCCATGGAGAGAGCTCCCCACAGCACGCTTAGCTCAGCGCCTTAATGAATGCTGAACTTCTCACATTTTTGTATAATTATCACATTGGGGAAAACAAGCCTCCATCTGTACTCCAGCAGAGACACCGTGTTCAGGATGTGTGAAGGGCAGGATGACAAGGCAGCATATGCTATTTTAGAAAATGCTGAGAAGGGAAAACACACATCCCCGAGGAGAAGTTTCAAGCTTGCTTGAGAAACTTCAAAGGCGTGCTGGTCTCGGAGAGACTCCCCGTCTTCGGTTAGACCCAGGACTCTTCCACTGGCCAAGGCCTGGCCACATGGGCCAGCTGGTGGGAAAGGGGCTCTTGTTGGGTCAGGCAGAGGAATCATAGAATCATAGAACTGTAGAGCTGGAAGGGATCCAAAGGTCTAGTCCAGCCCAGTACAATGGGGGGTGGGGAGGTGTGAGCATCCTGCCATCTCCTCCCTCCAGCTTAAGTGATGGGGACCAGCTCTACCATTAGGCAGAGGGAGAGAGCTGCCTCAGGTGGCAGGTGCTGGGAATGTGGGGACTGGCTGAGAGGCCTTAGAATCATAGAACCAGAGAGTCATAGACTTGGAAGGGACCCGAAGATCCATCTAGTCTAACCACCTGCAACGCAGGAACCCTTGGTAACCCACATGGGCTGCCTGCCATCCTCTACTAAGCTGCCCTCAGGGGCACTGGAGGGTGTTGTCATGTCACCCATCTTGAAATAAGATTCAGCTTATAGAATCCAGTCCAATGAACTTCTGTCCATGGAATGGGAGGGGTGCCATTTTGTCCTTCACCTCAGGCAGATGAATGGCTGAAGAATGGTCCAGCGAGTGACCTCCCCTCTTCCCGAATGGCCTTTCTGTTCTCCTTGGGGTGGAGAGAAGGCACAGAGAACAGCCGCCTCCCCTGAAAACCAGCTTTTCTGTCAACCCTTCACCACAAATGGCTTAAACTGGTGGAATGCTTGCTACACTTGGAACTATGCTGAATGCTAACTCTGTGCCAGGAGCTGTTATCCCCCCCCCCCACCATCTATGGGTCCATTTTCTGGACTAGGGGTGGGGAAATAAAATCAGCTGTAGCCGTCCCAATGCAGTTGGCGTTTTGCTGACCTTTTTCCTCTTCCCGTAGGATAATGCACGACGAAGTGAGCGAGACAGAAAACATTCGGAAGAACTTGGCAATTGAAAGGATGATAATCGAGGGGTGTGAAATCTTGCTGGATACCAGCCAGACATTTGTCAGACAAGGTAGCTTCCCTGCAGAGGAGAGACAGAGTGGCCTTTTCTAGCCTCTCAGCACAGCACCATTTCCAGGCCATTGCTACCCAGTCACCCCTTTGGTCGGGGCAGACCATGATGGTGCCCTCCAGATGCCGTTGAACTCCAACTCCCATCATTCCCCTGAGCACTGGCTGTGTTAGAAATCATTTGTAGAGTTGGAAGGGACCCCAAGGGCCACATAGCCCAACACCTTGCAATGCAGGAATCATAGCTAAATAATCCATGACAGGTGGCCACCCAAACCCTGCTGAAAAGCCTCCACTGAAGGAGAGTCCACCAACTTCCCAGGTGGTCCATTCCATTGCAAAACAGCTCTTGCCATCAAAAAAGATATTTAATGATAGCTATCACACCACCTTTCAAGTCTCCTCTTCTCCAGGCTAAACATATCCAGCTCTCTCAACCATTCCTCATAAGGCTTGGTTTCCAGACCCTTGGTCATCATATTCACCCTCCCCTGCACACATTCCAGCTTTTCAATACAGTGGTACCTCAGTTTATGAACTTAATGCGTTCCGGAAGTCCGTTCTTAAACCAAAACCGTTCTTACACCGAGGCGTGCTTTCTCTAATGAGGCCTCCCACCACCGGTGCCCTTCCACCATTCGGATTCCATTCTTAGACCGAGGTAAAGTTCTCAAACCGGGACACTATTTCTGGTTTTGCAGAGTTGGTAAACCAAATTGTTCTTAAACCGGACTGTTCTTAAACCGAGGTACCACTTTATCCTCCTTAAATTGTGATGCCCAGAATGGGACACAAGACTTCTGTGGACGCAGCCTAGAATTGCATTAGCTTGGGGGGGGGCGGGTTGCTAATTAGATGTTGTCTGGGACTGATGGGATTCCTAGAGCACTACAGGTTGGCTCCCCCTACTCTTGAGGAGCCCTCCTCTTCTGTTGGGGAGTGAGAGGGGACGATCCAGTCCAGGGCCAAGCTAATGACTCTTGCCTGCTGCCCCAGCCTGTCTCCTGACTGTGGTGCCTGGGAAGGAAGAATGGCATGTGCCCAGCCCCTGTGACCTGGTGTTTTTCCTCCTCCTCCAAGGTTCCCTCATCCAAGTGCCGATGTCCGAGAAGGGGAAGATCACGCGGGGTCGCCTGGGCTCCCTTTCCCTGCGGAAGGAGGGTGAGAGGCAGTGCTTCCTCTTCTCCAAGCACCTGATCATTTGCACCAGAGGCTCAGGTGGGAAGCTGCACTTGACCAAGGTGAGTGGATGGGAGCAGGTGGCACCTGACCTTGCAGTGGAGGGCAGTGGGTTTCCAGATACCCCACCCTCTGCCCTCGGAAGCCCTCTAAGAAGTTGCTGCAGGAGAGGGACTGTGAGCAACATCGTGGGAGGGGTGAAACTAGGACCAAGGTGAAACTGCCAGGCTCCCTTGTTATTTTTGCTATTGAGTGCTGGGTGTTGTTTGCGTAATCTTGTTCTATTTATAGTATTGCCATGTTGCTTTTTATATGTTATTATATTTGCCATTGTGTTGTTTTGCTCTGTTATTATGACATTATTATTTTTTTGCAATGTTTACTTTTGAAATGCCTTTCTGTTTTCCTTGTCATAAAATGAGTGGCTGGCAGGTGGGAAAGGGATCCATTTCCCACTCTTTGAAGAAGCTCCAGTCTCCCGTCACTCCCCTGAAAACTCCTCTTGTAGGCCACGCATGTCCCGGGAAAGAGACTTCCACAACTCTTTCAGAACATCTCCAGCCATAGCTTTTTTACACTGTTGGTTTCTACCTTGTGAAGGAAAGCTGAGTGTGGAGTTCCTTGGCTCTGTGGACCCAGGAAGGGGGCCTGAGTTGGACCGCGACACCCTTTCGATCACCTTTGTGAATGAACAGTTTATATCCAAAAATCCCAGGCTGCATGTGCACACATACATTTGAATCCCATTATTTTCCTCAAAGGATCCTAGAAAGTGTAGTTTACCCATTGCAGAGTGACAGTTCCCAGGAGCTTGAACAAAGTACAGTTCCCAGGATCCTTTGGGGGGGAATAATGGGCTTTAACTGTATAGTGTTGGCATAGCCCCAGTCAGAAACCGCATGTCAACCCCCCACCCCACCCCAGTACAGCTTTAGAAACATTCAGTGGGTGGAGTAATGGAAACCATACATGGGGCATGAGAGGCATTTCTGGTCCAGAGTGGAGAGCTGTGCCTGAGAAAAACTTGCAATAAACCAGGTAAGGACTCTGCAAATTGGAAAGGGTGAAATCTGGCTTGGCCAAGACACCTACTAAAGAGCTTGTGCAAATTGTTCATGTCCCTGGCAGGTGAAATCAAAGGGTAGGTGCTGCCATACTAAAAGAGGTATAAGGGAGTCATTGGAGCACCCCACAATAGCCTAAACTTGGCTCCCATAGGTTCAGGTCAGAGGTCACAAGCAAGAGACTTCAGCCAGGAGATAGAAGCAAAACAGCGCCCAGTAGGCCTGATCTTTATTGTTGCAACAAGACTTCAAACTACCACACAGAAGCAGCAGAGAGAAGCCCCGAACAACGGTTACATCAGTACTTTAAAGTTTCCCAAAGTTTCCCATAATACATTTCCAGAAGCATCATCAAGACATCATAGATATGTCACAGAGATCCAGGCATGCCCCTGTCACTCAAATATAATCTTTCACATGTACTCCATCCTAGTACAAAGGAAAGCAATTACAGTTCTCTGGTCCCTAAGTCAAGTCAAATACACCTCTTTGTCTTGTCCTGGCTTCAGCCCTGACTATCACTATTGTGATTGAGATGCTTATCTGTCTGACACTTTTGGGGCAGGATATCACAGGTTATGAAGATGCCTTGGGAAGGCCCTGCAGATGTGACTGTACATCTCAGAGATTATTGTGGGCTCACTCACCCCTCCCCTTACACCTCACTTCCCTGGGTCCTAAATGCCATTGGAACTAAGAAGATTGATACAACGGTGTGATTTCTTAGGAATTTCTAAAGTTTTCCCATTGAGCCAGTACATAGATATATTTATCAGTGATTTGGTAATGTGCAGCAGAGGCTCTTTGTCATTGCCTTGTAGTGTAGTGCCAATTCCGCCGATCAAAGGGTGTCTATGGGGCAAGACAACCTTGTAGGTACTGTAAACTGGTCCCAAGTTGCTAAGGGCTTTATATACTAATAGAAACACCTTGAACTTGGTCTGGCATTTGACTTGACACCCTCACTGATGTAGCCAGTAAGTTATAACATCCAAACCTAGAGAGGCAGGTCCCACTAGGCACCACCACCTCCTGCCCCTCCTCTGCCTCCCCAGGTGGAAGGAAAGACCTGCAAGAGAAACAGGGTGGTAAGAACTTCCCGCTCGAGCGGCTCCCTCCTCATACTTCTTTCTTTATTCCAGAATGGTGTGATCTCCCTCATTGACTGCACCCTGGTGGAAGACACAGAGAGCACAGATGAGGACAGTAAGTACAACTCAGACCTTAGGCAAAGTCTACAAACCAGAGTGAGCCTCCTTCCTTGCCCCCTGCAAACTTTGGCCCACCCACACGACACATTTAAAGCAGTACCACACCACTTTAGACAGTCATGGCTTCCCCTAAAGAATCCCGGAAACTGTAGTTTGGTAAGGGTGCTGAAAGTTATTTGCTGTTGTTGTTTAGTTGTTTAGTCGTGTCCGACTCTTCATGACCCCATGGACCAGAGTACACCAGGCACTCCTGTCTTCCACTGCCTCCCACAGTTTGGTCAAACTCATGTTAGTAGCTTTGAGAACACTGTCCAACCATCTCGTCCTCTGTCGTCCCCTTCTTCTTGTGCCCTCCATATTTCCCAACATCAGGGTCTTTTCCAGGGAGTCTTCTCTTCTCCAGGGAGTCTTCTCTTCAGTTATTAGGAGTTATTAGGAAACCCCTATTTCCTGCATAGAGCTATGGTTCCAAGACTTCACTGGGGGGGGGGGATATTGGTTGTTAAATGACTCTGGGAATTGTAGTTTTGTGAGGGGAATAGGGTGGGTGTGTCTCCTAACATCTCTTAGCACCTTTATCCAACTATGGTGCAGATGTGGTCTGAAAATATTGAATTTTCTATGTGCAATTATATGCAATGCTATTCCCATCTGCTCCATCTGCATTATACATTTGAAACTCTATTGTATCAATTTAAACAGCCTTGGCTTCCCCCAAAGAATCCCACCTCCCAGAGCTGCAAGTCTCCTGCAAAACTTCTGGTCATCTAGCAGCTCAATATTGCCGACACTGACTGGCAGTGGCTCTCCAGGTTTTCAGACAGAGGATATTTCCCAGCTCTTGCACCTGGAAACATCACCAAGGAATGAACCCAGGACTTTTTACACACACACACACACACAGAGAGAGAGAGAGAGAGAGAGAGAGAGAGAGAGAGAAACTTAAATGTATAACAAACAAGACTAATAAAGTATTCCATCAATTCAAGGGGAGAGGGAGAGGTAAAGAAATGAAAGATAGGAAAAAGAATACAGTATATATATGAGGGCTAGGCATGCTGTGTGTTAGAGCTTTGTCTAAATGTTATGCAGAAGTCTGTAGAATTAAAAGGTATGTAGGTTTAATTCATGCAAGGTGAACAATAAGTGCTCTCTTTTATACAATATGCATTGCATCTGGACCTTAAACATATAAATTGGTCAGGGAAACTTCTGTGAACATGAAGAAAAATTAATAATAATAATAATAATAATAATAAATTTTATTTATATCCCACCTTCTCCAGCCAAAGCCGGGCTCAGGGCGGCTAACAACAATAAAATAATACAACATTCTAAAATCATTTCATTATAAAATTAATTTAAATCAAATTGATGGCAACCATTGGGCTAGAATTCTGTGAAGATTTAAATGAAATAAAAGAATTTTTAAAAAGAAAGAACCTGCACCTTTTTCCATGCAAAGTAGATGCTCTGCTTTCCCCACCCTACAGTTTAATTGAAGCTGGCCTATGAAGTGGTTAAAAATTGTATCTGTGAAGTTATATTTTGAAAAATGACTAAATTCCAGTGTGGGGAGAATCACAGATGGTCCCTGAGCAAAGACTGAGCCTGAAGCTGCCAGAGAAGACTGAGCTATGCAAATGCGGCAGAGATGGCGGCTCCTCTCCCACAAACGGCTGAGGAGGGTTTGATCCTGATGCTGCTCACAAACGCAGCAGTCACTGTGCCACCCTCTTGGCGTTGCACCAAGGCGGGCCCCAGTGCAGTTATGGTTTGCACCCCCAAAGTTACGCTCACCCACCGTCAATCTGTAGTTCACCCTCACAAATCATCTCACTGTTCTGTGCTCTCGATTCCAAAGCAAAAGGATCCGGGCAAGATATAGACCATCTTGACTTCAAGATTGTGGTGGAGCCAAAAGACAGCCCATCCTACACAGTTATCCTTGTGGCCTCATCCAGGCAGGAAAAGGCAGCCTGGACCAGTGACATCAGCCAGGTAAGGCGGAGTCAAGCCCGGGGGAGGAGGAGCTACCCAAATCAAGGTGCCAGAGGATTGGGGGGTGAGGCACACCCCCACCCCACAGGCCACTCTATAAAGGAAGGAAAATAACCAAAAGAAGTTGTGGGGTGTAGCCCAGGAGAGGGCTTTCTCTGAGGCAGGCCCTAAGCAATGGAATCCCTTCCACAGGTGCATCTTGCACCTTTATTCTTATTTATTTACTGCATTTATGTCCCACCTTTCACCTCAAGGTGTGAGGTACATGGTTCTCCAACTTATTTAACCCCCACAACAACCTTGTGAGGTAAGTGAAGCTAAGAGATTTGAATTTGCGTCTCCCAAGTCCTGGTCCAACATCCTAACCACTAAACCACACTGGCTTCTGTTATACAGATTTCTTTAGGGGCTCGCCTCTTTGCCCTGGCCTTTTGACACCTGACCTGAGATATGTGTTTTGGGGACCCAAATTCCTGTGGCTGTGATTTTTTTAAACTCTTTTAATGTTGAATTTTAGATGTTGTAATCCACCCTAGGACCTGCTAGTGAAAGGCTGTTAATAAATTTAATAATACTATCATCATCATCATCATCATCATCATCATCATCAAATGAATCATTCAGTGTGACTATAATCTTCAGACCATCTGGAATAAAGGTTATTCTAAGAATAGTTTGGGATTGGGGGGTGGAGTTTTGAATGGAGCCAGCATGGTGTACTGGTTAGAGCAGGCTTCCTCAACCTTGGCCCTCCAGATGTTTTGAGACTACAATTCCCATCATCCCTGACCACTGGTCCTGCTAGCTAGGGATCATGGGAGTTGTAGGCCAAAAACATCTGGAGGGCCGAGGTTGAGGAAGCCTGGGTTAGAGTGTCAGACTAGGACCTGGGAGACCAGGGTTCAAATCCCCATGCAGCCATGAAAATCACTGTCAGTCAGTCACTGCCTCTCAGCCTAACCTACTTCACAGGGCTGTTGTGGGGATTAAATGAGGAGGAGGAGAACCATGTGTACCACCTTGAGTTGCTCAGAGAAAAAGGTTGGATAAAAATGCAAGAAATAAACTAATAATAATTTTTTAAAGGTGTGAGAATGGGTGGGCTTTCCAGAGTCTACGCAGACATCCAGACACCTCAGAAAGATTCACCAATGCAGAACTCTCTTGCAGAATTGCAGTCCCTTTGCTCTTTTCCACAGTTTGGAATGCAGCTTTCATTCTCCATCCACCTCACGCTTGTATGTGTGTATTTCAGTGCGTGGACAACATCCGCTGCAATGGCCTCATGATGAATGCCTTTGAGGAGAACTCAAAAGTCACCGTCCCCCAGATGATCAAGTAAGTGCCTGAGATGAACGGAGGCACAGGAAGGTAGTTTTCATGGAGTGCTTTTGATGTTGTCGGCTTGCAGTTCTGTTCTCCACCCTATTAGGAGCTGGGGTCCCAGCAATGCAGTCCTGGAAGACTTGCCTCTGTTGTGAAAGGGATGTGTGAGCATCCCAGGGCCCTTGCACAACCTTCCCAGACCCCAGTAAGCAAGGCAGAAAGCCTAAAAAGCTCTTTCTGAAGCTGTTTTACCCTGCTCTCCATATATTTATTTATTTTTCAGCTGTGTACCCAAGGTTTCAATCACATAAGTGATCGGCTCTCCAGATGTTTTGAGACTACAATTCCCATCATCCCTGACCACTGGTCCTGTTAGCTAGGGATGATGGGAATTGTAGTCCCAAAACATCTGGAGGGCCAAGTTTGGGGATGCCTGCATAAGTAAATTAGGCGTAAATGGCTGGTCAACTTTATTTTTTAAAAAACTTAAAGCTTTTCCCTTTAGATATGCAATATGTTTTCAAGAAAAGCAATTTGCCAGGCCCTAAGATTCCGGCAATCCAAATTATTAAGATTAAAGGTCTTCTAGAATTTGGCAATACAACTCTGGGCTGAGATGAGAAATAAGTTATTTGTTTTTCAAACCCCGTACCGTTTCCATAAACAAGTTCAAAAGCACTAGGTGGAAAGATGGAGTAACAGTTTATTTAGTTATCAAAGAGATCTCAGCAAACACCTTATCCCTAAACTCAGCCACCTTTGAGCAGTCCCACCACATGCGTTCATAGGTACTAACTATGGGGCGGGTTGAGGTGTATTCTTGCTTCCTTTGTTTAAAGCGGTTGTGAGCAAGATCCTTGTTGTGGAACAGCGGCAAACAAATAAAATGATGAATGCACAACTGAACCAGCTTACCCTGTTTGTCAGTGAATGCCTGCGTGGGCCCCATGAATATTCTGGTTCCCCTATGTTCTGTGGCCAGAAGGAAATGATGGTTTGCCATGCTGCCGTTTATCTGCATCTTTGCTCTTTCCAGGTCTGACACCAGCTTGTACTGCGACGATGTTGACATCCGATTCAGCAAAACAATGAACTCCTGCAAAGTCCTTCAGATCCGCTATGCCAGTGTGGAACGGCTCCTGGAGAGGCTGACAGACTTGAGGTTCCTCAGCATCGACTTCCTCAACACCTTCCTGCACTCTTACCGGGTCTTCACCACAGCTATGATTGTCTTGGACAAGCTGATCACTATCTACAAGAAGCCCATCAGTGCAATTCCTGCAAGGTGAGTCTTGCAGGGGTGTCACCTCCTTTTCCCCCTGTTGGAGGAGGATACTTTCTCCTGAGAAATGCAATATGGGCTTGGGGAGGTGAGGCAAAAACACCATGCATGGAGGAGAAGGCTATCGATGACTATTAGCCAGGATGGCTATGCTCTGCTTCCACAGTAGGAGGCAGCAACACTTCTGAAGACCAGTTGCTGGAAACCACTGGAGAGGAGAGGGCTCTTGTGCTCGAATCCTGCTTGTGGGTTTCCCACAGACTTCTGTTGGTCCACTGTGAGAACAGGATGCTAGGCTAGATGGGCAACTAGGTAGATTTCCCAGCAATTAGAAGTTCCAGCCTCTGTAATGCTTGGGGATGGGACAAAGGAAAGGAAAAGGGAAAGTGATATCAGGTGCAGAGAGTCAATGAGGTCTCTTCTGGTTTTGTTGCCCACCAGGTCTCTGGAGCTCCTATTCGCCAGTAGCCAGAACACCAAGCTCCTTTATGGGGAGCCTCCCAAGTCTCCGCGAGCCAACCGGAAGTTCTCCTCCCCACCACCCCTCTCCATCACCAAGTCCTCTTCCCCAAGCCGGAGGAGGAAGCTGTCCTTGAACATTCCCATCATCACAGGTGGGAAGGCCCTGGACCTGGCTGCCTTGAGCTGCTCCTCCAATGGCTACGCCAGCATGTACTCCTCCATGTCGCCCTTCAGCAAGACCACTCTGGACATCAACAAGCTCTACGTCTCTGCCAGCAACTACTCCAACAAGATCTCTGATGAGGGGGAGGCAGGCACAGAGAAGCCGGAGGAGACCCTTCTGAACAAGCAAAGTAAGTGATTTCTGGAGGAAGGGGATGTTCCTGTGTAGATCAGGGTCAGGAAGGGAGTAATAAAATTGTAGAACTGTAGGATCATCTAGTCCAACCCCCTGCAATGCAGGTATCACAGCTAAAGAATCCCTGGCAGGTGGCCATCCAACCTTCCAGTCTTAGAGAGTCCACCACCTTCCAATGCAGTCCGTTCTGCTGTTGAACAGCTCTTGCCATCAGAAAGTTCTTTTGTGTGAAATCCTTAAGTGATGCCTCCGCTTGCTCCAACCAGGCCCAGAGACGTCTGTCCGAGAAGAGTCTGACATGGATCCCAACCAGAGTGATGAGGCAGAAACGGAGACCTCGCCAACCAAATCGCCCACGACCCCAAAACTGGTCAAAGGCAAAAACTCCTCAGGTAATGCTAGCAGCCAACGAGAGCCCTCTCCTCCATGAATTTGTCCGGTCTTCATCCAAAGCCATCCAAGTGGGTGGCCTTCACTGTCTCCTGCGGAAGCGAGTTCCACAGTTTACCTATGTGCTGTATGAAGAAGGGCTTCCTGTTGTATAATACGGTGATGAACATCAGCTCTTAGCCATGCCTTTCTGAATACCATTGCACAGACCACTTGAGAGAGGCTGTTGACTCTTGTCGACGGGTGTTTGCCAGTGCAGTTCCTGGGGAAGGATCTGGCCCTCTCTGAGTCTCCTTTAACAGCCAGCAAGTGGGGAAGGAGTCCTTGGGGAGTGTTTCATGCCAGAGGAAAGCTCACTGTGAATTTTCTCTCCCTCTTCCTGATGCAGAATTCCCTTTGTTCTCCTATAACAATGGGGTTGTGATGACATCCTGCCGGGAGCTAGACAACACTCGCAGTGCCCTCTCAGCTGCTTCAGCCTTTGCCATCGCAACCGCAGGCGCCAATGAGGGCACGCCAACCAAAGAGAAGTACAGGAGGATGTCCCTTGCCAGTGCAGGTGAGAGAATGGGAATTCCTCCCCTTCTTGGGGGGCCCACCCCACTTTCTCTGCAGAGAGAAGAGGCCATGGGGACACATTGATTTGCATGCTCCTTTTGCAGGGTTTGTATCCTGAAATGTAGGGCATTAACACTTGCAATGTGCTGCTGAGGGATTTATTTATTTAATATTTGTATATCACTATTATCATGCTTGTGTGTGTGTTTCACAACACCCCACTCTCCAAGCAGAGTGAGGTTCTTTTAGCTCACAAAGCTCAGCTCTCAACTCTGGCCTTTTGCCTTTCTAACAGCCAGTTGAGGGAGTAGAGTCCACCCTTTTGCTATCTAGCACAGAACTATTCCCTTTATTTCCTTAATGGCTCATTTCCTCACCAGGAAGCTGGACTGGCTATTCCAGGACTTAGACAGGTCTTGACATACAGCCTATTCCCCACCCCGTGCCCCCAAGCTATACATATACCGTATTTTCCCATGTATTGGACAAGGTTTTTTGACTCAGAAATCACGTCAAAAACTGGGGTCACCCAATACATGGACAGTGGCATGGGGGGGGCGTGGAGAAGCTGCGCGCCACCAGCCAGCTTGTTGGTGGGAGTGCAACTTCCCCCAATGCCGCTGTGTGCGGCGGGTGCTCCCTGCATCATTTCCTGTGTGGCAGCATCAGACGAGGTTGTGCTCCCGGGAGCGCAACTTCCCCTGTTGCTGCTGCATGTGGGAAACGATCTAGGGAGTGTTTCCTGCCCACAGCTGCTTGGGGGGAGAGGCTCAACAACTTTGGGCCATCTTCCCTCGTTTTCCTAAAATTGAGTCCCCCAAAATAGGGGGGGTCTTATACAAGGGGGCGTCCTATAGACAGAAAAATACGATATATGCAGTTTCAGCAATAAAAACATAAAACCACACAATAAAAACCATATATAAAAAAGTAAAAACAGACATCAATTAACCATTGTGGGAGGATGTAGTCTTAAACTGGGTGGAACAGAAAAGTTTTCAGCTGGCATTAAAAAGTTGGCACAGAAGGTGCCTGCTAAATCTCACCATCTAGGAGAACTTGGCGGGTCTTAGAAGGCAGGGTCTGGGCAACCCTCCTGACCTCCCAGCTAGGTTGGAGCTTATCCTCCCAGGCATCCCTGCATGGCCTCTTCCCGTCCCCTGCTCTGACACTGACTCAGCCTCCTCTGTGCTCCTTGCTCTCCTTCCAGGCTTCCCCCCTGACCAAAGGAATGGTGACAAGGAATTTGTGATCAGGAGGGCAGCGACCAACCGGGTCCTCAATGTCCTGAGACACTGGGTCTCCAAGCACTCCCAGGTAAGCTGCTCCCAGAACAAGTGGAGGCAGGAAGCTGCACTGGTAATAGTTTAATTAATTCAACAGCCCAGTGATTCCAGCTTCTCGAAGTCTGATAGTCATTCACACCTCCAGTGCGCCCCCCCCCCCGCTACCCCCTTGCCTCTTAGTGTTCCCCCTTGATAACCCTACCATCCCCCAGGGGGCAATGCCGCTGCTCTAACTTGTGAAAATGCAGAATTGATATAGAGGGTGGTTTTTTAAAAAAACTAAGTCTTATTTAAAGTCGATTTATTGAAATGAGTGAACAGGACTAAGTTAGGCCCATTAATTTCAATAGGTGTACTTTGAATGTAGCTTAGTTGAATAACACCCAAATATTTCTAATTTTGGGATGCGGGTGGCACTGTGGGTTAAACCACAGAGCCTAGGACTTGCCGATCATAAGGTCGGCGGTTCGAATCCCTGTGATGGGATGAGCTCCCGTTGCTCGGTCCCTGCTCCTGCCAACCTAGCAGTTTGAAAGCACGTCAAAGTGCAAGTAGATAAATAGGTGGGAAGGTAAACGGCGTTTCCGTGCGCTGTTCTGGTTCACCAGAAGCAGCTTAGGCATTCTGGCCACATGACCCGGAAGCTGTACGCCAGCTCCCTCGGGCAATAAAGCAAGATGAGCGCCATGCTCCCTCGGCCAATAAAGCAAGAGTTGGCCATGACTGGACCTAATGGTCAGGGGTCCCTTTACCTTTACCTTTATTTCTAATTTTCTTTTTGCAGGATTTTGAAACAAACGATGAACTGAAGTGCAAAGTGATCAGCTTTCTGGAGGAAGTCATCCATGACCCAGAACTGCTGACACAAGAGAGGAAGGCAGCAGCCAATATCATAAGGCAAGTTACCCTCCTGCAGATCTGTGGTTGGCTGGCAAGTGAGCTGGCCAAGGGCAGGGCTGATCCCTGGCCACCTGGCTCCTCTCCACTGCCACACTCAGTGTGGTGTGGGTGAGACTGAGGGTGCTCATAGCCCAGGGTACAGTTAAGCGTTGAGACAATGGGCTGGGCCGGGCCTGTGAGCCGCCAGTTGCCACCACTTAAACTAAAGCAGCTAGCAGTGAGAAGGTGCAGAGGATTCTTCTTGGTAGTTCCTCAGAGTTTGGGCCCAAGAGGGCCCTCTCCCTTATTTTCATTGGTAGCTGCTTAGGTAGGTCTAGGTGGTGGCAACTGGTGGCCCATAGCAAGTGGCCCAGGAGAGGGCCTTCTCTGTGGCAGCCCCTCAGTTGCGCAATTCCCTTCCCACAGAGGTGCATCTGATACCTTCATTATACAGCTTCCAGGGAATGCTGAAGATGCACTTCTTGATGCTGGCCTTTGCCATTTGAGATGTGTATTTCCAGGACCCACCTTATCCCTGTGACTACAATTTGTTTTAGTTGCTGGATCTTAAATTGCTGTAATCCGCCTGGGGCCTGCTGTTGAAGGGTTGGCAGTGCATTATTATTTTTAAAAGAGAGGGAGTGATGCTTTACCTAGGCCTTTCCACCTCGATGCAAAGAGGCTTCTGCGGGGAAGCAATGAAAATCTCCCATGTGCTTTGGGCTCTTATATTCCAATGCTGCCATTTTTCTCTTGCACCTCAGGACCTTGTCTCAGGAGGACCCTGGAGACAATCAGATCACACTGGAAGAGATCCTGCAAATGGTAACTGTCCTCCCACAATTTCTGTCCTCCCGCAACTGGATCGCAACAAAGAGCTGTGCTTATTTTTTATTTCCCTTCTGCCTTTATTTCCCTCCGATCCCTTTGTGTTTTTTGGGAAAGAGATGCTTTCATCGCCCACTAGTGAGCATTTCACAACCCAACATAAATGACGAGAGCCTACTGGGCTTTTTCTAAGTGTCTTTGGGTGGTTTTTGTGTAACTCCCCGGTCGTCATGCAAAGGGGCCATTTTAAGGATATGCCTGCTTGCACCAATGCTGGAAGTTTTGGGGCAAAATTCTTCAACAGCCACTTTAGAAGTGAAGCAGAGAACAGGAATGTCCCTCCTGGATGGCAAGTGGGCAGCCTGCCCAGGAGTCAAGTGGCTTATCTGGGAACATCCTGCACTTTTCTCAGCAAAAAGGAAAAGGGAGTGAGGGCTTTCTAATCCAGAGCCCCACTCAAGACAAAACCACTTTGGGAAATTCCTTCAAAGAGAAGAGCAGAACAGAGTAGATGTCACTTTACTTTGCAAGAAAGCGGAGTAGCAGGAGGCATTTTCATTTGCACAGGAAGTTCCTGCTTTATCCTGAGTCAGACCCTTGGTCCATCTAGGCCAGGGATGGGCAAACTTGGCCCTTCAGCTGTTTTGGGACTACAATTCCCATCATCCCTGACCACTGGTCCTGTTAGCTAGGGATGATGGGAGCTGTAGTCCCAAAACAGCTGGAGGGCCAAGTTTGGCCATCACTGATCTAGGCCATATTGTTGACACTGACTGTCAGTAGCCCTCCAGTGCTTCAGGCAGGGAGTCTCTCCTCACCCTTACCTGGAGAAGCCAGGGTTCGAACCTGTGATTCTGTGAAGGGAAAGCAGATGCTCTACCACTGAGCTAGATCCCTTCCCCTTCTTGTGTGTGCAAAGAGGCAAAACTGGTGCAGAGTGCCAAGCACTTGAGGAGCCCCTTGGAGTGCAGGCTTGAGTCTGCATGGAGTGCAGAGTGGCATTCCCCGCCCCCCTGCACGTCAACAAACTTCTAAGGTAGGGCTGCCATACATCCGGACATTACCAGGATTTCAAAGGAGGAACTGACATCCAGGGGAGAGAGTCCCCACTTAGAGAGGATCCTCAGCATGAAGCAGGCCTCTGCAGTCCAAGCTCAGCACTACTGTCATGCTGCCTCTTGTTGCTGCCTCATGGAGATGCTGCCACTCTGTGGCACCTGTAACAGTGCCGGTTCTGTGAATCGAAGCAGTCGAATGGGCATATTTGGGGTAAGGCAATTTGTAGGTATTGCCCGCCTGGCCTCCAATGTCAACAGGCCTCAGGGTGAGCCCTCTGTGACTCTAGCTGGTGCTGACAACACACACACACACACACACACACACACACACACACACACACATATGCATAGATGTTCACCCCATTGAAGAAGAGGCTGAGCAAGGCCTGGGAGGAAAAGGGATCTCCCCATAGTAGCTCTCTGAGTCTTTGCTTTCTACCAGCAGATTCTGCGCTTGTTGTCTTTGCTTCCATTGAGGGCTGTCTTCTTTCTCTCCAGGCTGCGGGAGTCAAGGCAGAGCCCTTTGAAAACCACTCTGCTTTGGAAATCGCAGAGCAGATGACTTTGCTGGATCACCTGGTCTTCAAAACCATCCCTTATGAGTGAGTCACAAAGAGGCTTCTGTTTTCCTCCTTTCCATCTCTGGCATGTATGGAGAAGGCAATATTTATTTCATTTCATTTCATTTCATTTCTCTTCTTTGCCTTTTTCTCCAAAGAGCTCAAGGTGGCAGACATGTTTCCCTGCCCCCCCCCCATTTAATCCCCACGGCATCCCTGTGAGGTAGGTTAGGATCCCAATCCTAGGCTCAGATCCTGCTGGCTGGTTTCCCATGGGTACCTCTGGGTATCCACTGTGAGAACAGGATGCTGGACTAGATTTGGCCATTTGGCCTGATCCAGCAGGCTCTTCTAACATTTTTATATTCTTACCACTTTGCATTTTCAGAGAGTTCTTTGGGCAAGGCTGGATGAAGTTGGAGAAGAACGAGAGGACTCCGTACATCATGAAGAACACCAAGCACTTCAATGATGTGAGTTCGGGCTCTAGGGCTCTGAACAGCTTTGGAGGAGCCCAGATGCAAGAGGGACTGCTCCCAATTTGGGGAAGAGGGAGCGGTGTCGCATAGCATTGCAGTCAGTGGGTGGCCAGGCTGGGGCAGTCCTTGTTCCCAGATCTGCCTCTGTGGTGTAGTGGTTAAGAGCGGTGGACTCGTAATCTGGTGACCGGGTTCACTTCCCCGCTCCTCCACATGCAGCTGCTGGGTGACCTTGGGCCAGTCACACTTCTCTGAAGTCTCTCAGCCTCACTCACCTCACAGAGTGTTTGTTGTTGGGGAGGAAGGGAAAGGAGAACGTTAGCCGCTTTGAGACTCCTTCGGGTAGTGATAAAGCGGGATATCAAATCCAAACTCTTCTTCTTCTTCTCAGCCTCACTCACCCCACAGAGTGTTTGTTGTGGGGGAGGAAGGGAAAGGAGAATGTTAGCCACTTTGAGACTCCTTATGGAGAGTGAAAGGCAGGATATCAAGTCTAAACTCCTCCTCCTCCTCCTCCTGCGAGAATCTGGACCTGCTCTCCTTTTCAGAAGGAAAGCACTCAGGCAGAAGTTTGACTTTGGCAGGATTTCAGAGGGTCTGCTTGACATGGAATGGTTGGAAAGCTTTGATGTTTGTTCAGCAAATGGCCAACTGGCCAAACCAGTCTCCAGAACCACCACCCTCCCTCTCTCTTCTAAATAGCATTAGCACTTGTGGATTACAGTCAAAGTTTTCTCCTGAGGTGCCGGAAATGCACACGTGGTTGGAAAGGGCAGAGGCAGATGCAGGGGGCAGGGCAGGGATTGTTAAAACTGAGGCCAGGTGAAAATGAAATGCAGAAAAGCAGATGGCCCTAATGATATTATGATCATTTCAACCTCCCAGAATTCTCTGAAACTGACCTTACTACTTCAAACTGAGGCTGCCATGTTTAAACTGTTTGGGAGAACCCCAAAGCTTGCCGCACTTTGTGACACTTTCTTCCTTTGTCCTAATAAAAGGTATTATTATCCTACTGAAGACTGAACCTCCATCCCCCTTATTGACCTCCCTTTTTATGCTGAATTACAGTTCAGGGCAGATAAAAGAAAGTCCTCCTTCACACAATACATAGTTAAACTGTGGAACTCACTCCCACAGGAGGAGCTGATGGCCACCAACCTAGATGGCTTTAAAAAAGGGTGAGGCAAATTTGTCAAGGAGAGGGCTATTGATGCCAACCAGCCATGAGAACTATGCTCTGCCTCCACAGTTGGAGGCAATTGCTGGAAACCACTGAAAGGAACAGTGCTCCTTGCTGGTTTCCCATAGGCATCTGGTTGGCCTCTGTGAGAACAGAAGGCTGAAATAGATAGGGTATTGGCCTGATCCAGTAGGCTTTTGTTCTCTTCTTATGTTCCGAGCTATTTTTTGTGGATGGAAACAGGACAGAGGTTTTTATCACATGATGTGTGTAGTAGTAGTAGCAGTAATGGTAATGATAATAATAATAATAATAATAATAATAATAATAATAATAATAATATATTTATACCCTGTCCATCTGGCTGGGTTTCTCCAGCTACTTTGGGTGGCTCCCAACAGAATATTAAAACATCAAACATTAAAAACTTTCCTAAACAGGGCTGCCTTCAGGTGTCTTCTGAAAGTCAGATAGTTATTTATTTCCTTGACATCTGATGGGAGGGTGTTCCACAGGGCAGATGCCACTACCAAGAAGGCCCTCTGCCTGGTTCCCTGTAACCTCACTTCTTGCAAACCGCCAGAAGGCCCTCAGAGCTGAGCAATGGGGGTGGAGATGTTCCTTCAGGTATACTGGGCTGAGGCCATTTAGGGCTTAAAGGTCAGCACCAACACTTTGAATTGTGCTCGGAAACATACTGAGAGTCAATGTAGGTCTTTCAGGACCTGTGATATATGGTCTCGGTAGCCACTCCGTCACCAGTCTAGCGGCCGCATTCTAGATTAGTTGTAGTTTCTGGGTCACCTTCAAAGGTAGCCCACGTAAAGCGCATTGCAGTAGTCCAAGCTGGAGATAACTAGAGCATGTACTACTCTGGCGAGACAGTCTGCGGGGAGGTAGGGTCTCAGCCTGCGTACCAGGTAGAGCTGGAAGACAGCTGCCCTGGAGGCAGAATTGACCTGCACCTCCATGGACAGCTGCGAGTCCAAAATGACTCCCAGGCTGCGCACCTGGTCCTTCAGTGCCAGGATGTCTGTTCATCTGGGCACTGTTCATAACGTAATTATCCCCATCTGTACTTTCCTGTGTCCCATTTCTTTCTGACTTCCCTATTTACAATCCTGTGTAAGTGTGTGTAGATAGTTAGGTCGCAATAGACCTCCAACTCTGGATAAGACTTCATGCAGCTGCTGAAAACAACAACAACCTTATGCCATAATGAATTTGTTAGTCAGCTGAAGCAAAACAGCAAACAAGGTTCTTGCTTAAAGATGAACATGGAAAACATATGGATTTCAAACTCTTTACCCATCTTAGTTACAGATAGATGTCCAGTAGGGGGCATCAAAAAAATGTGGCGAAACCCCGGTGACCTCAGTCTTTAGGAGCCAGCCCTGCGGACAAGTTCTGTGAACTCAGAGCCCTGTCAAGTCCATGCATGTGCCCCTGAGATAAAAGCGTATTTGGTTTCCTGTCCTCATCTTTTTGTACTTGAGCTTAGGGCTCTGTGATCCTTTTAAATGGCACACAGGCGGTCCTGATGACCGCTGGGTTGTGCGGTTCCCCTCCCCCCTGCAGATCAGCAACCTGATCGCCTCCGAGATCCTCCACAATGAGGACATCACCGCCAGGGTGAGCACCATCGAAAAGTGGGTGGCCGTGGCCGACATCTGCCGCTGCTTGCACAACTACAACGCAGTCCTTGAGATCACCTCGGCCTTCAACCGCAGTGCCATCTTCCGCTTGAAGAAGACATGGATGAAGGTGTCCAAGCAGGTGGGTATGCCAGCGGGGAGCACAAGGCAAGTCTCTGGGGTCACTTTGGACTCATAGAATTGTAGAGTTGGAAGGGACCCCCAGGAGCAATCTGAACTAACACCCCTGCAAGGCAGGAACTGCAGCTAAAGAATCCCTGACTCTCATATATTGAAATTTTGAGAGCTGTCATAGTAATAAATAATAATATAAGAAAATAATTGTGGGGTTTTTTTTTATTTAAATGCATATACTCACCATTAGTAAAATTAATGCAATAACAAACACATCTATATCTATCTATCATCTATCTATCTATCTATCTATCTATCTATCTATCTATCATCTAAAATCATTCAGGGAAAAGGGTTGTAGCTCAGTGGCTGAGCATCTGCTTTGCGTGGAGAAGGTCAAATATACAGTTCCTGGTGGCATGCCCGGGTAGGGATGGGAGCCCCCCCCCAACAAGAACTCTGAAGAGCCATGGCTTCCAGTCAGTGTAAAGCTAGATGGATTATTGGTCTGACTTGGTAGCTTCTGAGAATGCAGATTCCTTCAGAAGCATGAGAACTGGGCACCGATCCATCCAGCCCAGCACAATGACTGCCTTTGTTTGATCTTTGACTTCTGCTGCATGCCAGTCTATGTGCAGAGGCGCATGCTAGCTGTGGAGTGCTGAGATTTTTTTACTATGTAGCCACACCCCCCCCCCCCAGCCACAGCAGAGAGATTTGCTTGGCCTATTCTCTGCAGCTCCTTCTTCCTCCTTTCATCCAGAACTCCCCTGCCAGACCACTTAGGAGGCTCAACTTCCTTCTTTGCTGTGGAACTGAGACCTGGCATTCTCCCCACAGATATTTATCATACACTCAGATGGTTCCTCATAACACAAAATTGCAGCCAAACCAGATGCAGCAGATTTCTGGCTCAGCTTCAGTTCCTGCAGAGGATTCACATAAAGAATACGTTAAGCTGGAACCTCTGTGGTCTTCAGGCAATTTCACAAGTGACCTCCACCCCATTTTTGAACTTCTGTGTTGCCTTCAGCCCAGTTGTCTCTGTTAGGCAACTTAGCTGTGATTCCAGCATTGCAGGGGGTTGGACTAGATGACCCTTGGAGCCCCTTCCAACTCTTACAATTCTATGATTCTAGGGTTGCAAGCTGGGATTATTTGGTACAACTAATTGAATGAAGCTTCCCTGGCCAACTGATATTTGCCCTGCTTCCTGATTTTGATTCCAAACTGCTTTTTGAATTTGCTGGGCCTGCCTCTTCACCATGTTGACCAAAGCGCCCATTTGATTTTCAGTAGCTCAGAAGCAGATCCTTGGTATCATTCCCCAAAAAGGCGCCCCCCACCCCAGCCTGGATTCTTCTTTCTTCCTTAACCAGAGTCTGCACTTTCTGCCTTATGTCTTTCTTTTCAGACGAAAGCTTTGATCGACAAGCTGCAGCGCCTGGTGTCTTCGGAAGGCCGTTTCAAGAATCTGAGGGAGGCCCTGAAAAAGTAAGTGCCTGGCAACAGAGCTCGTCTGCCTGGGGGTGGTGCCCATCATGCCTTTGTTTGCAAAATGTGAGACCTTGTGTGGTGTCTGAGGTATGTGCATGCACACACAGAAAGACAAAGCATGGCACACCTGTGAACACCTCCAGCAAGTGCTCCTTCCCACTAGGTATTTGGCAGATATTGCCAGGACCTGAGAAAGTTCAGCTTTATTTGTTTGTTTGTTTGTATTTATATTCCACATTTTTCCTCCAAGGAGCTCCAGGTGGCTCACCTGGTCCTCCCCTTCCTCGTTTAACCCCCTAGACAACCCTGCAAGGTAGGCTAGGCTGAGAGGGAGAGTGGCTGGCTCCCAAGGTCACCCAAGTGAGCTTCATGGCTGAGTGGGGGTTTGAACCCTGATCACTCAGGTCTTAGTCCTCACAACAGCCCTGGAAGGTAGGTTAGGTTGAGAAGCAGGGATTTGAACCCTGGTCTCTCCCAGGTCTTAATTTGACACTAACCACTGCACAACACTGTCTCTCCCTGCTCAAAGCCTCAGCTGAGGAGGAAGAGTCACAGTGGGTAGCATGCTGGACAGCTGGGCCTCCAGCCCCTGGGACTTTGCACGCCCCTCATGAGCAAGGGGAAAGGAAACCAGCTATTTAACCCGGCACAAGACACTGTAAAAGGGAAGAGGCCCTTCAGAGGGCAGGGAGGAATGTTTTGGCCTCTCCACTGAATGCAGAGAATCTCATAGGTTCCAGAGTTCTAAGACATTCCTATTTGCGCAAGGGAGAGGGGTCTGCGAAGAACTCATTCATACTTGATGTGGACTACATTGGAAAGTACCTTATTTTTTGCTCTATAAGACTCACTTTTTCCCTCCTAAAAAGTAAGGGGAAATGTGTGTGTGTCTTATGGAGTGAATGCAGGCTGCGCAGCTATCACAGAAGCCAGAACAGCAAGAGGGATCGCTGCTTTCACTGTGCAGCGATCCCTCTTGCTGTTCTGGCTTCTGAGATTCAGAATATTTTTTTTCTTGTTTTCCTCCTCCAGAAACTAGGTGCGTCTTGTGGTCTGGTGTGTCTTATAGAGCGAAAAATACAGTATGGCTTGAAACGGGGAAAGTTTTTCTCCCTCTTTCATAAGGCTACAACTGGCGGGCATCCAATGAAGCGGAACGTTGGATGATTCAAAACAGATAATAGGAATTCCTTTTTCGTACATTGCATAATTAAGCTATGGAGTTCACTCAGGTGGCGGTGGTGCCTATCAACTTGGATGGCTTAAAAAGAGGATTGGACAAAGTCATGAAGGAGGAGAGGGCTATTGATGGCCACTGGCTCTGCCTCTCACAGCCATCCAGTTGGCTTCTGTGAGAACAGCATGCTGGACTAGATGGGTCATTGACCTGATCCATCAGACCCTCCTTATGTTCTTAAGTATCAGACTTGATGTGAGGGGGACACAAAAGCTCTCCCTGCAGGGTGTAATCTGTGGTGACGGTTTATGAACCCATCTGAGCTGACATGGAGTGAGGACAGTGCCTGTATGAACTGTGGCCAAAGAGGAAACTCAGGAGAAAGACTATTGGATCACATTAAGCCCATCACATTAAGTGGGACTTATTTTCTCCCTTCCAGCTGCGATCCACCCTGCGTCCCATATCTAGGGATGTACCTGACAGACCTGGCCTTCATTGAGGAGGGCACCCCCAATTACACTGAAGACGGCCTTGTGAATTTTTCCAAAATGAGGATGGTAAGTTTCCTGGCACAGTGCCTTTTGGCAGGGAGAAAGGGCAAATCATAAGGAGGTTTCATAAGTCTGATCAGATGTCAAGAATAGCCTGACGAAAGGATAGTCCGTGAAGATGTGAACCGCCTGATTACTCCATTCACCAGCCTCAGGCCCTTTTATTTCATGAGCTTTGAGTGTTTCCCCAACAACTTTTATTCCCGGGAGCACAAACATAAGCACCAATTTCTTTTCTTTTTGCACAGATCTCCCATATCATCCGAGAGATCAGGCAGTTCCAGCAGACGGCCTACAAAATTGAGCATCAGGCAAAGGTAACTTCACTGCAGACCCTTTCGGGGGGTTGGGCTTGTCCCTTGCACCCACTGCCCAGAGGTGAGGGTGTCTGAGAGCTCAATTGGAAGCAGCCTTCTCTACCCTGGAGTCCTCCAGATGTTTTGGAGGACATCTTCCACTAGGATGGACATAGTGGCTGGGGTTGATGGGAGCTGTGGTTCAAAACATCTGGAGGACACTAAGTTGGGGAAGACTGTTTGGATAAAAACAATGGCTGTAGCTTGAGATCCACCTTGCAGGCTTCCTATAGGCATATGCTTGGCCCCTGTGAGAACAGGATATATTCCTGAATAATTGTTCCTAGGTAACTGTTGCTGAGGAAGGTACTTATAACTTCATGGAGGAGAGGGCTATCAATGGCTACTAGCCAAGATGAATGCTATGTTCTGCCTCCACAGCTGGAGGAAGCAATGCTTCTGAACACTTCCTACAAAACTAGCTCCCATAAAGAGAGAGAAACTATAAGCAGAGGTAGTCTGCTTCTGAATAGCAGTTGCTGGAAACTGCAGGGGAGGAGAGACACGGTTGCACTCAAATCCTGCTTGCGGGATTCCCACAGGCATCTGGTTGGCCACTGTGAGAACAGGATGCTGGAGTAGATGGGCCATGGGCCTGATCCGGCAGGTGCTTCTTCTGAGGCCATTAAGAAACCCTATGGTTAGTTTGTTGCACGGTATCCCAAGACCAACAGATCTGTTCCCAGCCATCTGACAACAAGCTCACAACACTGGGCTCTCTCCCCTTAGGTCCAGAGGGAGCAGCATTGACCCCTTGCTGCCTCCCTTTCCTTCACCCTCTCTCCATTTTCTTTCTCTTCCAGGTCACCCAGTACCTCCTGGACCAGTCCTTTGTGATGGATGAGGAGGGTCTTTACGAGGCCTCGCTCCAGATAGAGCCAAAGCTGCCCACCTGAGTCCAGAGTGGCAGCAGCCCCCTGGGGGCCCTTCCCTGTACACCATGTACCATATTGTACATAGCAGCTGTTTGTTTCTTTTGGGAACCCTCAGTTGACTTCCTCGTATGTGCTTCTCCAAGACCCCCCCCCACCCCTCTCCTTGTCCTTAGAATCTGACTAGCCACCGTTTGTCCTGGGGAGTCCGGCATAGACCACTTTGTTGACTGCAGTCCTGGTTCCTATTCAGCTATGTTCTCTTTGTTGTTGATTCTTTGCGTGCGTGCACTGGGGGCGGGGGGAGGGACGGAGGGGGTGGCAGCCGGGAAAGCCACCCATGGGGGCATGTGGGGCATTGCACAAGGGAGCCCCTCCTTACCTGAGGAACAGCTGCCTGCTTTCCAGGCCTCTGCAATCCGGGCACGGCCTTCCATTTTGCCAGGAGGGGGGCTGCGGAACACACACACTCACTCTGAGTCATTTCGGACGGCAACCGCTAAGTCCCCCAATACAAGTCATGTAATAAGGGAAAGCAAATTCTCGAGGACGCATTTCACTGAGCAGCGGCAGGAGCAGAGAGAGCCAAGGGGACTCTGACCTCCTGTTGCCAAGGAGATAAGAGAGGCTTGAAGGAGAATCTGACCCGCTGGTGGTCAACTGGGCAAAGCAGGCTTGATAGTGGAAAGATGGTGGCTCTCTTCAATGAGGCCAAGGTGGAACAGTAGGGTTTGGGTGACAGGGTAGGAAGGAGACAGGCAGACAGGTCTCCCCTGGGGAACAGGTACTCTTGGTGCAAGAGGACTCCCTTTTGTGGGGGTGCTGTCTGTCCCCACATAAATGGGTAGGGAAGCAGGGCAGGGAGGAGACAACCACCATTTGGGTTTCCTGCCTCAGGCACCCAGGTGGCTTGGGCCAGCCACAAGAGGAAGACAGACAGAGACCAACCATATCTTTGAAAATTCCTGCTTCATCACCCTCCTGAGAGGCTCTGTGTGAATTTCGCTCCTCCGTCCGTAGACTTTAGTGACTCTTCTTAGTAACATAATGTAGAATTAGAGAGGGGAGGGGAGGGGGGAGGGGAATGGCCAAGTGTTTTTATTACATATACTGTAATCCTGTCTAACCACTTGCTAGCAGGACTACAGTAATGTACTGCTTATTCTGTGAATATTATCACGTATTTTTTACATTGTACAGGATATAAGCCCAGGTGAATTTTTGAGTGGCAGGCATGCTCCACAGTAACGGAAAAACCAGAAGAAGAAAAAACAAAACAAAACCTTTTGCTGTAAGCAATACCCATTGGTATGAGAATTCTCTTTCAAGACCTAAAATATTTCGACTTACAGCTTGTTTGTTTGGGAAAAGGAAAAAATTTCCATTTTTGTAAAAATATATGTTTCCTGATTACCTCTTGCTAATAAATCTATTCTATCTCAGGGTGAACAGTGGCTTTGCAAAGGTGTATTTTGGACCCATCAGGGGGAGCTGTTTGGGATGGGCAAGTTTAAGCAGGGGAGCTTGCCTAGTTCATCAGAAAAGCCTGGTTAAGACCCCCAAAATATGACTAAGCAGAAGGTCACCTGAGAGGAGGACGGTCTGCAGGAACTCTATGGGAAGACAGGGAGCAGTAACTGTTGTAACCTATCAATCACCAGTTACCAGCCATGCAGCAAAACTGGGGGCCATATTTCCTTATGGCAGAGGTTTTCAACCTTTTTGAGTCCATGACTTCCTTGACCAACTGCATTCTTTCTGCGGCAGCCCTGTGGGGCTCAGAAGCCCAGTTATGCCACCCCTTGCCAGCAGAGCTGACAGCTTCTCATCCTTGCTTCAACATCCTCCCTTATGGAGTGTTACCTCAACCTCCTCTCTTCTCCCCTCTCCTTGAAAGTCCTCTGGGCAGCCGCTGCTTCTGCCCCTGGTCTCTGAGCTGCCCTTCCCTGCCCCAAAGAAACATGCCTCCTCATACTGCCCCACAGGGGCCTGGGACTTGTCAGCCCATTCCCAACAGCAAGGGCTGGCGGACTGGCTGGCTGGGCTCCCTTGCCCATCTGCTTGCTTACTCCAAGGCCACCTCAGCTCCTGGCAACCAGCACCCCCTGGCCAGCCCCAGAGGCACAATTCACCCACAGAGCTTGTAGCCAGGGCTGCTGCAACAAACCGCTGTGCAAGCCTTTGGAAGGCAGAGACATGAGAGGGCATCAGAGGAGGGAGGGAAGGAAAGAAAGAGGGGCAGAGGCCAGTGTTGCCTGTGGCACCCCTGACCATCCTTCAAGGCACCTCAGGGTGCCACAGCAGCCTGGTTGAATACCACTGCCTTATGGGTAACCTTCCAAGGGTCTCAGCCAAGAAGTGGGCGGGGCCAGAGGCAAAAGTGGGTGGTGCAATTAATGGAAATATTTCCTTCCTTCGCTAGCCCACTTTCTGCACACACTTGCACATCCCTCTCTGTCTTCCATCCAGATAAAGGCATTGTTTATTTTATTGCTCATTTTAATTACTCCATTTATATCCTGCCCTTCCTCCTGAAGGAGCCCAGGGCAGCAGACACAGCAATTGTGTGTGTGTGTGTGTTTGAGAGCAAGCATGGTGTAGTGGTTAGAGAATCGGGCTACAACCTGGGAGACCAGAGTTCAAATCCCCACTTGACCATGATACTCACTGGGTGACCTTTGGCCAGTCACTGCCTGTCAGCCTAACCTACCACACAGGGTTGTTGTGGGGATTAAAAGAGGTATGGAGGAGCCATCTACATCACCTTGAGCTCCTTGGAGAAAAAGATGTGATATTAAAAAAATTATGTCTCTGTGTGTGTGTGATTAAAAACCTAAAAACATCCTAAAACATCCTAAAAAGTTAGAAACTATGGGTGGAATTCAACATTGTGCTTACAAATTTTCTGCCTGCATAAGCATGTCAGGTTGCTAGAGGGAACTGTCATGTACTGTCATTTCTGTCATAACTGTCATTTCTGCCATGTACTGTTCTGGAGGTTCTCCCAAGCTGCCCCTTGAGTCATTTTTTTTGGGTGGGGTGGAAAAAGGGAAAGCTCTATTGCACAAGCAGAAGCCATTTCACTCAAGTTTGTTAGGTGAATTTCACCCACAATCTCAATGGATGATCTCAGGGTAACAGGACCAGTGTCCTTCAGCCACCACATTCACCTGGGTAAATATGAATGCATTTAAATTCCTCCTCAAAGTCAATAATGATGCTGGCAGATGCAATCTTGCCAGTGAAGGCATTCCACAAATGGAGCCACCACAGAAAAGGCCCTGTCCCAGGTCAACGCCAACCAGATGGCACCACCAGCGAGGCCTTACCTGCTGATCATCAAAGGGTCTGAGATGGTTGATATCAGAATTCAAAGACACATGTTCCATCCCACCAAAAACACTTGAGATTTGAAGGAATGTGGCCTGCGGAGAGTTCCAGGGGCCCAACAGAGGGGCTGGGGGGGTTACACCTGGGATTTCCCATGCATAAGGGGTCTTTGACTGAGATGAACCCTTTGACTGGGATCAATCCCAATGGGAGAGGCAAGGAGACCTCTGGCAGCCAAAGGGATGAGTTGCTCTAACCTCCTGGTCCTGGCTGGGTTGATGGGAGTTACAGTTCCAAACACTGTGAGGGCAACAGGTTGGGGCAGGCTGGAGGTAAGCTAGGGCATGAGTAGTAGAAGAAAACAGGGAGGGAGTCCAAGCTTGAAAACAACTGGTCCAGTTGGGGTCTCACTCTGCTTCTGCCCCCACCAATGAAATGCAGTGTGGTGTAGTGGTGAGAGTCTTGGACCAGGTTTTAAATCACCACTCGCCCATTAACCTCATGGGGGCAGGCACTGCATTTCCCAGCCTAACCTACATCATAGGCAGTGTATTTTTATGGACAAAGAGGTGCCGGAACTCACCATGAACACCTCCCTCGTTCACTTAGAATGGCAATGGCGCGGGAACTGTTCTGGCTAGTTCCCCCTGGAAAAAAAAGCCCTGCTCCCAGGGGTGCTGTGAACATAAGAAGAGGCTGCTGGATCAGGCCAGTTGGCTATCTGGTTCAGCATCCGTTTTCCACAGTGGCCAACCAGATGTCTGTGGGAAACTTGCTAACAGGATCTGAGCACAAGAGAACTATAATAATAATAATAATAATTTATTATTTGTACCCCACCCATCTGGCTGAGTTTCCCCAGCCACTCTGGGCGGCTTCCATAGAAACCAAAAATACACCAAAATATCACAGATTAAAAACTTCCCTGAACAGGGCTGCCTTAAGATGTCTTCTGAATGTCAGGTAGTTATTTATCGCTTTGACATCTGATGGGAGGGCATTCCACAGGGTGGGCGCCACTACTGAGAAGGCCCTCTGCCTGGTTCCCTGTAGCTTTGCTTCTTGCAATGAGGGAACCGCCAGAAGGCCCTCGGCGCTGGACCTCAGCGTCAGGGCAGAATGATGGGGGTGGAGACGCTCCTTCAGGAATACTGGACCGAGGCCGTTTAGGGCTTTAAAGGTCAACACCAGCACTTTGAATTGTGCTCGGAAACGTACTGGGAGCCAGTGTAGGTCTTTCAGGACTGGTGTTATGTGGTCTTGGCGGCCACCCCCAGTCACCTGTCTAGCTGCCACATTCTGGATTAGTTGTAGTTTCCAAGTCACCTTCAAAGGTAGCCCCACGTAGAGCGCATTGCAGTAGTCCAAGCGGGAGATAACTAGAGCATGCACCACTCTGGCGAGACAGTCCGCGGGCAGGTAGGGTCTCAGCCTGCGTACCAGGTGGAGTTGGTAGACAGCTGCCCTGGATACAGAATTGACCTGCGCCTCCATGGACAGCTGTGAGTCCAAAATGACTCCCAGGCTGTGCACCTGGTCCTTCAGGGGCACAGTTACCCTATTCAGGACCAGGGAGTCCTCCACACCAGCCCGCCCCTGTCCCCCAAAAACAGTACTTCTGTCTTGTCAGGATTCAACTTCAATCCATTAGCCGCCATCCATCCTCCAACCGCCTCCAGGCACTCACACAGGACCTTCACCGCCTTCACTGGTTCTGATTTGAAAGAGAGGTAGAGCTGGGTATCATCTGCATATTGATGGACACCCAGTCCAAACCCCCTGATGATCTCTCCCAGCGGCTTCATATAGATGTTAAAAAGCATGGGGGAGAGGATGGAGCCCTGAGGCACCCCACAAGTGAGGGCCCAGGGGTCTGAACACTCATCCCCCACCACCACTTTCTGAACACTGCCCAGGAGGAAGGAGCGAAACCACTGTATAACAGTGCCCCCAGCTCCCAGCCCCTCTAGACGGCCCAGTAGGATGTTATGGTTGATTGTATCAAAGGCCGCTGAGAGATCCAGCAGAACCAGGAAACAACTGAATACCAGTCGCTGGAAACCACAGAAGTGGAGATGATCTCCAGCGAGCTAGGGGCAAAGATCATCTCCACTTCTGTGGTTTCCAGCGACTGGTATTCAAAAGAATTGCTGCCTCCAACTTTGAAGGCAGAGCATAGCAGCCATCAATAGCTCCCCCACCCCATGAGTCTGTCCAATCCTCTTTTAAAGGCCTCCAAGTTGATGGCCATCACTGCCTCCTGTGGGAGGGAGTTCCAGAGTTTAACTTTGCACTGCTTATGCGCCACGTGGGGATTAAATGAGATTGGGGAGAAGCAGGTCCGCCACCTTGAGCTCTTTGAAGAAGAATGGTGGATGAAAAAGAAAGAAAGAAAGAAAGAGGGAGAGAGAGAGAGAGGTAGAAAGGAAGAAAGGAAGAAAGAAAGAAAGAAAGAAAGAAAGAAAGAAAGAAAGAAAGAAAGAAAGAAACTCCTTCTTGACAGCCTCCTTGGAAGCACCTGCTCTTCGTTGGGAGAGCAGCGGCGTGGCTTCTGAGCGCGGGCAGAGTGCGCCTCTCGACTTCCCTGGCCACAGGCTGGAAGGGGCCGGCCTCTCCTCCCTCTCTGCCCTCCCCGGAGGCGGCCACCGCTGCTGCTGCTGCTCCTCCTCCCCGCCGGCGTCCCGAGGCTCGCAGTCCGACTCCGGCCGTCTCCACCGCGGGCGAGATGCGGGCGCAGCTGCTGCCGCTGTTCCTGCTTGCGGTTTTCTCCGCGCTCGGCTCCTGCTTGCTCAGCCACCGGGAAGGTACGGCGGAGCGCGACCGGGGGTGGGGGGCACGAGAGAGGGAGCCAGGACGCCTCCCTCGAGAGGAGGAGGAGGGGGAGGAGGAGCCGGTGACGATTTGTGGGGGGCTCCGAAGGGGGCGGCTGGCGCAAGAAGCGCACCTCTATGTGGGGGAGGGAGAGAAAGAAAAGCGGGGGCGTAGGAGCCTCCGCGCCTGGCCCCGTTTCTCCCCACGCCACATTCCCTTTCGCTTTCGCTACTTCGCCCTCGGAGGGTTTGGCCAGGAGCGCGCGTGTCCTCAGGCGCCCGCAGAAAAATGGAGGCGGCTAGGGGGAGAGCAGTCAAAGTGCGCCTGCCTCCCCCCCACGCAGAGTTTTGTGTTTTTATCTTGTATTTTATTCTGTGAACCGTCCTGAAATCTCCGGATGAAGGACGGTATACAAATTTAATAAATAAGGGATTATTCGTTGTTATACTATTATCTCACTGGCTGGGATGGCAGGAACTTGGGTGGGTGATCACCATCGTCCTGGGCGAGGGGTGTGCGGAGGCGCAGCTTGCTTCTGTGCATAATGTGCGGTGTAGTGGTTAGAGTGTCGGACTAGGGACCTGTGTGAGCAGGGTTCAAATCCCCACACAGCCATGAAGCTCACTAGGTGACCTTGGGCCTGACCGACCTCATAGGGTTGTTGTGAGGATAAAGTAGTTATGCCTGCTATCTTGAGTTCCTTGCAGGAGAGGCAGGATATACAGGGTGAGTCTTTTAAAAGAGGCCCCGTGGAACATGTGTACGGTACAGTGGTACCTCTGGTTAAGAACTTAATTCATTCTGGAGGTCCGTTCTTAACCTGAAACTGTTCGTAATCTTCAGGTTACAGACTCCGCTAACCCAGAAATAGTGCTTCAGGTTAAGAACTTTGCTTCAGGATGAGAACAGAAATCGTGCTCTGGCGGTGCGGCAGCAGCAGGAGGCCCCATTACCTAAAGTAGTGCATTAGCTAAAGTGGTGCTCAGGTTAAGGACGGACCTCTGGAACGAATTAAGTTCTTAACCCGAGGTACCACTGTAGCTCTGTGAAGGGGAAACTACCATTCCCAGGATTCTTTGGGAGACATTAGGTGGCTTAATGGGGAGTTGGATGTGAATTAAATGTATTGGGCGGATCTGCCCTTTCTTTTTTAAACGTCTTTCGTTTTGTCTTTTTCTTCTTCCCTCAACAGAGGAATTTCTCTTCAAGACATGGATGTCTCAGGTAAGGCCCTCCTGCCCATGCATAAGCCGCCACTCCCCCAAAGTTAGGTATAACCCTCTATGCTCAAGGCCTGCTTCACTTTCCCTTGGCCTGGTTCCACTGGAAGGGACTTTCCTGCTGGACTTTACTCCCTCCCTCCTTTCCTCCCTCCCTCCCTCCTTTTTCCTTCTGTGTTGTCCTGGCTATTCTCTAGTGTGACCCTGCAGGGGGTTTTTTTAGGTCTTTCTCAAGAAGTGCTGGATTCGGAGAGTCACTTTGAATTAAATTGGAACTAATGGGAAATATCTCCACAAGAGTCAGCATTTTGCATAACTGTCTTCCAGACAGCCACCTCCTTTTGTCACCTTTCAGCAAACAGTAAAAGGCAGCTCATTTCCTTCCCTCCAGGAAGTACCTCACCCTTCCTATTCTATCCCCCAGGGAGGGTGGCCTGAGCTGTGTGTGTTTTTTTCCACACAGGTGCCTGCCTGCCTGCCTGTCTGGAAACAAAGGTGCAAAGCCGTGCAGCCCCAGTGAGCCAGTTGCTAGGTCTGAAATGATGACAAACTGGTTTCTGAGCATCTCTCTTTAACAACTACTACTACTACTACTACTACTTAGGATACACTGTTGTTCATAAAAAATATATCTAGAGTCATATATATAGCCATGCAATAAAAACTGAAATTTTAGATTTTTTGAGCATGTGGCCAAGAGGACCCCATGCCAAAGAATTGTTCGTTACAGGACCAGCTCAGGCAATCAGTGACCTTTTAAACTGGGTTGGGGCGGGGTTATTAGTTTTGTTTGTTATTTTGTGTTGTTGTTGTTGTTTAGTCATTTAGTCGTGTCCGACTCTTCGTGACCCCATGGACCAGAGCACGCCAGGCACCCCTGTCTTCCACTGCCTCCCGCAGCTTGGTATTTTTCTTTACATCATTGGACTTTCCTTTCACTTCCAGGCATATCCGCAACTGAGCGTCCTTTCGGCTTTGGCTCAGCCGCTTCATCAGCTCTGAATCTACTTGTACTTGTCCTCCGCTCTTCCCCAGTAGCATGCTGGACGCCTTCTGACCTGAGGGGCTCATCTTCCAGCGTCATAACTTTTATATGCCTGTTGCCTTTGTCCATGGAGTTTTCTTGGCAGGGATACTGGAGTGGCTTGCCAGGTGGCTCCAGGTGGATCACGTTTGGTCAAAACTCTCCACTATGACCTGTCCATCTTGGGTGGCCCTGCACGGCATAGCTCATAGCTTCTCTGAGTTATTCAAGCCCCTTCGCCACGGCAAGGCAGTGATCCATGAAGGGGTTGTTTGTTATTATGGTTTTTATATTGCAATCTGCCCTGTGATCTTTGGATGAAGGACAGTATAGAAATTTAATAATAGTAGTAGTAGTGGTTGTTGTTGTTTAGTCGTGTCCGACCCTTTGTGACCCCATGGACCAGAGTACGCCAGGCACTCCTATCTTCCCTCCCACAGCTCGGTCAAACTCATGCTGGTAGCTTCGAGAACACTGTCCATCCATCTCGTCCTCTGTCCCTTCTCCTTGTGCCCTCCATCTTTCCCAACATCAGGGTCTTTTCCAGGGATTCTTCTCTTCTCATGAGGTGGCCAAAGTATTGGAGCCTCAGTTCAGGATCTGTCCTTCCAGTGAGCACTCAGGGCTGATTTCCTTAAGAATGGAGAGGTTTGATCTTCTTGCAGTCCATGGGACTCTCAAGAGTCTCCTCCAGCACCATAACTCAAAAGCATAATTCTTCAGCGATCAGCCTTTTTTATGGTCCAGCTCTCACTTCCATACATAGTAGTAGTGGTAAGGTTTACCTTACCACTACTACTATGTAAAGGGACCCCTGACCGTTAAGTCTAGTCGTGGCCACCTCTGGGGTTGCGGTGCTCATCCCGCTTTATTGGCCGAGGGAGCCGGCATTCAGCTTCTGGGTCATGTGACCAGCATGGCTAAGCCGCTTCTGGTGAACCAAAGCAGCGCACGGAAACGCCATTTACCTTCCCGCCGGAGCGGTACCTATTTATCTACTTGCACTTTGACGTGCTTTTGAACTGCTAGGTCGGCAGGAGCTGGGACTGAGCAACAAGAGCTCACCCCGTCCCGGGGATTTGAACCACCGACCTTCTGACAGCAAGTCCTAGGCACTGTAGTTTAACCCACAGCGCCACCCGCGTCAGTAGTAGTGGTACTAAATGGAATAAATGATGCCTGAAGAGCCACAGGTTCACCACCTGCATCACAGTAGGCAGCTTATGCCTTGGTCTCTTACCACCCACCAGTTCCCATGTCTCAGTTCCATGACTGAAATGGATACTTCAGATTGAAGTGGGGTGGGGGACTTCCAAAGAAGGTGCGGTTTGTGAGCAAGGGAGGGGGAGGCACTTCTCTGTTCTAAATCTGCCCAGGGTTGCACTTTCACTTCTGTGTCCTGCAGCTGCTGTGTCCTTCCTGTCTCCCACAGAACAACAAGCAGTACCGCCTGGAGGAGTATCAGCGGCGCTTTCAGATCTTCCTTAGTAACAAGCAGAAGATTGAGAAGCACAATGCTGGGAATCATACCTTCCAAAGTACGGACCCTGCTCTTGAGATACCTTTTAAAAGAGGGCAAGGTTGACTGCAGATCTGGCTTCACAACTCCCTCTTCTCTCTCTCCTTCTTTCCTCAGTGGGTCTGAACCAGTTTGCCGACATGACATTTGCTGAATTCAGGAAAAAGTATCTCTGGCGTGAACCCCAGGTAAAGGCTTGTGCCTTCCTGCCATTTCCCTCCCCACCCCACCACCCCCATCATACAAGGAACCTTTGGGGGCTCACCATGCAACCCTGGGCTTGCGTCCTTGCCATGTTCTCTATTGCACATGTCTTTCGGAAGTCACAGATGAGCATCCTTCACACATAACCCTTAAGCATGCTTGTGCAAGAGAGGAATCCTTACATGGGTTACCCTGTGTGCTTTGGCCCCAGAGAATGCATCTAAGAAAGTTCAAAATCCAGGAAGCCAGACCCACACACAAAGCCTGGGATTGAATGCCAGTGCATCTGTTTATTGCAGCAGGTGGCGGGAGGGGTGGGGATTCAGTTTCACAGCAAGCAATGCACTGCAGCATACCAACGTAAATGTTTTGTCGTAGTTATCATTATTATGTTTGTTTATTTATATCCTGCCTTTGCCCCAGAATGGGACTCCAGGTGGCATACCCAAATTAAAGCAACACAGATAAAATACCAAAAGCTAAAAACATATAACAGATAATGATTAAAAAGCAATTCAACTCCAAAAGAATTAAAAATATATAAAAAAACAAATATACAAAAATGCAAATAGTATAAACAGCACAGCAATACAGTTGTACTTGGATCCTGAACACCTTGCAAGTTGAACGTTTTGGCTCCCGAATGCTGCAAACCTGGAAATGACTGTTCCAGTTTGCGAACTATTTTTGGAAGCCAAACGTCCGATGGGGCTTCTGCTGCAGCCAATCAGAAGCTGTGCTTTGGTTTCCAAACGTTTTGGAAGTCAAATGGATTCTGTTCGACTTTCAAGGTACGAGTGTATTAAAACCCTTTCCTTTTAAAAGCAGTCCTTTACCAAAGCCTGTCAAAATAAAACAGTCTTCCCCTGCTGGCGTAATGGCAACAAGGAGGAAGCCAGTCTAATTTCTCTAAGAAAAAGTCAAAAATCTGGGAGCAGTCACTGACAGAGTCCTCTCCCATGTCACCACCAAGCATGCCTCTGAGGGAGGCAGGACTAAGGGAAAGTCCTCCTCCAAAGATCTCAGAGCCCAGGCAGGTTCGTATGGGAGAAGATGATCCTTCAGACAGCTTGGGCCCAAGCCAAATAGGGCTTAATAGGTCCTAACTTGTGCCTTTTGCACCAGCGTCGAAGCAGTGATTCTTCAACATCAACTTCGTTGGACTGGTCATGTTGTACGGATGCCTGATTATCGTCTTCCAAAGCAACTACTCTATTCTGAACTTAAAAATGGAACGCGTAATGCTGGTGTTCAACAAAAGAGGTTTAAAGACTCTCTCAAGGCAAATCTTTAAAAATATAGTATAAACACACACCGACAACTGGGAAACGCTGGCCTGCGAGCGCTCCAGTTGGAGAACAGCCTTTACCAAAGGTGTCATGGGCTTTGAAGATGCTCAAACTCAGGATGCAAGGGAGAAACATGCTAAGAGGAAGGCACGCTTGGCAAATCCACACTGTGATCAACTCCCACCCAGAAACCTATGTCCCTACTGTGGAAGGACGTGTGGATCCAGAACTGGCCTCCACGGTCACTTATGGACTCACTGTTAAGACCGTGTTCGTGGAAGACAATCTTACTTGGCTACAAGTGATCGCCAAAGAAGAAGACTGTGCTCTTCTACTTTCACAACCGTATAGAAAGAATAAATTCTCAGAAGAGAGGGAGAAACACATTGTCCTAAAGAAAAAGGAAGGAAGCACATCAGTTTGGTGCAAAGCTCCGGAAGATAGAGCAGAGCTTAAAATTTATCTGTCACAGCTGGAACAATAGTGTGTGTGTGCGTGTGTGTGCTGTATTTAATTTTTAATTTCATAAAATTCATATACAGACAGTTAAAATGCCTATTTAAAGCATTCAGTAAATTAAAATTATCAGTGATAAGCTAAACACAGCTCAACATTCAACATACCTGGATAGGCTTTCCTAAATAAAAAAATTACAGCAAAGGCTCCTCCCTGTCAATTGGCAGGGAGTTCCAAAGTGTATGTGCTAAAAGACTTGAGTTTTTACACCTCTCTTTCCAAAGGATATACATTGGACTTAGTATTTATATGGCCCCTTTTCAGGTGGTCATAGTGATTCACTTATACTATCTCAAGCCTGAAATTAAAGGTGATGCTGGATTAGCAAGGACCCAGCACCCAGGGGGCATTTCAGGAGGTTCCTTCACCTCCGCATGCCACATTCACGTGCCAGGGGATCCCATGGACCAGGCAGGTGCTGTATGGGGAGTGGCTGAGCACCCAGTTTAAATATGGAGTACTGCATTTTATGAACACATTATTACCCAAATTGAATTCAGCTTCTGAAAATAGAGCTCTAACAGTCTAAAAATAAGACATCCTGGAAACACACAAAGTCTGGAGGAGGAAGAGAGCGTGTTTTAAATAGAGGCTTTAAAAATACTTTCCTGTAAGCAATAAAATGCTGGGTTTGTGTTTTGTTTTTTCAAAAATAGGGACTTGAGCAGTTTTATTTCATTGCCTTATTTTTGCTCTGTAATGCATTGAAAGTGAAAAATATTTTTGTAAACCCTGGAATCAGAAAAAAATATTTTCTTAAAACAGGCTAGCCAACTTGTGAATTTTACTCTCAAGTCATTATTGCAATTCCCAGTAGGATTATTTTACATATAATTAGTGTAGTCCCTTCTATGGAAGATAATAAAAAGAATAATAGGAGAATACTGTAATAAAAATATATGGAGAAGGGTTGCCAAGCGTCATATGGTGAACTCATGTTGGTGGTGGTGTCTGATACTATTTTGCTCCTGCAGCTGATGTGAGGCTGCAGGTGGGAGATGGTGGCTTGCGGAGGTGGCAATTGTGCCAGAGACTCCACCGGCCTCCAAGCCCCCGTTCTTATTTGATGTGCCGCAGCAGATTGTGGCCAACCAACATGGCAACGCTCACCACTTGTGGCTCAGGGGCTTCTGTGTCTGGGGAACATCAGCTGCCAGCTGAGTGAGGGGCTCTCTTGTTGTTTCCAGAACTGCTCAGCCACCATTGGCAACTTCATCAGCCGTGGTGGGGCCTGTCCAAAAACCATAGACTGGAGGAAGAAAGGAAATTTTGTGACACCTGTGAAAAATCAGGTAAGGAACTGATCCTGAAGGCCACTCTCCCACCCTCAACTGTTGGTCCCACAGAGCAATTGAAAATATGTTTCCGCTGGAGGCTCAAAAGGGTTTTAAATGTAATTCCGGTTGTGGGCTTATGTTTTCCTAAGGATTTTGCTGATAGGGATAGTGCTACAGATATAAACTTGGTTTGCACATAACATTAAAACACAGTTTATTAACCCACGGCTCAGTGTTATTCGTGAACTATAGTTTCTCTACTGCCAACAAACCACGACCTGAAGCCATGGTTTGATGTCAACTTAAGCCTTTGGGCTTAACCTTGGGCTTGGTGTTACATGCGAACCTAGCCCCTTAACTATGGTTTGTTTGGCTCCCCCACCCCAGATGCTCACCAAACTACAAAGGCATAAGTTGCTGGAAAACAAGCTGTGAGGAACAAACTGTGGTTTGACTGTCTGTGGCACAGCTTTTGGTTTGTTGAACAAACCATGGTTTAGAATTAGGTGTGAACCAGGCCACTGTGCCTTCCTTTACCTGTGGGAAGAGAGTTGTTGCTTTTTCTCATGCCTTCCCCTTCCTTCTTGTCATTTTTGAATTTACTGACATGCTCTGTATGTTGTATATTTATATGTCCAATGAGCTGTATTTTGATGTTCTGAATGTTTGCTGTAAGCTGCTTTGGGTGCAACTTATTGTGGAAAAGCGCCATATAAGTAAACTCAGTCAACCAGTCTTCTTCCTTCCTTCCATCTGACTTCTCCCTCCTCTTCAAGGGTCCCTGTGGCAGTTGCTGGACTTTCTCAACCACTGGGTGCTTGGAGTCTGCTATTGCCATCGCAACAGGAAAGCTACTGGACCTGGTAAGGCTCCCCTGTTGAACTCTGGCCTTGTTGAACTCTGGCCTATCTGGTTACCTCTGTTCCATGTCTGTGTGGCCTGTGTTAACCTCATGAAAGTCTAGGCCACATCTGGGTTAAGAAAAAGTGGCTTGCCTCTTCAGAACCAAGTGGAGACAAAAGGACTGGGGGCATTCATGGCAGCAAAAAGGGAATGTCAGAAGCTCAACATGCATTTAAAGTAGCTGAAAGCAGCAAAGCTCATGTACGTGCAGGAACACACAGCCAAAAAGCTGAAGGTCTTGCTCAAGGAGATTTGTCCACAGCCAGAGGCAGGCGTTACAAGTTAATTAACAGTTAATCCTCTAATTTGTAATGCCTGTTCCCTTTCAGGAGCCTGCCTCTGGCTGTGGACAAATCTCCCTGAGCAAAAAAACATCTGGAGGGCTGAGTTTGCCTATGCCTGGATTAATTGAATGCAGGTTTTGGAAGGGACAGGCTTCCACTTCCTACTTTTGGTTCAGGCCAATTTACCTGGAAACCAGGGATTGAAGAAACCCTTCTCAGGCTGTAGTTAATGTAATCTTTCTATAAGGTGTGACCGGAAAGTTCAGTGAATGGTCACAGAAATGGACAGCAATAAATATTCGAACCTACAATCTTACAGGCCTTCAAAGTAGCCCCCCTCTGATACAATGCACCATTAACAACGTTCATAGAACTGTTGGAAACTTCTGGAGAAGTCCTCTTTTTGTACTGCTTTCAGTTCCCTCATCACAGCAGCTTGGACATGTGAAATGTTGGGAAATTTGTGCCCTTTCAGTGCAGATTTCAGTTTTGGAAAAAGAGAGAAATCCAGTGGGGCAGACTGGGAGAATATGGAGGGTGGGACAACTCAGTAATGATTTCATGCGGAATATACCATCATTTGGACAGAGAAATGCCGATCCCATATCAATAACTCACAAACTCTGTCGTTGCCGCCGTTCTGCTTGTCGACGGTCTGCCAGACTGAGGGTCATCTTCAATGGTTTGCCGCCCCTCACAGAAACGCTTAAACCACTCATACACCGTCTTTCGAGTTACAGCTTCATCTCCGTACACAATTGTGAGCATTTTGTGGGTTTCCAGTGCCAATTGTATGTTTGAATATTTCTTGCTATCCGATTTCTGTGACCATTCACCAAACTTTCCAGTCACACGTTGTGTATTTATAGTACTGAATTTTTTTTGTATGTTCTTATGTTTGCTACTGTACTGTTTCATTATGTTACTATAACATCGTTTTTGCACTGTTTTGAAATGCATTCCTGTTTTCTTTGCTGTAAGCTGTTATGAGCATATTTATTATTTTTTGTGTGAAAAGGCAGTACACAAATAAAATTATAAATGAATGCAGGAGTGTCTCCCTCCCCCAGGCTGAACAGCAGCTGGTTGACTGTGCTCAGGCCTTCAACAACCATGGATGTAGTGGGTAAGTTCAAGGTGTTATTGTTAGTATATAAAGCCCTTAACAAGTTAGTACAAGTTTACATGCGTTATCACCTTACCTCATATACACCCACTCAACTGCTTTGGTTGGCGGAACTGACACTGGTGCCAAGTAACTTGTTCTGCATTTGTAATATTCATTCTTTTAGTGTGCCAGCACCTACACTTTGGAACTCCCTGCCTCTTGATATCATTGGACATTTTTCGGTGCCAGCTGAAAACATTTTTGTTTAGATTAGCCTATTTAGACATTTAAAACATTGATGCAAGTTTTAATCTGTTTTTTAGTCTCTTTGTATTTTAACTTCCTGAAAGTGTTAAATTATTGTTAATTTTTCTAAGTGATAGTCTTGCGGTTTCGTCTTTTCTGTAAACTGCTTTGGGGATTTTCACAATCTAGCTGCATATAATTTTTATGAAATAGATACGTAAGTGGCAGCATCTTCTGAGTAATCTCAGCCCTTCCTTATCATAGTAATACCTTCAAACTCAGTGTTCCATCCCCTGCATCCTCCTTCCCACAACCTTCCTCAACCTCCACAGCAAGAGAATAACTCAGAATGAGCAGGCTGATTTGTGCTGTTGTGTCTCTGCCTCCCCAGAGGACTCCCTAGCCAGGCGTTTGAATACATCCTGTACAACAAAGGGCTGATGGGGGAGGATGACTACCCATACACCGCACAGGTATGTTGCTAGGATTAGGATTGCAGAGTAGAAGAGGGCAGGCACTGCCCTCCGCAATGAGCCATCTCTAATGGGCCTCCCTTTTCTCATGCACAGAACGGGACCTGCAAATTCCAAGGTCAGAAGGCCATTGCATTCGTCAAAAAAGTCGTCAACATTACGCTGGTGAGTGATTCCTCCTGCCCTGCATTTTGCTTTTCCCAAGAGGTGAAAATAAAATGTAACTGAACTTCTACTGGATGTTCGAACTTGTCCGGCCCCTTCTTAGAAAGAGGGGTAACAGTAAACAGAAAACACCTGGCTGTGGGTGGCGGATAGCTACTACTTTCCCACTTTGCACATCTTCTCTGGCCCTTAAGAAATGGGTCCTGAGTCTCGCCATTGTTTGCTTTGTGTCCTGGGGAGTCCGTCCTCAGCCTTTGCTGAGCCAGGGCCAAGCATTGCGTATTAAGACAGAGACAGAGAAGAGAAAGGACTTATTCACGCAGCACATAGTTAAACTCCGGAACTCTCTGCCACAGGAGGCAGTGATGCCCACCAACTTGGATGGCTTTAAAACCGGATGAGACAAATTCACAGAGGAGAGGGCTATCAATGGCTATGCTCTGCCTCCACTGTTGGGGGCATCATTGCTTCTGATAACTAGTTGCTGGAAGCCGCTAGAGCAGCCTTTCTCAACCTGTGGGTCCGCAGATGTTGTTGGACTACAACTCCCATCACCCCTAGCTAGCTAGGCCAGAGCTCAGGGATGATGGGAGTTGTAGTCCAACAACATCTGCGGACCCACAGGTTGAGAACCGCTGCGCTAGAGGGAAGGGTGCTCTTGTTCTCAAATCCTGCTTGTGGGTTTCCCACAGGAGTCTGGTTGGCTTATGTGATAACACGATGTTGGACTAGATGTGCCCCTGGCCTGATCCAGCAGGCTCTTCTTATGCTCCTTTGACTTTCTCCTTCCAGAATGATGAGCAAGGCATGGTGGAAGCTGTGGGGAGGTACAATCCATTGAGCTTTGCCTTTGAAGTGACAGACGACTTTATGTTATACACGAAAGGTGTTTACTCCAGGTGAATATATTGAGCCGTGAACAAGGCAGTGTGTGTGTGTGTGTGTGTGTGTGTGTGTGTGTGTGTGTGTGTGTGTGTGTGTGTTTGTAAAATGGGACTGGTTTATGGATAATGCCAAGGGTCATTGCCTTGGCCCTGTTGCTCATCTTGCATCTTTCAGGGCATGTTAGCATTTGTGTGGTTGCACCAGTAGGACTCAATGTTTGTCGAGCAAAGAAGGGAGAGCAGGAAAAGATGCTTGACTTTTCATCTGCTCTCTTACCTGGGTTACTTCAGTCTGTTCTGGTTTGGTCAGATGACCTCACCTGGAGACTGCTGAAGCCATCAGGGTCAAGCGTCCACCTGCCTTTCCTGGGTCAAATTGCAAGAACAAGTACTGAGATCGAACACTAGGAAGCCTCAGTCTTGATGGTCTGAGCTGCTGGACAGCGCAAGGGGCTGTCTTCGAAGGTGGTGGGCTCTCTTTCATGGGAGGGCTTTAAGCAGAAACTGCATGGCCCCCTCCTCTCATGGATTCTGCAAGAGTAGGTTTCCTGGACAGTAGGTTCCATATTCAACACACAGTAAATGTTTTTTTAAAAATCATTTTCTTTCTACAGCAAACACTGTGAGAAAACTCCAGACAAAGTCAATCATGCTGTCCTGGCTGTAGGCTATGGAGAGGAGAACGGCCTTCTGTACTGGATTGTCAAAAATTCCTGGGGGCCCTCGTGGGGCATGGATGGGTAAAGTATTCCTTTTTAGTCTCTGAAACCACCTCCTTTGCTACAGCCTCTCTCAGATGCTAAGATCTGCAGAAGATGCCCTTTTGGTAACTCCTCTGCCTTCAGAGGCATAGGGTGGTGGTGGCGGCGGCCCAAGAGATTGCCTTCTCTGTGGTGGCCCCTAAGCTGTGGAATGCCCTCCTCACAGTGGTTTGTCTGGCACCTTCATTATACAGCTTCCGGAGAATGCCAAAGACACACCTCTTTCCTGTGGCTTTTGGTACCTGTGCTGTATGTTTTTAGGGCTCACCTAATTTTACGCTTCTGGGTTGTTTTAAATGGTTTTTAAGGCTTTAACCCACCTTGGTACCTTAGGGTGAAGGACAGATAATAAAATTATTATTATTAATAAACCAACCTTTGCCGACCTGGTGCTGTCCAGATGTTTTGGGTTACAATTCCCATCAGCCCCAGCTGGCTGGTGGGAGTTGTAGTCAGAAATATATAGCTAGGCTCAATGGCTGTTTCGGGATTCTTAGCTGATTCTCTGGCACCATCTAGCGGCTTGTTCAGGGCTGAGGATAATAATATAAAGAATTAGGTCGCCAATTCCGTCCATAGAAAGCCCACAAAGGATCCTCCCTGCCACTCTCATTAGACTCAATCAGGCCATAAATATTCAAGATTTACTTGGGCATCATGAAAACCCTGCCCTTTCTCCAAAATCTGATTTATAATGCAAAAGATTCTTTGGAGTTTGTTGTAACATCTTCATCCTGCCTATGCACATGTGTCTATGTCGGCCTGGAGCATTATTATTATTATTATTATTATTATTATTATTATTATTATTAAAATTTCATTCTCATTAGACAGCTAGGAAATGGGGCAAGAGAGGGTTTCGGGCTGGCAGCATCAGCTCCCGTAACTTCTAGGCTAGATTACTGCAATGTGTTATATGTTGGGCTGCCTTTGAAGACTGTTTGATGCTAGTACAGAATGCAGTGGCCAGACTACCAATTGGGACTAGGCTGGTTTGAACATAGAGCAATTCTGGCCTGGGATCACTGACTGATTTGTTTCTGAGCCCAATTCCAAGTGCTGGTTTTGAACCACAAAGCATTGCAGGGCTTGTGGTCCCAGTACCTTAAGGACCCTATTTCCCTATACGAACCTATCCAGCCAGACCCTCAGATTAACATCAGAGGCCTTTCTCTGTGTGTAGTGGCCCATCAATTGCAGAATACCTCCCCATGAGGCCCCTCTGGCACCAATTTTGTTATCCTTCCAGCACCAGGCAAAGATGGGTTTATTTTCTCAGGTATTTGGACAGCGCTAATGGTCTGGCTTTTGGACATCTATTTTTGGTACTCAGCCTTGTGGTAATGGGGTGGTTATTTTGCTGACTGCTTTTTGTGGAAGAACACTGTTGTATATTTGTTTCATTTTAATGGATTTTTAATGCATAGTGTTCTGATGTTATGTCTGTAAATTGCCCTGAGACTCCTTTGTGTGAAGTGAGACACTTAATAAATTGAACTAATCTAATCAAGAGAAGCACCATCCTTCAAACTGCTTCTCATGGTCTGGGTGCAGCAGGACAATTTTCTAGGAAAGCCTCAAGCATTCCAAGACACACCTTGTTGAATAGTGTCTTAGGAACATAGGGAGCTGCCTTAGACCAAGTGCTTGGCCACACTTCCACTTGTCCTGTGCCTAGAAAGTACAGGTCTGAACAGTTTTGCTTTTGCTTCGCTGCTTCCCCCTGGAAAACCAGCTCTCCAGCTCTAAATCGGAGCAAACATTAATTCGTAGAAAACCCGGTTGATGTTTGCTCCGATTCAGAGGTAAAGATTGTGTTTTCTCAGGGGAAAGCTGCAGGACAAGCAGAAGTCTGGATGAGCCCCAAGTCAGAACACTGATCCATCTAGCCCAGTGTTGTCTGCACTGATTGGCAGTGCCTCTTCAGGGTTTTAGACAGGGAGCCTTACCTAGCCCTACCTGAAGATGCAATTGGGGATTGAACCTGAGACCTTATGCAAGCAGAAGCTCTACCTCTGAGCCACAGCCCTACCTGCCCTTAAGGGTTTTGTGTACTTTCCTCTCTGATAAGGCAACGCCTATGAATGAAAACCTGTTTTCTCTTTTAGATACTTCTATATTGAACGTGGAAAGAACATGTGTGGCCTTGCTGACTGTGCATCCTTCCCAGTCCCTCTTGTCTAAAGCTGGCCTGGATTTGGGCGCCAGAGAGCTGGTAGTGATGGGTCACTATGCTGAAAATTGAAGCTGGAATGAAGTTCATCGGAGCCAAGAAGCGGGGCAATTTATCTTGTAATGGATTTTCAAGCACACACCTCCTCTACATGTGTGTCTGATACTGTGAAAAAGTTTTTGACCCAAGTTGCTGCACTTTCCTAGATCCCTGTGTATCTTGTTTTTCTAGCACAGTTGCTCACCTTATCCAAAATCATGCTCCTTTTCTTAAGATTTTCTTTATTCCCTACCATTCCCCTTGCACGAGCTCAGGGCAGCTCACACAATCATAAAAATCCAGCACTAAAACCAAGAGTAAAATCACAGTTTGCAACAAAATCCAGTAAAAATTAATGTATCACAGCCAGCAATAAGTTAGGTAGGCCAATTGCACTTATGTTCTGAAGGCAATCGGACAAATTTTTAACTACTGTCTGAACACAGACCAACTGAAAGAAGGTGGGGAAAACAAGTTTCATAACTGGGGGCCATGTGTACCTTTTACACTCTTAGATAACTTGTTGTTGGGCTCATTGCTTTGTCTTTCTGTGTCCCAACGCCACTTCTTCTGCTTTCCAGAAACACCTCTTAGTGACTGACTTGAAATCTGTTCTCTCCCTTTCAGCAACTTCAGTGAGGGCTCAACCCATATGCCAAGAAATGCTGAGTTCTGACCAATTACTTTACACTATTGTTGGTTATCAGCTGCTTTCCCCCACTGCTCCCCCCCTCCCCGCCACAAGGGTTGAGTGTCTTTCTAGTGCCTTTCTAGTGAATTTAGCTGGCATGTGGTATAATGCTCTGGAAGCCTTAGAGCAGGGGTCAGCAAACTTTCTCAGCAGGGGGCCGGTCCACTGTCCCTCAGACCTTGGTGGGGGGGCCGGACTATATTGGGGGGGGGGGAGAATGAACGAATTCCTATGCCCCACAAATAACCCAGAGATGCATTTTTTTAAAAAACACCAGGCAGGCCCCACAAATAAGCCAGAGATGCATTGTAAATAAAAGGACACATTCTACTCATGTAAAAACACGCTGATTCCCAGACTATCCATGGGCCGGATTTAGAAGGCGGTTGGGCCGGATGCCTACCCATGCCTTAGAGCAGGCATGGCCAAACTTGGCCCTCCAGATGTTTTGGGACTACAACTCCCATCATCCCTAGCTAACTGGACCAGTGGTAAGGGATGGTGGGATTCAAAAAGCTTGGCTTTCTCATTCAGCTCAAGCTGCTTCATATCTCCCAATTCCCAACATTTTCACAGCTTTTGTTATAAGAATCCTACAATAAGAAGCCTTTGTGGAAGAGCTGGCATGCTTTTAAACCAATCCGTTTGTTATACAGATTAGCAAGGGCAGCACTTTTACAGCAAGGGATCGCCTTGTTGATCACAGAAAGAACAAAACAGAGACAAGGCTGGATTTTTCTTTATTGTTCTGTTTGCAAGTGAGAGTCTCTTCCCACCCTTGCCCCCAATGCAAAGGAAGTGAGAATTCTAGAACAATGAGGAACAACTTTACAATACTTCAGAAATAGTCCAGCCCCTTAGCCAAGACCACTCAAAACCATAATTCAAACATCACTGAAATGGGTTGTACATGCAAATCGGATCATGCTCAGGGTTTTGTGTTTATTCAACATTTTTACAAGTCTATCACTCAGAGATTTGAACAATACCTGCTAATCGCTTTTCCAGGCCAAGCATCTTATTGAAAAGGTGAAAACCTTGATGTCGTAGATTATTGACACATACTGGCCCCATTCAAGTACAGTATTTTCTTTTGACATATTTAATTGAGTGCTTGAAAGTGTAAAGATTTGTGGGCTGTGAAGGAGTAATTTTATCTAGAACTTCCTGCAACCTGTTTGGAGGGGTCTCACAGTTCAACCTGAGGCTGAAGAGCGCCTTGCTCTTGCTCTGATGATTTGCCTGGTTCATGTTTTATCTGTACACCTATTCCTGAGCACATTTATGTACATATAACCCAATTTTGTAAAACAAGTGGTAATGTCTTTGCTCAGATTGTTTTTAAAATTATTTGAACTGTTTTGCTTGAATTGGGAAACTCCTGTATGGTGTTAATATTGTAATGCTGAATAAATCTTTAAGATGTTGGCTTATCTGAAATAATCAGTTGCCTTTTACACAATTTATTTACATTAAGCCTGTGTTTAAGCCCATAGCAATAAAACCATGGGCTCCTGTAGGTGATGATGATGAAGATCATGGGCTTAGCCAAGTAAAACAATAGAAATACTTAACTAATTTACCAATCGCATCCATTCTCCCCCCCCCCCAACAAAGTCTTGCCTCCCCCAACAAAAATCTTGGCTACACCCATGAAGATGGCAGAGCCCCCTTGTTCCTTTAACAGTCCTAATGAAGTGCAAATTCCCGGAAGCTTTTCTGTCCTCTTTGCTAAAACTCTGCATCAGGGATCTTGTAATCTGCATTTTGTAATCTGCCCTTGGTTTGCGGGGGGAGGGGCGGGATGTTAATAGTTTCTTTGCATTTAAAAGCCTGATTATTTTTGTAAGGATGATATTTCTAGTTTTGACAAATAAAGGCTCATTGGATTAATAATAATAAAAAAAGGCTGGTCTTGAATTTGTTCTGGGGGCGCCGGATCTGCATCAGAATGAATTAACCGGGGGATATGAGGTTGGGGCGGGGAGCTCTTCGGGCGGAGTCTTTCCCCGGCCCGCAAAGGCCTGGAGGTGTCCTTTTCCCACCGGACCTTTTGCGGGCGCTGGACCTGTAGGCGACGTCACTTCCTTTTCAGCCGGGAAGGAGCTCTTCCTTAGCCAATAGGATACTCGGGAGGCTGAGAAGGCGCTAAATGCGAAGAGGAGGGAGGAGGGAGCGAGGCGACTGCGGCGAGAGCCGCTTCTGCGGTGAAGGTGGGTCCTTGGGAGCGGTGAAGTCGTGGGGGGAGAGGGGGTGCCACGCGGACCGATGCATTGCAGGGGGTTGGACTTGATCATCCATTGGGCTCCTTTCGATTCTGCGAGAGGCCGCCTGCTGCTGGACGACCCCCAGGGTTCTCACCCCACTGCAAGCAGAGCTGGAGGGGGGCGAGAGCTGTGCTGGCAAGCGCAGACTGGGGTTGGAGGGGCGGGGGTCGGCGCTCGGAGCTGCTGTGCTCCTGGCAGTGCCGGATTTACGTATAAGCTAAACAAGCTATAGCTTAGGCCCCCCAAAAAAATTAAAGGGAAAAAATGGATATACTGTACATTTCCAAAATATAAGATAATGAACAAAGTAAAACAGTGTTTTGTGTTGTGTAGGCTCCTATGATGTAAATAATGGGCCCTGCCTGCTTGCCTTTTGTTATGTGCCAATGGCTTTAGATACCTATTGGGCCAAAAATTACCATATAGCATATAAAAAGGTAAAGGGACCCCTGACCATTAGGTCCAGTTGTGGCCGACTCGGGGTTGCAGCGCTCATCTCGCTTTATTGGTCAAGGGAGCCGGTGTACAGCATGACTAAGCCGCTTCTGGCGAACCAGAGCAGCGCATGGAAACACCGTTTACCTTCCCGCTGGAGCGGTACCTATTTATCTACTTGCACTTTGACATGCTTTCGAACTGCTAGGTTGGCAGGAGCAGGGACCGAACAACGGGAGCTCACCCCGTTGCGGGGATTCGAACCGCCGACCTTCTGATCAGCAAGTCCTAGGCTCTGTGGTTTAACCCACAGCGCCACCTGCGTCCGTAGCTTAGGGCCTCATCAAACCTAAATCCAGCCCTGGCTCCTGGGGCCACTGGCTGCCAGGTATCTCCCTGGAACGTGGGGAGCTACTTCCTGCCGAGTCAAGCCATTGGCCCTTCTAGCTCAGCGCTGCCCACACTGACTAGCAGTGAGAGTCTCACCAGGGTTTGAGGCAGGGAGGCCTCCCTGGAAATGCCATTGGGGTTGTGGTGATTGTGGTTGTTATGTTGTGGCTGTTGCTGGGGTTATTGTTGTTACCTGCATTTATATACCACCTTTTTCTCCAATGGGCTTGGGGCAGTTTGCACACAAAGCAGGCATGCTGTTGCCGAGCTATTATGGTCCTTCGTCTGAGTGTATTGGGATCATCTTCAACAGATATTCCCCTGCCTTTGGCGCTGGGGCAGATGGACTACCTGAAGCTGCCTTACGCTCCTAGACCATCTAAGATGGCAGTCAGAAGTCCTCCAAGGTGTGTGGGAGAGTCTTTCTCCCATCTTTTAATCTAGCAATGGCCTTATTATAAGTAAAGCAGGCACTCTGCCGCAGAACTGGAGCCCTTCAGGAAAGCTTGAATGGGAATCTCAGCACCTTTGAACTGGCTAGCGATTACAATTGTTGGGCATTTGTCTAGCTCAGCTTTGCTGGTTTTGCTTTGGATACCATTGTCAGAACAGAAGCTCAAGCTCCTGCTTCTGCCTACAGTGGGGAACATAACTGCCCTTAAAGTCATTTTCAACTTGTTATTGACCAAAGTTTATTTTCGCTTACGATGCTTATGTATTTCAACTGTGTAGGTTTTGTTTGTTTTCTCTCCCCCAGCCTACTTAAAAAAACAGAATGGCAGCCGTTCCTCAGAATAACCTGCAGAAGCAGCTTGCACTTCATTCAGCCAAAGCCCCTCAAAGAAACCTGGCACCACCCAAACCCAAGACTATGTAAGTATTGCCCCCCCCCGAGCATCTCAAACTGAACATGATCAAACAGTGGCAATCAATATTTACCAATATTGAGCATGTACTAGGCATTAATGATAGTTACTTGGGGAAATATTTATTTTCCTCTTGCCATAACATGGAAAATACCTTAAGAACTGCATAAAAATAAGGGGGAAAGTAACTCTCTCCCTCTCTCTCTCTCTCTCTCTCTCACACACACACACACACAAATAAAAGTGAGCGATGTATACAAAATCCTTTTACAAATTTTAAAAATGGGAGTCCAGGAAAGCTTGGGTAAATGTAAAACACATTTAAAGGTAATTTCTGTCTAATTTCAGGTGTTAGTAATGCTTAGAAATAGTTAATGAGCAACATGTTTGTGAATTTAAATACATGGCTTGAAATGAAATGAAAGGCTAATTTTTAAAAAAATCTGGGCATGCTCACTTTCCTGGTCCAATTATCTGTTTCCTGGTACATACTGTATATTGATACTTTGGTCCACTGTAAACATGAATACTAATTTGCTGTTTAAAATTTAAACAGAATAAGTGATAAGAAACTGAATGCCAAAATGAGACTAAGAGTAGATATCTCATTTATTTTTTTTGCAATGTTTGTATATAGTATTCAAGCATGTGTTTGAAAGCAGAGGAAAATACCATGGCATAAAGAATGCAGGACTTGATGAATCACTCAAAGTCTAAATAAACTGTTTGGCTCTTTTGTAGGGGATTTACATTCAAAAAGAAAACCTCTCTTGACAACTGTACACCAGTAAAATATTTAGCTGGAACAAAGGATTTGACCTTAAAAGAGAAGGATGCTAACTCTTCCTTGACAAATCCAAGTGTGTCAAAGGATAAGCAGATGAGAATCAGTGAAGTTTTTGCAACAACATTGAAAAAGCAGGAAGGAAAACACAATTATCCAAATGAGCAATGTCAAGATGTTCTGGATTGTTTCCAGTCTTCTGTAAAAGAAAGTGATGTGGGCAGCAAACCAGATGACCATCAGCTCCTGAAATCAGACCATAATTCTTCATACAATTCAGTTATTAATATTGATGATGTCTGGGATGACACTGATGACTTTGAAATATCTGGTCCACGAAAGGTATGCTCAAAGCGGCCTGGTTCCTTTTCAGACACCCAGTCTGTAAAAGCTAGGAAGGCTCCAAAAAACCATAGTCCCATCTCCAGTAAGTCATTAAAAGCAGATGGCATGGGAAGAGTTAACCAAGAATGTAATGGACCCTCTGTGCATGAGAAGAACAAAATACAGATGCTTGACAAGGAATCAGATCCTGCTGGAAGCCAATCTGTCATTTGCCTTGATTCTCCCATACCCAGCCCTTGTGAAAGCTTTGTAAGTGAAAAACTTCAAGAGGAGAAGCCTGTGGAAAGTCCCTTCGGTGACAAAAAGGAAGAGCATTTGAAAGGTAAATGGCTTTCTTTCTAGTCTATTAATAGTATTATTTATTTTAAATGTTTATATAGCATCCTTTGTCCAAGATCTCGATCTGAGTAACAGTCATTAAACCACAGAATAAGCCATAAAATTGCATATACTAGTTCATTTTCACACCATGCAAATAGATGTATTCAGTCAGTTATCAAATGCTTTCTAGCACATAGTTGGCTAAATATAAAGGAGCAGGGAGTTTTAAATCTGGGGTCCCACCATGGAGAAGGCCCATCTCCATATGGGATACAGCACCCAAAGGTGGGGGCTTTTTGCAGTGGGGATAGGTGGCTGGGTTTTTAAGTTGTATTACTGGGTGGGTTTTATTGATATTTTAAATTGTCCTCGGTGTGTTTTAAAACTGTTGTTAGTCAAATATTCTTATTGCTTGTTTTAAAGCACAGAATGATGCTGACTTCATCCTAAATGAAAGTGAGGAACCAGATGAAGTGTGGAATGATCCAGCTATGTATGATGCCTTTGAGGATGAAAACTACGTAGACTGCATACCACCCTCTCCAGAGGAAGAAATACCTTCTTCTGCATCCTCTTTGAAAAGCATTAGGTATGATGGAAATGAAAAGTCCACAACTTGGTTCTTTACCAGAACCATCTCTGGTAGCCCGGGTAGGATGGTGAAATAATGGATCTGGAGTTTTTTCATCAGTGAATGACCAAAATGCTGGTGGAACAAATAAGCTTAGTAAGAAGTGTTTTCTAGCTGATGCGAAAAACTTCATTCACAGCAGTGTATTTATACAGGATGACTTAACAACTTCTTTTTAATGTTAGGTATGTTTCCAGAGAAGCTGCTGTTGAGAAAACACTGGCCCTTGAAAGTTTGAAAAGCAGCCTTCCAGACTTTGGAGAAACCACCCATGGAAACAGTGATAGGCAGGAAGGTAAAATAACTCCTCCTGAAGGGGCTTCACCTGCTTGCTTTCAGAAAGTGCAGACCACATTGTGGTCTTCAGATACAGACCTGTCTGCAGCCTTGCACCTGACTAAATCACAGGACTGGGTAGTAAGTGCTTCAGCTTCTATTAAGATTTTGCAATGTGACTTAAGGTTTTTTTTTAAAAAAAACACCTAAGAACTGTGTGGTGGGCATGTTTTCCTGTAAAACTTCCCTTGTTTCCCTTTGAATTACAAACATGCTTAAATTCCACTGAAGAGAATCTTAAGGACTTCCTTGAAAAAGCAGATCATTTGCAAGTTGCTGGTAGATGGTGACTAAAGTGGTGCTTTAACCTTACTGTGTTTCATTTCAGACAAGCATTCACTTTTGGGACAGTCCCTCTACAGTGTGATGGAAGACATCTGCAAGCTGGTGGATTCTGTTCCAGAATGGGAGCTGAAGTCTTTGTCGTGTGGAAAGGAGCTGCTTCAGCATAGAGATCGCAGGTCTGTCTTGAGATGCCACTAATCCAGAGTGTGTTCACAGGCTCTGTTTATCTCTTGTGTCTCTGAGATAAATACTCTCAAGAAATCTTGGTCTGGCAATTAAGGCAAGTTTATATCAAATTTTATGGTAAGCAAAGGCATCTTTATCTGGCTCTTTGGCTATTAACCTGGTCTATAAAAAAGTTGAAATAAGAGGAGACTGAGAGAAGATATGATAGCCATCTTCAAATATCTAAATGGCTGCCACATGGAGTAAACTTGTTTTTGTTGAGTTCCTTGCACTGCAGGGGGTTGGACTAGATCACCCTTGGGGTCCCTTCCAACTCTACGATTCTGTGATTCTGTGTATTAATAGTTCATGTTTTTTTTCTTTATTTCCAGAAGAAAACTCTTAAAGAATGGCACTAATGGAAGTAGAAAGGACAGTGGCATATCTTTGGATGAAAATTGCAAACTTTATTCTGGACATGAAAGATCTATGGATGGTGGTGTTTCTTTTCAACTGGGAAGAACCTCTGCCACTGACCCTTGTAGGGAATTGTTCATGTCTAGACAACCTTCCCCAAAGGTTGCACCCCAGCATAACTTTCATTCAACCCCCTCCTTTGTACCAAGGACTCAAGACTCCAGTAATGCTGACCTGTCAGTTTTTTCCAAGACTTTTGCTATGGACAGTAGCATCTCGGAAAATGCAGGATTGTCTCTTTCTAAAAGAGGAGTCGACAACAGAATCTCCTCTCTGAACAGTTCCATCAAAAATCCAAGGACAGAATGGGGAGAAAAGGGTTGGCTGTGTTCAAAGGGGAATCAAGACCAAGAGAAACTCACTCTACTTCAAAATAATTTGAGAGAGAATTCCTCAGCAACAGAGAATGTGGCCTTTGATGATGATTTTGATATTGATGACTTTGATGAGTTGGACAACGTAATAAACACTTCAACTTTACAGCCACCTAGTACTTGCTACCAGCGTACTGAGGAAGCACAGCCTGCCAAACCATTCCTGGAAAAAAGCTCCCTTACAGCTAAGGGAAATGGTCATTTTTCAAATCCTATTTTTCCCAGAGCAAACTGCCAAGGTGCGCCTGCCAAGAGCTGCTTGGGTAAATTATGCTAATTCTCTGTCACAGAAGCTAGTTGTGCCAGGGAGCTATTGTGTAGAGAGTAATTAACTAATCTGACACATTGCTTGAGTTGCAATGGGAATACTATTCATTGCTTCATCACAGTCACTTGGTAGCAGCTTTGCTTTTCCTTCACGAGGTCACACTTTTGTCACTGCATTTCTGAGTTCTGAAATTCTTTGAGAAATGTGACACATACACACACACATGATTTTTCTTCAGTACCAATACCAAATTCTGCTGTAGGGAGTGTATAGCATTTTCCTTTTCGAACAGCAAGGATTTGCTCTCACATTAACTTGAGCAGTGAAGTTCTCTGGTTTTGCTTTGTGGTTGTGCTGCTGCTGCTGCTGCTGCTGCTGCTGCTGCTTCGGTGGGGGTTAGGGCTGCTGTTGTGAAATGTCAACTTTGCTGCCCGACACTGTTTTGTTTCGAAGATAAAGTTTGAAAAGATTCACTGGGTCATGTCCAAAGTGAGAGTTAAGCAGGTGCCAAACTATGCTGTTGTAAATAGTGGGGACCAAGATTGCTTACATGTGTGAATCAATTACATTCAGTGAGACCAGAAGCATGACTTTGAGTTGAGATGTCACAGGGTCCTATAGTTATATTAAGGAATCCAGGATAACTCCCAGCTCTTGATTTTGCATTGCCAACACAGTTGAGGATCACTCTCCACCTATCCAGCCACACTAGTATACTTACAATATAATTATGCAAAATGAGTTAAGAGTAAGCTGTTGATATGCTACAGGGCACACACAAAAACCAAGCAATTGTTATTTATTCTGGTAACCTATTTTCTTCTAGATCCACAGGTTAAAAATCCACCTTCCAGAAATCCATTGCTAGAGCACTTCAGAGGCTTAACATTTCCGCATTCCAACGAAATGATGAAGATATTTCACAAAAGATTTGGTCTGCATCACTTCCGGACAAATCAGCTTGAAGCCATCAATGCTGCTCTGCTGGGCGAAGACTGCTTCATCTTAATGCCCACAGGTGTGTGATGGCAAGGGTGCCTGCCAACCGCATGTGGTCTAGGGGGCTAGTCTGGCAACCTGGGAGGTTTTCAGAAGGCGTGCAATGAGTAAAAAGGTGTGGGAGACTCCTGGCAAATGACCTTTTGGCTCCTGAGGTGATGAAGTGCCACAACCTTTTATTGTGTATGTCAGCAAAGTGAAAGGTGCTGTCCTTAAGGACACACAATGTGCATTTGGACAGCAAAGTTGAAGACTGACACACAGGTTGTGGGGAGATCTGGATCATAGTGGAGGCGTGGGGTTGCTAAATGCAGGGTGAATTGATTTAAATCACTGAATATAATCCATGAGTTGAATCATTACTTGTACCCGACCCATCTGACTGGGTTGCCCCAGCCACTCTGGGTGGCTTCCAACAGGATATAAACAAGTTGCTAATATTTTCTAAGTTGGCATGCATTCCCACTGGCTCTAACAATTAAGCATGCTTCTTTGCAACTGGTTAGAGACTTTATGTGACCTAGACAAAGTCATGGAGGAGGGGCTATTGGGGGCTTCTACCCACAATGCCTGTGCTCTGCTTCCACAGTTGAAGGCTGCAATGCTTCTGAATTCCAGTTGCTGGAAACCACAAGAGAGGAGAGTGCTCTTGTGCTTTGGATCCTGCTTGCGGGTTTCCCAGAAGAGGCATCTGGTTGGTCGTTGTGAGAACAGGATGCTGGACTTGATGGGGCCCCCTTTGGCCTGATCAAGCACAACTCTTCTGATGTAGACAGTGTAGCAACTCTTAAAGCATGACATATTGAGAATATTTGATTAAAAAATAAAAACACTGTCTGAAAAAAGTTACCAGAACTAAAAATTCCTAATGTCTTGATCATAAAACCTGTACTTAAATTGTGTTTGCAGTGAACCATTCTTAGGAGGAGTTGGAGGAGTGCAGAAAGTAATTTTGAAACCCAGATTGAAAATTTGTTGAAATATTCTAGGGTGGAGGTTTCTGGCTTTTGCTAAATCTCATCTGGACATTTGCTTACTGCCCAGGTGAGCTTTCCAACTAATCCTTGGTTTTTTTCCTTCCCACAGGAGGTGGGAAGAGCTTATGCTACCAGCTACCAGCTTGCGTTTCAGCAGGAGTCACCATTGTGATCTCCCCCTTGAGGTCACTGATAGTGGATCAGGTTCAGAAGCTAACATCAATGGATGTGAGTTCAAGCCCATGGTTTTCTCATTGATCCTTTGCATGAGGAGAGTTTGTCTGCATCTTCATTAGTCGTGACCGATTCTGCTCTTTGCTCTGGGGTATGACTTCATGCAAATTAGAAACTTCCGTTCTTTATTTCCAATATTTGGGCATTGCTATTCAGATTCAAATTGATCCAAAGTTTAGGAGCTCAGCACCATAGCAGGCAAGGAAGGGAGCATGGACACACATTTAGACCTACATCACGAAAGCTAGTACTTCATCTGTGTGTACCGTTTTTGACTTACTGTAGATAATAGTGTAAAATGAGTGTTGAATTCAGCAATCCATTTGCTGTTGCATCTGTTTCGTCTATCAGTGGTAGAACACCTGCTTTGCATGCAGAAGATCCCTGATACAATCTAGGGCTGGGAGAGAACCGTATCTGAAATCCAAGAGAGCCGCTGCCAGCCTATGTGGATAATAGTAAATGGACTAATAGATCTGACTTGGGAACACAGAGAGCTACTTTATACTGAGGCCAAACAGCTCTTCTTCTGTCATAGATTCCAGCAACTCACCTGACAGGTGACAAGACTGATGCTGAAGCATCCAGAATCTACATGCAGCTGTCGAAGAAAGACCCCATCATAAAACTCCTCTATGTTACTCCAGAGAAGGTTTGTATAAGGTCTAAGCACCATCAGCATTGGGTTTTATCATATATAGGATACAGCCCACCAGGCAAAGGAAGCCAGCAGGTTTGTATGGAGGAGAGCTAGGCTTCCATCCCTGCTCAGACATGAACTCTGCTTGCATGACTAGAGCAGGCCTCTGCTTATCAATGGTGTAGAAAAATTGGGGTTTAGTTTTTTTGCTGCCCAACTCCCCAAGGGACTGAGACGCCTAAGTTCATGATCAGTCAGAGATGAACGGATGGAGGCAAGGATCTAAAGAAAGCAAAGCAGATCCTTACTTACTTTTTTGCAACAGAGTTCCCTCCCCTCCCTGCAAAGGAGGTAAAGGAGACCAAGAGCAAAGAAAAAACATCTCTTTTTAAAGGGCTGCATTTTGGCCCCTTTAGAAACCAGAAATTACATCACACACAAGGTGGGGCTACAGTGGCTCAGGCAGGTCAAGGTGTGACATTCCCGAGGATTTAGCAAGTTTTACATAGCTCCAGACACAGTTTATGCAAAATATTAGCATTTGATGAGACAATCAGGATGCCCAGCCAACATCCCTCAGTGCAGAGCCTTTCGGCAAACAGTGACAAACAATTAACACAAAGGAGGTTCATAGATTTGGGAGAGGAATCCCTTCAGGAACTTTCCCTGATTGCTATCTGCCTATGTGTTCTCAGGCAAGAGTGATTATGGAGGACTCGAATTATACAGTTATAAATGATTTCCATAGGAAATTCAGGTTGTCCTTGTTTTAACAGGCTAGAATGAAAGTATACTGGTTCTCCAAGCTATTTCTCTCAAGGACTTTTCCAAATGTTGAAGGGTGAAGGATTGGTTTCCTGTGGACTGGGTGTCTGCTATGTGTGCACCCTAAATTTTGCAACACCAAGTCTATCTGAAATGGTGGATGAGGGCAAATGAGATAAGGAGGCTAAAGCACTTTTTTATGCTGAAAGGTGATGTAGAAAGGCATCTGCTATGTGCGAATATATAGTGATAGCAATTCTCCGCTAATGTTTCTGGGTCCTTGGGTGTGGGTCTTCCTTAGATCTGCTCGAGTGGCCGGCTGATGTCAACCCTGGAGAATCTCTATGAGCGGAAGCTGTTGGCACGCTTTGTGATTGACGAGGCACACTGCGTTAGTCAGGTGACCTTCTCTTTTTTGGAAATGTCAGAGGTTGGTGAACCAGCTGAACCCTTGCATTGATCTGTAAGCAAATTAACTTTTTTTAAAAAATCTTTTGACTAGTGGGGCCATGACTTCCGCCAAGACTACAAGCGGCTGAATATGCTTCGTAAGAAATTTGCTTCCATTCCTATGATGGCTCTTACTGCTACCGCAAATGCAAGGGTGCAAAAGGACGTCCTGAATCAACTGGAGATGCTGAAGCCACAGGTGTAAGTTTGATCTACACCAGGAATTCTCCAACTTACTATACCCAGTGGCCCACATGAGATCACTGAAAACCACCAAGGCCCAAAATGGTGGCGCAGGGCAGGCAGCATTAAAATGGTGGCCAGTGGCATTTGCTGTGTCTGGCATAATCAGCTGACAATTGCTGACATCTTTTTCTAAGTGATATCTATTCAGTTTTTGGAAATTCTCTGGCACAGCCTTTAGCTCATGAAAAGGAGTTCCATAGGTCAGCTTTCCTCAAGCTACCTGAAGGCATTTGTTCTGGAGGTATTGTGACTCAGCCTTCCCATTTTTGTCAGAATCCAGTCCCATTTTAGTCGGGTAGAGAAGGCCTTTTATTTTTATATTTTCCTTGCCCTGCCCCCAAGCATCCCAGAAGTTGTTTTTTTATCCCATCTCCTAGAATATCTCCCCCCTATTTTCCTTTCACACTCAACTTGAATCTTCTCCCCACCCCACAAGCCCCAGCCACTAGTCTTTCATCCTTCTGGCCTATTTCCTTTACATTTACTTCTTTGCCCTATTAAAGTTCTGTTATCTCTTTTTCTTCCTTTCTCTTCCCTGTGGTTGTTTATTTCCTTCAGCGCCACTTCTGGCCCTTTCCTCTAAGAGAAAGAAATGACTTACCTGCCCTCCTAGGCCTCTCAGCCTCCTTTACTCAGCATACAAGGAGCTGCTGGTGTGTCCAGCCCAGATGCTATGGCATGGTGGGGGCCATACAAGTACATGAGGAGGCACTGGTGGCTTTTCTTAAACTATCATTTAAGATACAGATATCCTTTAGCAATTTACTGTTTTTTAAAGAAGAAAAAATTCTTTTTCCTGTGATGGATATTTTCCAGGTTTAGTATGAGCTTTAACAGGCGGAACCTGAAATATGATGTTTTGCCCAAGAAGCCCAAAAGTGTTGCGCTGGACTGCTTGGATTGGATCCGAAAATACCACCCAAGTGAGTTTGCTTCCTTTCCTTCCTCTGGCAGGATTTATTCGTGTGAATCGAGGCTTTTTCAAAGAATGAAAGAATCGTAGATTTGGAAGGGGCCCCTGAGGGTCATCTGGTCCAACCCCCTGCAATGCCGGAATCTCAACTAAAGCTTCCATGACAGGTGGCCACCCAACCTTTGCTTAAAAAGCTCCAATGAAGGAGAGGCCACACCTTCTGAAGGAGTCCGTTCCACTATCAAACAGCTATCACTGTCAGAAAGTTCTTCAGTTCTGTGAAATGTAGCTCAGAGGGGTGTGCGACTTCCGCTGTCACTTTTAATTTACTTTATTTGAGAGGACTGAATACTCCAGCTCCCATATTCTGCCTGTTTTTTCTTTTTCTTTAGATGACTCTGGGATAATTTATTGCCTCTCCCGATACGAATGTGACTCAGTTGCCAGCACTTTGCAGAGCTCTGGCCTTTCTGCACTTGCCTATCATGCTGGTCTGGCGGACAGCACCAGAGACCATGTGCAGCAGAAGTGGATTAATCAGGACGGATGTCAGGTAAAGGAGATGAAACTGTAGGTGGTGCTGATATCACACACAAGTAGAAATATTAAAAACGAACACAGGGTGTAGCCAAGACAGATCTAAATGGTTGTTAGCTCCTGTGGCAAAACAAATGGCCCCGTCTGTTTAGCTGGTCAGTTTTCTATGGCCTTTCTCAATAGATTTGTGTGTGTCTTCGTCTTTACCCTCCTTGAGGTGAGCCTGAAATCGATCAGAGTATCAAGCCAGAAAGCACTGTGTCAGTTCAGTGTATAAAGTGTGTTTGTGATGCACTGCTTGCCCTTGGCAGTATGCAAATCCTGTTTTTGTTCTCTTCCAGATTATATGTGCAACCATTGCTTTCGGCATGGGGATTGATAAACCTGATGTGCGCTTCGTGATCCATGCCTCTCTTCCTAAATCTGTTGAAGGTTACTATCAGGAGTCAGGGAGAGCTGGGCGTGATGGAGAAATTTCTCACTGCCTGCTCTTCTACACCTATAGTGATGTCAACAGGCTGAGAAGACTCATATTTAGTAAGCATTTTTCTGCGACATCTCAAATCTTGTGACCAGAATCATGCAAGAATGGGCTTCAGTGTGTGTGGGGGTGTGTGTGTAATTTTATAATTGTTGTCATAGAACAGTGTTAGCAGCCCACTTCAGCCATCATGGCTATAAAACATAGAAGCACCACCTGCAATAGAATCACTTGGCATTTGCCTCTCAAGTTTTAGGCTTTAAGTGTTTTCATTTAGGTTGCTTGGAACAAGCAGTGTGCAGTATCTAGCCATAGCATACTGAAAACTTCCTGAAGAATTCCTTTCCCGTAAACTCCTCAATTTTTATATAGAAAAAATGCTGCAGTGTCTCATTCCTTTCTCTTCTGTGTATCCTACTAAAAAAGGTTGAAGTCCAGCTCACAAACTTAAAGTTTGAACCTTTTGGCTTCTTCTTCATACATGTCTGTAAATTATTGGTCAGAAGGAAAAGCAATCTCTCGCTCTGTGTGTATGTTCCGTAATAAGTCAAAAGGTGCATCATTTGAATTTCAGTGGAAAAAGATGGGAACAGCCACACACGGCAGACACATTTCAACAATCTCTACAGCATGGTCCATTACTGTGAGAATATCGTGGAGTGCCGGAGAGTACAGCTGCTGGCCTACTTTGGGGAAACAGGCTTCAACTCTAGGTTTTGCAAGGAACACCCTGAAGTCAGTTGTGACAACTGCAGCAGGAAGCAGGTAAGCCAGTTCTACTTCTTAACTCTTCAAAACGTGTTATCTCTTTAGAGGTTAGAACACATGTACCGTATTTTTCTCCCTATAAGATGCACTTTCCCCCCTCCAAAAATGAAGGGGAAATGTGTGTGCGTCTTATGGGGCGAATGCAGGCTCCTTGGCTTCAGCGATAGCAACGCGAAGCCTCCGAAGCCTGCGCTCCGGAGGCTTTGCGTTGCTTCCGCTGAAGCCAGGAGAGTCTGCTCTTTGAGGCTGGTGGTGGGGGAAACCAGCGCCTCCTCCATCGCCAGCCCCAGAGGATGGGGGGCAGCGGGAAGGCGCACGACGCCTTCCCACTACTCTCCAACCCTCCTGTGGGCTTTTGCGGGACATGGGGGAATTCCCCCACCTCCCACAAAAGCAGGCAAAAGCCGCACGCTCTTTAAAGGGGCTCCACGGCTTCTGCTGGCTTTTCTAGGAGGTGGGGGAATTCCCCCATCTCGTAGAAAAGCCAGCAGAAGCCGTGGAGCCTTTAAAGAGCGCGCCGCTCTTGGGGGCTTTTCCCCGAGGAGGGAGAAGGGACTGACTGGCCATTTCAGTCCCTTTTCCCTCCTGGTCGAAAAGCCCGTAGGAGTCGCGCACGGCTCCGGTGGGCTTTGCGGGAGGTGGCGGAATTCCGCCACCTCCCGCAAAAGCAGGGAGAAGGTCTTGGAGTAGCGCACAGGCTGCGTGCAGCCTGTCCGCTGCTCCCAGAGCTGCGGGGGGGAAATCACATTTTCCCCCTTGATTTCCCCCCCTGAAAACTAGGTGCGTCCTATGGGCCGGTGCGTCCAATAGGGCGAAAAATACGGTATTTCTGGTAGCGGCTGGGCAGGAGTGATTTTTGGGCTGTAGAAACTAAGGATTGCAACTTGCAGGCAATGACTTCCAGCTGTTTTCTTCAATGTATGACTCGTTTTTTCTTGTATTTCCCTCAGATTAATCTCTCAGATTTAAGCTAACACTTCACTTAGCTTGTATATCTTGAGTTTGGAACGGTATCCAAATTGGGGCCAATACTGTATTGTCAACAGCCAGATGTAGTGCAACAAATCAATCTTTCCTCCTCAAAACTGTTTTTGTTAGGATTATAAACCACGGAACGTGACAGAAGACGTGAAAAACATTGTTAGGTTTGTTCAGGAGCATTGTGGAGAGAAGCGAGTAAGAAGGAATAACACAGGGAGGTACACCTTGAATATGATGATTGACATTTTCTTGGGTAAGTTGCAGTGTATGCTGTCAACACTCAGTGTTGGATTTGTTTCTTGGATCACTGGTTCCCAAAGTGGGTGGTACCAGCTCCTGGAGGGGGGGATTACCTAGGGGAGTGCTAAGAGGCAAGTGGGAGGCAGAGAGGTGTCAATTACTATCAGACTTTGAAAAGCTGGTATCACTGGATTAATTTAATCAATTTTGTTGAATTAATTAAAAAGTTTTAATTGGATTTTGAACAAATGTGCAATTAGTAGTTACTGTTTTGACTTCTGTTATCTTCCTTAGTGGGTCATGTATGTTAAATAATAATAAATATTCCTTATGTAATTTTCTGGTGAGTGAGGAGTAGCTAGCCAACCTCCCATGTGGTTTTGGTTCATTTTGCCATCTGGCCTTGGTCATGAGAGGGAAGGTGGTTAAATCACTCTGAGGATTCTTGTGCTGAAGCAGCCTGCTTTTGCCTTTATTAAGAAGACACACTGTGTTTTTCTGTACAGGTACAAAGAGTGCCAAGATTCAGTCTGGCCTGTTTGGCAAAGGAGCAGCCTACTCACGCCATAATGCTGAGCGACTCTTTAGGAAACTGGTACTGGACAAGATTCTAGAGGAAGACCTTTACATCACTGCTAATGACCAAGCAGTTGCATATGTCCAGACTGGTGAGAAAGCTTATGCTGTGCTGAATGGATCTCTGCAGGTGTGTAAGAGCTAAATTCATCTACTTGCCTAAAGTGTGTCATGCCCTGTCTCCTCCTCAAGTAGGTCGTTGGAGCGACCCAGGAATATAGTTAAGAAAATCTCAAGGTCTTGCAGAGAATGGCTGAAAAAGGAGATGCTCTAATGGGTGCCTTCATCCTCTACCTGTGTTGCTGTCATAGTCTCAAGCTGCATAGAAGGAAACTGCACATCTTAGATTCAGTTGTACATTAGTGAGATTTTCTTCTTCTGCCTCCTTCAGGTAGAGTTCCATGAAACTGAAAGTGCCAGCAGCATTCGCAAGCACCAAAGGGCGTCCGTGATCAAAATTTCCCAGCGGGAAGAGATGGTTAAGAAATGTCTCTCAGAACTCACAGATGTCTGCAAAAACCTTGGGAAAGCATTTGATGTTCATTACTTCAATGTTTTTAACACTGCCACGCTTAAAAGAATTGCAGGTAATGTTGGTGCTCATGGAGAAACGGTTCAAGTCTGTGTCTGTTAATGTAGTACAGTACCGTTGCGTCTTGTATGCACAATTTCAACCTTGTGTGGTTGAAAGCCAGCCAGCTGAAATCCTGCAAATTAATTGCATGCAAGCTCCTTTTACGCTGCATTTTCATGGCGTGGAAAGAGCTTTTAAGCTCTCAGACTTCCTTACTCAGCTGGCCCAGCAAGATTTTGTGAGAGCGTTCAAGAGCCCAGTAAGCTAGGCATGAGCTTAAAACTGCTCTGCCTTGCTTGGAAGGTGTAAGGATGGTCATGCAAGGGTGGTCCCAAAGGAGTGGTTCAGGTGTATGTGTTTTTGCATATATGCGCCATTCCCAGAGCGTATCCCCCCCACAAGACGTGGTTGTACTGTAACTCTTTCCCTCTGTGATATTCCTGGTGTCTGCCAGGTGGCGTGGCTTGCATGGCCCTTGCATGGGAATTTCAGAACAACACTCTTAATAGCAGAACTGAGAGATTTTGCTGTGCTCTTTTTGCATGAAGATAGAAAGCAAATGGACTGTTCTGCTTGTAAAAGAAGTCACTGCCTTGTGTGGTGATCAATCTTTTCAACAACAAAAAGTGTTCAGCATATGTATCCTTGTCCCTGCTTATACCAGACATTCTCAGATGTCAAGCCATTTTAAAGATCTGTTTTTCTTTCCTGGTCTCCAGAGACACTGTCTCCAGACCCTGCAGTTCTGCTTCAGATTGATGGTGTTACAGAGGACAAGTTAGAGAAGTATGGAGCAGAAATCATTGAAGTGCTGCAGAAGTATTATGAATGGACACTGCCAGGTATTGTGTGACTTCTGCATTGTTAGAAACATTTTCCGGTTATGCACGTTATTTATTTATAAGTGTAGTCACTTCAGTTATTGTATTTCTCTGCATGATTACCATTGGAACGAGGAACTCCTCGGGGAGCCCTTTATTTGAAATGGCTTTTTAATGCTATCTTGGTCACTTCAGTCATGATGATGATACTTCCCCACCCCCCATGATGGAAGCAACTCAAACCATGCCATGCAGACTGCTCACATATTCCTTTTTCAGTGACAGTGGTGCAAATGGCACTGTCACCCTGAAGTGGTTTTCAGACCAGCAATTCTCTTGCTTTACATCATAACACTATCTGTGCTAAGGGGAAGCGGAGAAGCTGCAGGGTTATGGTCTCTGTTTGACAACATCCAAAGCCACAGGATTAAAGACACCTGGGTCTGTTTCAACAGCGGAAAACAAGCCTCTTTCGGCTACAGAAGCTGACGCTGAAAGAAATTCCAGTACTGATGAAGCAGAGGAGGAGCTGCATACAACATCTGCCTATTTCCACAACAGACCCAACAAGGGAAGGAAGAGAAAAAAGCCTCAGTTCTTCAGAGAATCAAAGAAGAAAATGAGGTCTGGAGGCCAGCAGGCTCGTTCTAAAGGGTATGGCTGTTTGTTTTTTAATCCTTCGGTGGCGAGTAAGCCAGATATAACAATGGGATTAAAGCCCTATGGTGCCAATTAAGAACACTTTACAGTAAAGTAAAGTAAAATAACTTTTATTGTGAAGACCTCACAAGGAGTGAGGAGCACATTGCCATAGTAGCAACATGGAATCACTAAATTTTAAGTCATCCCATAAAATCATGACTGACAAAGCTGTGATGCCAGCCTGGAAGTGCTGTCCCTTTCAGGGTGTCTTTGTGGAACACAGCAATTCCCACGTTATGTGTAAGGCTGGGTGTGTAGGGCTGGATGAAATGGACAAAAACAACTGGGAGAATTCCAAGCACCTAGAAGAGAGGGACGTGCTGGTGCTAAAGGGTTAGTTTCTCAGCAGTGAGGTCAAGAGCCCCAATGCCAAACTGAAATCACGCTGGTATTCTGGTCTCCACCTTATAAATGTACAAATGAAACATTTGGCCAAAATGCAGAGCAGAAATGTTGGAGGTTGTTTCTTAGGGATTTAAATCTCATAAGACTCTTGAAACAACAGATAAAGTATATATGCATGTTTACAAAATTATTGGGGTCAATGACCTATTCTATATTTCCCTTTCTAACTTTCTAGGGGTTACAGAACCGGCAAGAAGGCATCATCTAACTCCAAAAGTTCCGCATCTTACATTCCTCCTGCCAAGCCAGGAATTGGCAAAAGGCCTGCAATTATGGCACCGCCAAAACCACAAAGCAGACAATACCTTAAACCTTCTTTCTCACTTTTGTAATATCCTTAGAGACTTTTTAATTTCTATGGAAGCTGTTTAACTAATTTTTTATTGAGGTGTAACACTCATGCCTAATGTTAATAAATACATTTGCTTGAACCAACTGTGAGAGTTTCTAGCAAGGCACCTTGTGAGCCACGCTAATAAAGTATTTGGTGGTATATAAATCCTCTGTATTGGTCCCCATTTCCCCAAATAGCTTGCTGATTTCAGTATACTATTTTAACATTTTGTCCATGAGAGATGGAGAACTTCATGCATTTGTGGATCACGCCACATCTATTTCATTTTACTTTGTATGTTTAAAACATTCAAAGCAGCCCACTGATAGGTAATGAAGCATGAGACTATTTTATTCCTAATGGTAAGAAACCTTGCAAAATGTATGTTAACAGACATGCTTCTGGTCTGAACAGCTGTGAATACTAGAGTTTTGAAATTTGTCTTTGCAGAACTTTTTACACAGACGACAATAATTAAATATATGAATACAAACTCTTGAAGAAAAAACCCCCAATGTTATTAACTGATTAATAGGACCAGTAACTTCATGTAGTATTAGCTGAGGCTTGCATGTTTTGGGTAGGTGTACTGAACACATCCCAAGACCTTCCTGACTCCCAGGTTTAACCCTCAGGACCTGTCTGAGAAAGCCGCCTTCAACCTCTCCAAAATATTTCTCAGGATGCTTGCCAGGGTTCCCATCTGCCTTAACCTGCTCCACATGGATTCTGCCACAGTGCAGAGCTGATGAATGCTCAGTTCCCTCTCTAGGTGTTCAAAATTATCCTTTGATTATATCAAAGAGCAAGATGAATCCTCAAAAATGTGGACTCCATTCTGTGGCTGCAAGTAGTGCGTGAGATCTGTGTAGAGTTTCTCTCTCTCTCCCTCCCCCCCCCCCAAATTTGTAACTGAATTGGTACTCAATTCAGTTAACACTAAAATACATAATAATAATAATAATAATAATAATAATAATAATAATATATTTATGCCCCATCCATCTGGCTGTGTTTCCCTATTAAACATAGCCTCATTAACCACATGACTAGAGGTATTAAACACATTTTTTGCTAGGATATCTCAAGTAAGTGTTCTAGAACAGGTAAATGCACTTAAAATGCTCCAAACCAATGGCTGCCAAACACCTAAGGTCTAATATTTATGTGACAATAAACAAATTGGTCATTTTACCTAGGTAAATTTGGACTTCTGGGTTACCATATCAAAAAGGCTGGGAGCCACTAGTCCAGATGAATTCCAGTGTACTGCAGATTTCACTGTGCAGCTGTGCAAGCTAAGCTGTATCCCTCAGCTTGTCAGCATTAACCTACCTGGCTAGCGGCTGTTCAACTAGTTATCTTAAAATATCTTTTTAAGTTACACTCGTGCAAACATGGCAGGTGTTCTGTAAGCTGTCACGATAAGAACCCCCTTCCTGTGTTCTGTCAGGCCTTGCAGAACAAATGCATATGAATGCAAATACTGATGCTGTCTTTTTGTAAGTAATGAGAACACAAGTCTTGTCACAGTATATTAAGATATACATGTTACCTGAAGAGCCAAGCAAACAAAATTAATTTAAACATTAATCTGCAGAAACATCAAAGCATGTTGGTGACAAGTAAGGGTGGAAAATATCTTTTGAAGGGATGGCAGGCTTGCTGCCATCCCACTCGGCAGAATACTTGGGGGGGGGGGGGAATGTGTAAAATGTATAGTATTAGCAATGAGTTCATAGCTCACTCTAGCCTGGACATCCAAATCTGAAATACAGCAGTATTGCATATTGCCATTCTTCACTGCTCAGGTTATTGTATATTGCAATCCTAGTTGCTTGCAATCCTAGTTGGCAAAGCCACCCCTGGCTCCCCAGAAGGCTTATTCTTGCCCTATTTTACCACCATAACATTTCTTCATGTGCTGCCAAACTCCAGCACCTTGTAACTGGTGCACAGGTGCAAAGAAGATGAGGTTCCAAGCTGAAGTTTGTGGGAGCCATTTCTGGCTGCATTCTTCCAGGGCAAGCAGGATGCATGCTGTTATAAGAAAAACTGCTCCCTTTCCCTTATGGGGTATTCTGGAGCTCGTATAGAGTCCTTAAGTGGGTTCCCTATCGGTAGGAGAAAATCCTAGGCCAACAAGAGTATATTGAGAAGCAAAGAGGATGATAAGCCTGACCTTTATTCAAGGAACAGTTGCAACAGGCTCCCCACTCACCACATGCAGGAGGGAGAACCCTGAACAATGGTGCACAAGCAGTTTTTTGAAATTGCCCACCCTGTAGCCCAAGACCACCACCCCTCAAAACATCGTACATACATCACAGAAGGAGGTGGCCTATGGCAAAAATCCTGTCTGCTAGGATACCTGCTAATGGTTACTGATTGCATTACCTGGGCAGTCTCTTGTCATTCTTTTGTGATGGTTAATACTTAGTTCCTCAATCCGGGTCACAGGCTCACCCTATTCATAACACAGATATGCCCTTAAAGCAGGATTTGTCAGTCCCCATTTGCCTCCCTTACTGCAGAGGAATATTTGAGGTCATTGTGAAGGACCCTTCCTTTGTTTTTTCCTTATCTGATACTAGGAGCATCAGAGATGCTGCAAGGAGTCAAAACGACAGCAGTAAAAGGATCGTTTATTTTGTCATGACAAAAATGGTACAGACAAGCGTTTGCCCGATGTCTGCCCCCCCTCTGGGCGTGCCAGCCATTTATACCCTGTAGAATGGACAGTTATCTGATTTCCGAGAAAACACGTGTTTTACAAGAAATGCCATAAAAATTAGGTTTCGTTTTTCCATATTTGGATCAACTTCCTTATTTCACATATTTCCAGCCCCTCCTTCCTCCTGTTTCAGCCTCCCTCCCTCTGGGGTTACAATAACACCCATTCAACCTTGCTCTTATCTCTACCCACCTAAGCCAGACATTCCTGAGAGAGGCCTATTTTCACTGTAACATCTAAAGCCTTGTTCTTCTGGCTGGTTTAAAAACCTGCCCCCCCTTAGGGATAACATGAGAGAAGAAAAAATGCCTCAAAGAGTTTGGGATCATATATAGAACAATATTTTAATGGCCCTTCACTTGGGAGAGTCAAAATGGCTTCAGGATTGCTCTCCCATACTATTTCAGACACATGGTTCATATATGCAGATATGTGTGCATTTATGAATATTCTATATTTGAGACCTTAAAATTCTTATAACCAAGGAGATAAACCTGGCATTGCTATTCATTCTCTCTCCACCTCCCCACAATAGCTGCCACATGGACTTTTTAAAGTGGATGTCTGAGCCCCAGACTTTACCTTTTGCAAGACTTCCTGTGCCTTTTCAAAGCTGTTTGAGTAAAGTCTCTCCATATCTGTTCTTGAGGCAAGGCTGCTCATTCACTTGGGGAGACCCAAGTTCAAATCCCTCCTCCCCCACTCAGCCATGAAGCTCACTGGGTGACTCTAGGCCAGTCACTGCCTCTCAGCCTCACCTACCTCACAGGGTTGGTGTAGGGATAAAATGGGAAGAGAATTATGTATACTGTACTGCCTTGAGTTCCTTGGAGGAAAAGCGAGATAAAAATGCAATAAATGAACAAACAAAACTATACACTTTAAGGGTCTAGTTGTGCGCATGTGCTTTTTTATTTTTTACAACTAGGTGGTATATAAATTTTATTAATAATAAATATGCAAAGTCAAAATGGGCCGAGTGTTTCCTCCCTGTACCTCTGCATAGCAGCAACCAGCTCTCTCGCCCGCTTTGTGCCTAAAAGACTGAAGCAAGAATGGCGGCATTTTTACTTATTTGGGGGTGTACAGTATGTGAGGGAGGGAGGAATGTCCCACATTTTAGCGTGGTGCTGCATTTGCAGGTGGCTTTTCAGCGTTTGACTCGTCTTTCGTTGCAACCCGCTTCGAATTTACACAGCATGAATTGGAATTTAATAAATAAATAATCACAACGGGCGCGCCAGGTTTTAGGAGTAGCCCTAGGCCAGAAGGCAGTAAAGGCGGGAAACCACACAGCTGAGCGGGTCACGAGGAAGAGGAGGAGGAGGAGGAGCTGAATTGGCGCCTTTTCCCCGCCCCGCGCGGAACCCAGGAAGCCGCTTCAGCGCGCGGGAAAGGAAGGGAAGCCAGGATGAGTGAGCCGGCCGGCATGGAGACGGAGCGGATAGTGGTCGAGGAGGAGAAAGAAGCGGCGGCGTTGATCCAGCAGCGGGAGCAGGTGGGTTTTTCTGCTGTCTGCCTGCCCTACCTTACAGGGAGGCGGGGAGGGAAGTGAGGTGGCGGGAGGCTCCGCAGGCGCGGCGGGCTTAAAAGAGGCAGCGGCCACTTTTAAAATGGAAGCCCCACCTCAGTCGCCCTAATAATGAAAGCGCTGCTCCTCGTGAGGCTCCTGTGGCGAAGGCGGCTTCCTTGCCATTCGTAGTAGGCGGCTCCCAATGGACATGCTAGAACTAACACTCTTAAAATTGGCCATGTCTGCATTCATTTCAGCGGGTCGCCTCTGAGTTGCACCCAGCTTCGCTGAGATTAGACCCACTGGGCCCAAATTAATCGGTTCATCAGTTGCAGTAGGTTTACTCTTGAGCAACGGTGCATAGGCTGGGATCCAAGGCCTGTTCCTGTTTCAGTAGCTGCGGGGGTCCCTGCCAGGTCCAGCCTCCTAGGGCCGCCTCATCAGCATGAAGGTGAAGCTTTTTAGCCACTGCACGCTCCAAAATTAAGCACTGAAGGACACTGGAAAGGCATGGGGCGCTTTTTGGGTTCAAGAGAATGGGGAGAAAATTATGTTCCAAACCCTGGAACTTCACAGGAGTTAAGTCACTCCTGAAGAAGATATTGGAGCACTCCAAATAATTTGTTCCTGGTAGTGCAATTATGGAGTTCTGCGCTAGTTGCTGCAGTGCACCCCTAATCACTATTATTGTGTAAGTAATAAGGTTATTGTATAATCTTAGAAAGTTGTATAATCTTGGGAGGGGTGTGGCTGTGACTATCACGAGGGAACCCATACTTCAAAATTTTCCACTATGCTGCACTTAAGTAGCACAAGTATTGGATTATTATTGCTTCTTACCTGCTCTTCATTGTGAGGGTCCTGGGTGGGTTACAAGAATCTGAAAATAAGGTATTCAAAACAAAGCAGGTTGCAACCAATAGAAAAGTCCTAAAACACATGCATATCTCAAGTGTTGGGGGTGGGTGTGGGTAAAGAGGTCGGTGTTCACTTGGGGCTCACTGGCAGGGACAGTACCAAGTTTTGCTGCGACAGCCTTCCTAGTTGATGTGATAATCATAGAATCAGAGTTGGAAGGGTCCCTGAGGATCATCAAGTCCAAACCCCCTGCAATGCAGAAATATGCAGCTGTCCCTTATGGGGATCAAACCCACAACTTTGGCATTATCAGCACCACACTAACCAACTGAGCTGTGGGCTTTCACACCCTCTTTCCAGGGCACCAGTGGGGAGTTCTGCAGGTTTTGCATTTGAGCCCAGCCACAAACTTTGGCCTCAGAGTGCTGGCTTGGGATGACAAACTAGTGAGAGGGCCCAGGATGGACACAGGCAGCCATCCACCCACATGGATGGATCCCAGAGCTAGTAAATTAACAAAATGTATATGCTGCTTGAGCATAATAAAATCTTTTTGGTGGTTTACAACGTAAGGTTGCACCTTGTTGCAAGGGTCCCTATGGGTGTACTGTTTAAAGAAGACCATGCAGATGGACCTGTGGTACAATGTGTGGTCTTCCCCAGCCAGTGGTTCTCCAAATGTTTTGGACTGAAACTTCCATCAGCCCAGCCAGAATGTGCTCTCTGAGTGAGATTGACTGGAGTTGTAGTCCAAAACATCTGGAGGGTGCCAACTGTGTGTGTTCCTGCTCCCCAGTGTTAAATGTTTGTTCTCTGTGAGCTCTTAATGCAGACATAGGCAAACTCTGGCCCTCCAGATGTTTGTAGTGAAAATACAAAATTAGGGGATTATTAGCTAACTCTTTATACTGCATGTTTTTTCGAAGCAACACCCCAAGTGTTCGACGGTGATTACATCTTACATGCATTTCAGGTCAGCGTTCATTTCCCCACTTGCAGCTGAGCATAAGTACCAACTCCTAGAGGCTGAGGTTACCCCCTGATAGAATATTTGAGAGGGCTGCCTCCCAAAAAAGTTGAGGAAGATTGCCATTCAAATGGGGGGGCATGTGCTGCATCATGTGATCAGTTATGTGGGGTGGGGCTCCTCCCCCCCCCCCCAGTATTTTATTCAAGTTGGTACTCCTGCAGCTGAGAACACTGTTTCAGAATTTTAGAAGGCAGAATACATTTTTTTAAAAAATGTGCTTTGGAATGGGGTGCATCACTAGTGATATGACGATCTGGAGTAGAAAACAATACTCAAATAACAGACAAACTTAAAACATTTCTGCTAATGGATTTCACGTAACTCCCAGTACAAGTTCATTGGGAATGTGTTGCAATAATAAAACAATAGATAAGGAATAGATAACTGTTTTTTTTATTTCTTACACATCTTCAGGAGACAACACCCACTGAAAATCCGACCACATGTCTCCCCAGAAGCCCTGTGAAGAGTAAGACTTTGACAAAACAAATCAAAATTCTTCTCACGCCTGTGTCAGCCACATGTGGAGAACACAACAAGCATTTGCCTCAGAAACGTTTGTTAGAGCAATTTTCCAGCTGTGAGGAGCCTTTCGGTAAAGAACCCAAAGCCAAGAAAATTTGTAGCGATTATTCAAGTCCAGAAACGAGGGCTATATCTCATGGAGTAAGCGAGGTAGTCTTCAACACGGATTCTCACAGATGTGGTTCAGTCGTAGAGGCTGTCAGCAGTGATTTGGAGACCGATGGGGATTCTGAGAGTGACAGAAATGATGTAAGTGTCTCTTAATTTGGTGAGGAAAATAACTGCTTATATACCGTGCTTAGAATTACATGTAAGATATGGCTTAAAACTTCAACTCCTGTGAATATTTTGAAACATAATTGCTTGCTTGCTTGCTTTTTGTTGCAGGAGGAAGTTTCAACACAACTATCGGCTTATGAGAGGAAAAGACTGAAGAACATAACAGAAAATGCCAAATTTTTTGCTTCCCTGAAGCTGTTTGAGGTTTGTTGGAATGTCTTCTGGATTAGAACAACAAGTTCTAATACTTGGGGTGCAGCCTTGGAAATACCAACCTAGAAGTAAGGCCCATTAAATTCAATGGGTCTTACTTCGGAATAGGATTATGCTGTCGATCTTGTTCTTCATCATGGCTTTAGCCATATTTTTAAGTGGTATAATTTACTTGAGAATCAGTGTTTGAAACTCCTTTTGTTCTAGGCGTATTTTGCAACAGGGAATTCCATTAGTGCAAGCATTTTCTGAGCTTTGGGTGTAGTACTGCGCCTAAGATTTCAGATTAAAACTGCAGAGTAGAAGGAAAGGAGGACCTTTTTCTGCCTCCCCACTTCCAGCTACTCTGAAGACTGGAGAAGAGACCCTCTTAAGAATATTAGGGGGTGGGCAGGGGAAGGACTAGGTCATGTGAAAAACTTATTTTAGCTGCAGTTCACTGATTTTCAGCTTTGTATTCTTGTTATAAAAAAGCGCACCTAGACATTCTGTTGTTGTGCCCATAACCTAGGTTGAAGGTGGCATTTAGCTCCTAGCTGTCATATCTCAGTTTCTAACACTGTTGAGAATCCATTTTCAGCAGTGGTTCCATAGTTAATAGTTAATACAGCAAACATCAGGGCCTTCCAAACATTTCCAGTAAGTCATAAAGCAGAATGGGTGGCATTCAGTTAAGTTTTGCCAAATTTTGCCATTCAAACTGAAGTGAATGGACCTACCTTAGTTATGTTCATTAATTTTAGTGTGTCTACTCTGAGATAAACTTAGTTGAGTACCATGCAATAAAACAGTAACAACAGTTGACATCAGTAAAGGTTATCGCTAAAGCCAAGCGCAACAGAAATAAAAATACCTCAGAGGTTAAAAGCCTAGGGAAATAAAAAGATAAATGTGGGATATGAATGTAGTAAATTGAAGCAGAAACAATAATTTTGAAATTTTATGAAGTGGATAAATCTTACATTATATGCATCTGATCTTACTCTCTCACTCTTAAGTCGGCAGCAAGTCTTCGTAATATGACAGCCAGAGTGCAGTCTCCAAAAATACAAAGGTAAAACTACATACCCATTCATTATGGTTAAATATTTTGGCAATTTTTTCCCCTTTCCCTCTTTATGTCGTGACATTACCTGAATCTACTTAACTAATTAATACTGAGAGCTGAACTCCTGCTGGTTGGCTATTGGGAATTCTTACCTGCTGTATTATACAGTGGTACCTTGGGTTAAGTACTTAAGTCATTCTGGAGGTCCGTTCTTAACCTGAAACTGTTCTTGACCTGAAGCACCACTTTAGCTAATGGGGCCTCCTGCCGCCGCTGCACGATTTCTGTTCTCATCCTGAAGCAAAGTTCTTAACCTGAGGTACTATTTCTGGGTTAGCGGAGTCTGTAACCTGAAGCGTATGTAACCCGAGGTACCACTGTATGTGAAAAAGAAAAGATCATTTTAAAAGTAGTACAGTGGTACCTTGGTTTAAGAACAGCCCTGTTTAAGAACTATTTGGTTTACGAACTCCGCAAAACCGGAAATAGTGTCTAAGTCTAAGAATGGAATCCAAACAGTGGAAGGGCACTGGCAGGGGGGGCCTCACTAAGGAAAGCACACCTCGGTTTAAGAATGGTTTCGGTTTAAGAATGGACTTCCAGAACGGATTAAGTTCATAAATCGAGGTATCACTGTATTTGGGTTAATAATGTCATGGCTGTGACAGTAGGAGAATATGCAGTTGCTCCGTCACCTCCTCCTCTGCCTTGTTTTAGCATGTGGGACTCCAGTTTTACTCTTGGCAAGTGAGAGGGGGAGAAGTGGAGTAGCAACATAATGTTTGCTATTTTGGAGCATTGACAGCTTCGTTGCATTTTTGCTGTTTCATTTCTAAAGTACTCTGGGAGTTTCATTGCAAACCGAATGGTAAGCTATGGGTTATATTAAATGTACAGAGGGACAAGCAAGGTCTCCAGGTTGTAATTTTGCAATCATTGTGATGTCTGACGGAGGCAGTTAGAAAAATACGATGGAGGGAGATGGAAAGCAGTAACAGAAAATGCAGAATAATCTAAAGGAAGAAATAAGGCTAAATCTTAGCGGCATGAATGAGGAACACTTGAAACCCTGCAAGGATTTAATGGAGAAATTATGTTGTCTCCGTAGAATTAAACATTCCAAGGCAAAAACTGAGACAACTTGTCGAAGATCGATGCGCTTGCAAAAAGTGGATCCACTGAGCATTCCCTTGCCAGAAGCACAAGCACATCCAGAACCTTCAGTTGACGAATATGTAAGTTGACAAATACAACTTGTACTGGGTGCCGAGCGGAGGGGAGAGCCAGTGTGGTGTAGTGGTTAAGAACGGTGGACTCATAATCTGGTGAACCAGGTTCGATTCCCCGCTCCTCCACATGCAGCTGCTGGGTGACCTTGGGCTAGTCACAGTTCTCTCTGAAGTCTCTCAGCCTCACTCACCTCACGGAGTGTTTGTTGTGGGGGAGGAAAGGAAAGGAGAATGTTAGCCGCTTTGAGACTCCTTAGGGTAGTGATAAAGCGGGATATCAAATCCAAACTCTTCTTCTTCTTCTTCTCTCACTGAAATACCCAGACTTGACTTTGCAAGAGTATTTTGTTCATTCATTTCCATAAAAAAATCATGCTCAAAGCAGCTTACAACAAAGCAATAGGGCTGCATTTCAAACAAACACTACAAAAAAATTCAGAATAACATAACGAAACAATAACATAGCAATGATTTCATAATATAGCAACAATTTTATTATGGCATAGCAAAGCAATAGCAAATATAATAGAAATAAACAAGATCCCTTAAACAACATGCAGCTTCCAGTGTGGCAAAAATGGCAGGGAAGCTTCACAATTTCACCTAAGTTCTAGAAACACCCCTCCCATGATTTTGCTGACAGTCCTCCTGCAGCCACTTGCAAGGCATTTTACTCTGAAACGTGAGGGGTTGCTGAGAGGCCTTTTCTGCTGGCTAACACTAGTTTGGTCTGAGCATCCTTGGTTCCTCACGGATCAAGTGTATAGTTGCTTCAAACAAGTCTTAAGAACTTGGCTTTGCGAAAATAATTTGGGTTGGTGAATAAAGTGGAAAGATTGATTGGGATGTGGGAGAATAAATTTTTATTCATTATTTAACAAAATTTGTATACTGCTTAACTAAAAAAAGCCCATGTGGTTTACAAAAAAACATAAAATATTAACATTATCAATAAAAGTCAAAGTTTAAAATAAATGAAAATACAATTTTAAAAATTGAAAATACAATTATTAATTTTTAATTAAGTGGCTCTCTTTGTTATTTTCTGTGGGGTGCACTGATGCGCAAGTTGTAAAGCAAGCCAGTGATGTTTTGTGCCATTTCCTCTCTTGAAAGCCTCGTTTGCCACCTGGACCGCTTCAGATGATACCCATAGATCAAGAGGAAGGAAATGATGCAACTGAAGGTTTTCTGAATATGTGGGCAAAAATAAGTCAGGTATCATTGTTTTGACATGTAGCGAGCCTAAATACTTAAAAAAAAAAAAATAATTCAATATCTGCATGGTAAATTCTTTCTGTTTTCCAACCAATTTTACAGGTAAATCCTAAGGTGATTGAGACGCCTACATGTAACTTGGAAAGGTAATTTAAAAACCAGTTTTAACTCCTCTTCCCCCCCCCCCCCGGTATTTGCTTGGTTTTTGTGGATGTTAACATGCTAATGATTTTGTCCCAGTTACCAAGCTCGTCTGCGTAAAATGGTCCTCCGAGAAGATTCTGTAGCAAAAGTGGTCCGAAACCGGATTCACTCCGTGGCTATCCATCCATCTGAAAGCAGAACTTTAGTAGCAGCTGGAGACAAGTGGGGACAGATCGGTCTCTGGGATTTGGTAAATAGCTTGTGCTCTATTGTCTTTGCTATCTATTACTGTTTATATCATAGAACCATAGAGTTGGAAGGGACCCCGAGGGTCATCTAGTTCAACCCCCAGCAATGCAGGAATCTCACCCAATGCATCCAGGACAGATGACCATCCAACTTCTGCTTTAAAAGCTCCAATGAAGGAGCGGTCACCACATTAAAGCGTATTCTGCTGGGTCAGGCCAAAGGGTGCCCTTCTAGTCTGGCATCCTATTCTCAGAGTGGCTAATCAGATTCCCCAATGGGAAGCCCACATGTAGGACTTGAATGTAATAGCAGCGCACTCCTCGCTTGTGATTCCCAGCAGCTGGTATTCAGCAACAGTCTGCCTTCAGCACTGGAGGTAATACATTGCCATGGTAGTTAGTAGCCATTGATAGTTTTGTCCCTTGCAAACTTTTCTGGCTCTGTCTTCTGAGAAGGAACTGACCCTTCTGAATGAGAAGGGAACCACACTGTAAGTTCTATTTCCAATTTTGAAAAGAGAAATTATGAGAAATGTACTAATGCTGTGTCTGTTTGTACTTCTTAGGACAGTGGATTGGAAGATGGAGTACACACCTTTGTTCCCCATAGCCAGGCAGTTAGCTGTATGTATTTTTCTCTGTCTAATCCTGCTCATCTTTTGTCTGTGAGCCACGACGGCACGTTACGACGTGGAGATGTAACCAGAGCGGTCTTTGATGAGGTGAGTGTTGGTTGCAACGTTGCATCTATTGCAAGGTCTCAGTAAAGATTATTTATTCATTTATTTGATTCCTAATTCACCCTTCACTGTAAGTTCCCAGGGTGAGATACAACCATTAATGGAAAATAGAGTCATAAAAACAGATAAAATAATTAAAATTATAAAATAAGTAAAACCATTCCAAATGGAACAGAACAGTATATTGCTGTAATGACTTCTGCTAAATAGTAAAACTTCCATTTTAACTGAAAGAATGGAAGGAAATGTCATAAATTATGTGTTCAAACATTAGCAGAAATGCAACAAAATCGCAATATTCCCTTTTTAAGAATGAGATCCTTTTGTATGTATAATGCAAAATCAGATATGGTATTCCTCCATCCTTCTATCTTAAGCAGCTCCTCCAAGATGGATGGAAAAGAGCAGCTCTCTCTTGCACGCGCTCTCTCTCTTCTGTTCACTTCTGTCTCATTAAGGACCATACCATAGTATTACAGCACATGCTTTACAAGTATAAAGCCTGAGCTTCAATCCTTGGCACATCTAGAAGAAAAGGGGTGGCCATGGTTGGAGGGGGCGGTAATCAAATAGCAGGTGATAGGAATGACCTCAGCCTGAGACCCCAGAGAGCTACTGCCAGTCAGAATAGACAGAACTGGGTTAAGTGGACATACAGTTCCACATAGTACAAGGCAGCGTCCTGTTGTTTTTATCCATTGCTACAGGCAGAATTCAGTTTCTTAGGCGGGGATGGAAAAGTCAGGATTTTTAACTCTGTACATTTGGAAATCTTGTCTGTCTGCAAGCGTGCTTGTAGTAATTGGCAAAGAGGATTGAGGAAACCATGGTGTGGCAGCCAGAGAATCATCCTATATTGTAGGGTATCCTACAGCTATTGTGATATATCAGCATAAAATTGGTAATTTAAAAAAGGTTTAGACTCCACCTAAAAGTAAACCTCTTTCTCATTCTCAGGTGTACAGAAATGAAGAGGACAACCTTTCTTCATTTGATTTTTTGGCTGCAGATGCCTCTACTCTGATAGTGGGAATGTGGGATGGAGAAGTAGCTGTAGTTGATCAGAGAACGCCAGGAGCTTCCGCTGAGCTTTCTGCAGAACTTAATTCGAAGACGACAAGGACCATCCATACCAACCCACTCAGCAGACATTATTTCGTAGCTGCTGGAGCAGGGTAGGTACAAGCTGTGATACGTGATTGCTTGTTGCAGTACATTAGGAATTTGGAGCCCAGAAATCAAAGAGATGTGATGCTAGTAAGTGAATAGAGGCCTCCTCTTGGGACCGGAGTCACAATAGATTCTTCCCAAGCCTAAGACCTCTGGACATTCTCTAAATTTAGGGGAGGGGGGACTCTGAAGAGATTACAGTGGTACCTCGGGTTACATACGCTTCAGGTTACAGACTCTGCTAACCCAGAAATAGTGCTTCAGGTTAAGAACTTTGCTTCAGGATGAGAACAGAAATCGTGCTCCGGCGGCATGGCAGCAGCAGGAGGCCCCATTAGCTAAAGTGGTGCTTCAGGTTAAGAACAGTTTCAGGTTCAGAATGGACCTCCGGAACAAATTAAGTACTTAACCTGAGGTACCACTGTATAGTGTTGTTATACAAAACTCCTGGTCACAGCCATTGACTAAAATCTTAGGTAGTTTTGCTTTCCTGTGCCCTTTAAAATTCATTTCCACCCCAAAAGAAGTGTCCCAAATGATAGCATTACATACATTGTTTCCCTGTTTTTAATTTACAGAGAAAACAGATCTGTTATAAAAGATTGCATAAAGTTACAGATTTTATGTGGGGCACAGAGAGAACTTCACGTGCTCCAAGATGATGAATGCTTTTCAGAGATTACAGAAAGAGTAAGCCTTTCTGTAAGAGCATGCTTATTTTTATCTCCACATTCTTCAGTGGAAGGGGATATCCTGGTGAGGACACTCCCCCACCCCCCAAGGAATGCGGAGCCATTAGACTCTCTGTCCCCTCCTTTGGAGAATTCAGTTTTTGGAGGAAGAGAGGAGCTCATTTAACACACTCAGCGTGTTTCCCAATCTCAGTCTTGGCAGAGGGAGAAAAATATGGGAAGGCCCTAGGACGCCGTGGTCACAGTGGAGCCTAAATGGCCATGGAAATTAGGAGTTACATGAGAGGAGGTGATGTCAGAGAGCTCTACCCACCATGCTATCTAGCATCACAATCTCTCGAGGAACTCCTTGTGACCTCACAGAACCCTAGGGTCCCATGGAACCCTGGTTGAGAAAAGCTGCAGCAGACAGTTGAGAGTAGTAGCTTTTCTCCCTCCCTTACTTCAAAACTTTTTAAAAAGTTTTGACACTTCCTTTTGCTTTCCCTGTGTTTTCATTTCCCGTGGACGGCTAATTGCAATGAGAGAAAGAAAGAGGAGAAAAGCGACTGTTGCCAAAGAAGGGCAGTGCACCCACCCACACTGCACACTTGGGGACCAGTGAATCCACCAGCCAGGACTGGTACTCATCCCACCTCCACACCCTGAAGCAAAGAGGGGGCAGCACCTTGGATTGCTGTGGATCTTGATCCAGCAGACTCCTAGTCTTGAGAACATAGCATAGGCAGAAACAGTGCTCCCCTTTGAGCCAGAAAGTGGGCACCGATTCAGAGATGTGGTGCTCATGGGTTCTGCGGAACCTTAGACGTGAGGTCTCCTCTGAGCTCTAGCATGGCATCTGGTAACTCATCCACAATGGGAGGAGGAAGTGAGTGTATATTCTGAGCAGCTCCCGTTAACCACCTATCTCTCTCATAGGAGGAAACTTGTTTCAGAATTCGTACCAGTGTATTAAGATACTTTTATATGTTTATGATATCAAGAACATAAAATCAAACAGATCTGCAATTTATAGGCCAAAAGGGAAACAGGGGCACACACTGGGAGATCCCATGATTTTTTTCCTTCCCCAAATAATTATTGTCTCAGTTGTAAGCAAACAGTGGAATCGTCCTCAAATTCTGTTAACCCCCCCCCATATTGATACAGTGGTTTCTTATTTTCTTAAGTGCAGTTTGTCCCAATATTTTGTTTGACACCTGCAGGGTTCTATGTTTTCAATGTCCTTTTTTCCTTGATGTTTGAGGAGCTCTCGCCACCACAAGAGACAGGAAGTCTAATAGATTAGCTATGCCTGGATAGTCCATTGGGAGGAGATGTCCCATTCAGGACATCCTCCTAGCCACTGAAGAAGAGACACCCAGGATGAAAGTCTTAACGTTTCCATTTATGCCGCAGGGATGTTGATATTTATGATGTTCGGCACCTGAAGGCGAGTGGCAGCAAGCCCGTGGTCTCTCTTGCCGGGCACACCAAGAGTGTTGCTTCTGCTTATTTTTCACCTGTGACTGGCAACAGGGTGCTGACTACTTGTGCTGATGATACACTGAGGTATGAGTGGGAAGGGAGCTGGCTTTTGTATTAACAATTTCCTCCTGTGAAAGTCCTTTTTCAGATAACTGAATTTACTGCCCTGAGACTTGGCTGTGGCCCGTGGCTTATATGGCATCAGTAGTGGAATTGAGCAAGTTAATAGGACTGTTGAAACATAGGGCTGCTGTAGATCCTACCATGTTCAGAGGCAGGGTGGGAGAGGTTTGGAACTCATGCCTCTTGCTGACCATTGTTGGAAACAAATGTAGGAGATTCTGTAAGAGATGTGTATGGCTGAGTTACGGCAATTAAATATTTTGCATTGAGGTGTGTGGGCCCTTGCTTATGACCTTTTAAAAAATCTACCTCAAAATACTTGCTTGTATTTAGAAATACATACCATATTTTCACTTGATGAGCAGTAGGGAGACCCCTTGCAATATAATTGTTTACATAGTCTAAACCAGAGGGTAGGGAGCTAAATGTGGCCCTCAGGATTGTCCTGAGGCAACACACCTTCCTTGAGCGTTTTTGCCTGACTGGACTGTGTCCTTGAACTCTTTGATAATGTTTCCGGTTGATCCTCATGCTGGATTTGAATAAGTAAGTAAGTAGTTTTTTGGGGGGCTAAATCAAATATTTAGGGTGTGTTTTTTTTAAGCCCCCAATTTTTGTCTCTTGCAGGATCTTTGAAACCACATGTATATCATCTTCAGTCCCTGTTCTCACAACTATCAGGTGAGTTAGAATAGGAGGATTTACTCTGGTGCCAAGATTCAAGTTTGGTGGAGGGGATTATGAGATCACAGACTCCACAGTGAGCGAAACACAATATTTGACTGTAGCAAAGTGGTTTTTTCCATTAGAGAGCATGCACATCAGATTTAAGAACGCTGGTTTTCTAGATCAGCCCTCCCCACCTAGTGCCCTCCAGATGTTTTGGACTACAACTCCCCATCAGCCTTAACATCATTCATTTGGGCTGGCTAGAGCTGCTGGCATGTTGCTGTCCAGAGCAACTGGAAGGCAGTGATGTAGATGCATCTTAACTATTTCTCTCCCCCCCCCATCCCCTTTCTGAATAGGCATAATAACTACACGGGACGGTGGCTCACAAGGTTCAGAGCTATTTGGGACCCAAAGAGGGATGACTGCTTTGTGGTGGGGAGTATGTCTCGACCAAGGCAAATTGAAGCCTTTCATGCGACAGGAGGTTTGGTGCATTCCTTCCTCAGCGAAGACTACCTTGGCTCTGTTTGTTCCATCAATGCCTGGCACCCTACCAGGTACATTCTTGCAGGTGGTAACTCTAGTGGCCGCCTCCATGTTTTCAAAGAGTGAAAAAAGTTTGAACCTTCAGGTAACAAAGAGTATGAGTTGCATTTTGGTTGTGTTAGGACTTTGTCCCTGGAGAAAGACAAATATATTCAATTTCAAAACTTTCTAAGTGATATAGATTACCAATAACAGAAATAAATAAGGCTAGCCTTGTTACTCAAATGCAGTGACTTGTTGCAGGTTTCTGCAAGGTTGTTTCACATAAACTGTTAAATGGTTTCAATATATTTAAGTTCATTCATAGTGGCTTAACAATCTACAGAGCAGGCTGTGTACTAGATCATGTTTAATTCAGAGGTCAATTGCTAACAATTATTCTGAGATCAAAAGGGTGTTTTGGTGTGCATCAAGAGTGGTGAGAAGGCACAGGCTTTCTCTTAACACCCACTAACTTGAACATAAGCAGCATGTTAATAATGCTTATGCATTATTGCAAGATGGAAAATGCAATTATGTCTGTTGTGTAGTAACACCAGATGGCACCTTACACCAGGGAAGCATTCATAGTAAATGAATCAGTGTTAGACCAGCTCATCATGTTCAACTTTTTTAAATTACGCACAATAAATGCTTTGGAATCTCTGTAGCATCATGTGGTGGTTGTACCAAAATCATATGGATGATCTGGCGGTAAAAGTATATCCAATTTAAGTTGGTTAAGCATTCAAGTTCTGAAAACATTAAGGACAGAGAGGTTGAAAGAAATTTTCCACAGTAGCAGATAGCATTTCAGGAATTGTCTAAGCAGACATGTCACATGAGGTGAAAGATCAATTTACTCAACAGAGAACATTTTCATCATAATTAAATATTTATTTAAATTTAAAAATACTTCTATATGGCACCAATGATTTATGCTAACTACATGTTGAATATGTAGAAAAAGGTACATTATTTTGAAGGGAAAATGTAACACAGCATTTGGCACATGAAAGGTTAACGTCTATATTGTTATGAAAACTAAAATTCACATTTTCAGGTAACTTACTTTCTACTGCTTTTAAATATGCAGTACGCTAGTCCTTGTTAAGAGTTTGTTTCCTCTGATACAGCAACCTATGGAAACCACCACAGTTTATACAAATGAGACCAGGAACAACTTAGTAGTAAGTGAAACATGAAACGTAACATGGGGCAAAACAGGAAAAATGACTTTTTTTCAGTTGCCAGCTGGAAAGTTTTCAGGATAAAACATTTGGCAAAAACGAGACACAATCCATTAGGAAGAGGTTCTGCAGTGCAAGCCCCAGAGAAATGAAAGTGCACGGGAGACCTTAACTCTAGGATTGTGGCCAGAATTTTTAAAAAAGTAAAATAACTATCTAAAGCCACCATCAGTATTCATAAGTTGTCCACTTTGAAAATGAAAATGTCCATTGTACAAAATAGTTACAGATAACAGGACAAGTGTGTGGCATGATCAACAATACCAACAATTAAAACATGAAATAAATACTGCATCGTTATCTGGGATGGAGAATGTTAAAATTAAGACTTTTCACTCACTGCATAGAAGCATCGTTTACTACAGACTGAGGTAGGAACACTACACTAGAAGTTAATTTTGTTGCTGTGTTGCATAAAACAGTGTGTATCCTTGTAAAATCTATCCCTTGTATCTTCTTGGCAGGCATTCAAAAGTTTTTTTTAATGTACCTGTATAAGCAAAAGTGAAAGCCAAAATCTCTCTTGGCTCTTGTGACTTCCAAGCTGGCAGTTGCAGTTAATGGTCAGTAATCAAACAGATCCTTGTAGCACTTCCACGATGTGTTCAAATAACAGGGAATCCTTTTCTAGTGTACCGTACACCCACACCCACACCCCAGTCTGCGTCCAGTAACCTTTGCCAATATTTAGTGTATTGCTAATAGTGTCATTGTGCTCTTTTTTTTCCAAATGATGAATGACCAGCTGTGGGCAGAGTGTAACTGAACTTGGAAAGGAAATCGGTGCTTGAGATTCCCACGCCTATCCACGCACCCTCCCATTGGGCAAGTCCTGGCAGTGCTTCAGTTCTGCATGAACTTGAAGGGCTTGTGTGCCTGCTGAAAATTGTAGTAGCCAAGTCAGAGACAAGATAAATGAAACCAGCCTCTTGAAATATTTCTGATTTAGATTCCCAAGTGACTTGAAATCTCTCCCTGAGATGAAATAAAACACTTGCCAGTCTGATTTCATTCTCTTGCTCTGCTCATCTTGGTGAATACTCTCACCATGTTTAAAATTTATTGCTCCTTTTACAAATGAGCTGCTATTTGTCAGGCTTTTAGATTAGACTATCCACATCACAAGACAAAAAGTAGGAAAAAAATTTCTGAATTGCCTTCAGGATGGAAACGTGTGGGTCAGATTGTTCTATGTGTTTTCATTCCAGTGCTACCTCCCCCACGTCCTTAAGTTCTCCATCGTTTTAATGGCACAAGGTAACCCATTTTCCTTCCTCCAGAAGTTATGAATGGGTTAGCTTGATGCTCAAATACCATCCTAAAAACAGCCATAATATTTTGTTTACCACCAATCACTTTGAATACCACACTATATTCACCTAATTCATAAAGTAAAAAAGACTTGGTTTGCTCGTTAACAAAATAGCATTTTGTTCTTAAAATATATAGGTTGAAACAAGTTTGTTCTTTTGTAGTACAAAAACAAGTACAGCTTTCTGAGGCAAAATGTCTTTCAAAGAAATTGGATATGATCACTACTACTTAATACAGCAAGACTCGGTCAAGTATAATCAAATACATATATTTATTTCCCCCATATACTAACTCTTGCTTTATATGGGGACGTTACTGCTCTAAGAAAAACTGCATTTCTGGGATCCTAAAGGTCAGAAGTTGAAATTCACAAAGGACAGGTTTCTCCTAGTCACACTTTTCAACGCTAGGGGGAAGAATTAGATTTACACCTCGTTGCTGCCTCCTTGTCTCGTGCCTTACCTATTGCTTATAAAGAATTGAGTGTGTTTGGGTGACCATATGGTGTCAGAACCTTAATCCCCCCTGCCCCCACCTTCAAAATTCCAGATTAAGCCAGAAGTTTTATTGATAAAATAGCAAGACTATGTTTAAGGTGGTAGTGCTGTACACAGTGGCAGTTTTAACAAAATAATAAAATACTAAAGTTACAACTCAGTAGCACCATTACAAAAGCTCCTGCATAAAATGACGCTGCCTTCTTGAACTAGTGTCCTAGCTGGAGGCTGGCACTTAATGCAATAATCAATAGTAATAAAATAAACTCTCTTTACTTGAAATTTTTGAAATGGCCACCTCTAGGAAAGCTTAAAATTAAACTTGGAAGAGTGCAGAATAATTTAAAAGTTGGAAAGCAAACCAGTTGAAGACACTTCCAGGAAGAGGACGTGTAAAGAAATGGGCATTGTTTGAATCTGGCGCATGTGAGAAAGTCTTATCCCTTTCTTCTGCTTGGAAACAACTCTCCTAGGCCGCTGTTTACTTTGATTCATGAAAGGAGGACTTATTTTATGTGCCGATGGTGCCACGATGTGTCCCATTTTTCTGGGAATGGGTAGCAGGGATCTTCTGCAATCCACCTGGCTAGTTACTAGGAGGAGTCCTGCCTTCAGGTGTCAATGAGTAGGCTGAGCACGGAGCGGATTTTGCAGGCAAACCATCGCCTGAGGGGACAAAAGTATTGATAATGGAATTGTTCAAACTCGGGGGTCTGGCGAATATCACGGAAAAAGGCAATGTCAAGGTCAGACTCGGTAAGGATGATCAGGAGGAGGAGCAAAACAAAGAGGAGCCCACCGGTCACAAGGAGCAAACGGAGGACACTGAAAACAAACTTATTCACCTGTTCTGCTTGGGCTCCGCCACCGCTGCCCACACCCTGGCACAAGGCTCGGAGCTCCCTCCCCAGCTCCTCGGCCTCGGCCACCGTGGGCGTGTTGGCCTCAGACTCCTTTTCTTCCTCTATGCTGCAAGGGGCTCCGTTGATCTGCCTGGAGAGCAGCATCAGCTCAAGGCTCTGCTCAGCTACCGGCGTGGGAAGGACGCTGTCCGAGGGACTGTAGATCTCGTCCGAAATGATGGCCACACGCTCGCTGCTCTCGGCCCGGTAGGCCCGTGAATGCGGCAGGAAGGCATCGCCGTGGGAGACTGACCGTACCGGGGTGGAGTGGGCACTGTCCCGCAAACACTCAAGCCCTGGAGAGAGGGAGGGAGAGAGGAAGAAAGGGGCTGGCTATGGAGAAAGATGAGGGGAGTCGCCAACGCATTAGCCAGCCTCAGCATGGAGACACGGAAGTTGGGCTTTCAATATAAAATACTGTTTATCCCAAGATCAAGATATCACTGTAAATTGAGCATGGAAGTGAGGGCTATAATCTGGCCAGGTTCAGAAGAATCCTGGAGGAAGTTAACCTTCGGCAACCTAATTCAAAACATTCCTTAGATTCCTCTTCAGTGGTTCCGAATGCCAGAAATTCAAGCACAATGCAGGCTTGTGCTTTTTAGTGGTTTGGTGGAAATCGGTTGCATATTCCCAAAATCTGAAACTCCAAAAATTCCCCATCTGTATGGTAAGCAGATTTAGGGCATGTTTGTGAACACCTGGAGGCTTCCTGGCTGGATTCTCCTTCCCAAAAGAAAGAAATGGCTGTCACCACACTGAGCAGGCTGAGAGCATCTCTGAAGGCTTTCATATCAATGGCTTGTTCTGTCCTGGCCCAGAGAGCAGACCTAGATCTCATGGCCTTAAATTAAAGGTAGATTTTGGTTGGAAACATTTTGATGAAAGGAGCGACTCAACAATGGAACCAGTTAGTTGTGTGTTTTAGGAGGAGGGCTGTTATTTGCTGGGCAGCCATGTCTGCAAGGCTAGGTGGTCTACACAGCCTCTCTGCAGCACCTCTATGATGATAGAATTGGTCACATAAGAAAAGCAGGCCAAAGGGGGGCCTTCTGGTCCAGAATCCTGTTCTCTTAGTATCCAACCAGATGCCCGTTAAGGGACACCTGAAAATAGAACCTGTGTGCAACAGCAGTGCTAATCTCATTTGTGATTCCCGGCAGCTAGTATTCAGAGGCACATTGCCTTCAGCGCTGGAAGTGGAGCCCAGCATTCATGGCTAGTAGCTTCAATGTTGCCCCAACCTTGAGAAGAAGTGACGTGGAGCTAAAACACATGGAGAAAGTGTGGGTGCATGGAGCACCACAAGTGATTGCACATAATCTTTACTGCTTACCTGGTTCAGAAGTCGTGGCCTGGGTGAATTTGCAACTGCCCAGACTGCCCTTTAAAGTTCAAGGTTTTTAAATTCTTCTACTCTTTTAGTTAGGCCTATCATGTTAGTGGCACAGTACACACCATTGCACACTGTTCGCATAGGCCCTAGGGAGTGACACTTTTTAATTGGGGGAATAACTTGCTTGGCTGATAAAATCTGCCAGATTTTACCCATTGTGGTTGTACAACAGATAAAAGAGGGCTATCTCGTTTTGCAAGTTAAAAATCCAGCATCTTGCTAAAAGGTTTCATCAGTGCTAGCATTTCCACCTGCCTGATGGAACCACCTCCTTTCCCACCCTCCTGTATGCTGTTCAGGTGGGGGGGGGGAAGAAGCCCCATTGCATTAGCCAGAGCCCTTCGTGTTGGATCTCCCATTAGTGGAACTGCTTAGATGAAGCTGGCTCCACATAAAAACTGCCTTTTTGTAGCCCAAAGGACACTACAGAAACTGGCAGTATACCCATGAAGCAGCCTCTGGCTTCACCTTGGGTCTTGCTCTTGACACTGACCCAACTTCAGACATTAAACTCCCGAGCTCAGTTTAGCAGGTGCAACCCTGATGCAGATCGGCTTTTAATTTCCTCCATGGGGCCTTGCCAGGGGTCCACCTTTAGCTAGTCTGCTGTGTGTGTAGAAGGGGAGAAACCCTTCCACAGCCATGTGAGAAATTTCATTTAAAAGGGTCAATCTTGCAAAGGATTTTGTCTTCCCCCATTAAGATGCAGGTGGCAAAGCATTTGTAGCAAGCACACAGCATTCTAAACCCATACACCAGCAGAATAACAATGCATGGAGCTGGCCAGCCCTCCCTACGGAAATTAGCATAAGTGCATATGAAACAGTCTCCTGTCCTTGCGTTCCATAAATCACTTGAGACAGCTGCCTCCCAATTTGGCCACAAGAGAGTGATACAGCACATACGAAAAGGACTCAGTGGGAAAGGCAAACCTGGCATTTGTGAATGTTTCTTTCATTAAGACTGAAACCGAAATCACATTTAAAATAACACTCCTCGCCCCCGGTAACTAAAGTAGTTCCACAAAATAGATTCCATTCCGAGAAAGGATTAACGACGGATGAGGAGCTTGTAGCCCAAAGACCATCCTAACACCCCAAGGGAGGTGAATGTACAAATGTGCCCTTGGCTTTGTTCAGAAGAGAGATTAAATCTGGAGAGTGTGCTGCAAAGCTACACGAAGTCACCATTGTGTCCAGACCTCACCTTCCATGATAGAGATGTGCACAGCTCTCCTTCGAGTTCTGGGGACGCTGCTTAGCCGTGGCCCATGAGTGATGGAAGGACAGCTACGGCTAGGAACCAGCCCTGCCCTACAGAAAGGAAGCACACAAAATGGTGTTGGGAATGCAGCCTTCCATTCAGAATCAGAGACGAGCCTCTTTAAGATTATGAGCCAAACCCAGGAAATGGCCCCTTCCAGAAAATGCAGGGGTAGAGCTGGAAAACACATCCCGGGTGGATTTTGCAACTAGCAGAGGAACAGTCTGCTTATACTGAGTCAGACCACTGGTTCGTTCAGGCCAGGACTATCTACACTGACTGGTGGCAATGGCTCACCAGCCCAACCTGGAGATGGAATATGGGGCTTTCTGGATGCTTTGCTACTGAGCTATGGATCTTCCTCTATGGGGAAGCTGCCCCCCCCCATTTGTTACTGAACTGCCACCAGCTGCAGCCAGCGTGGCTTCTCGCAGGTGAGCCCACAGCTTGTCTTCCAAGCTTCCTCTGCTGAGCCTTACCTGTGTATTTCTGGAGGCTCCCGCTTGATCTTGGCACTAGACTCCATCACTTCTTTTGCAACTCGGCCACTGAAAGTGGTTGGAGAACAGAAGCCGTGACAATAGCAGAAACCACCCTTTCCCCCTCCAGAGTTTCTGCTAGCAACTCTTGCCTGCTCTAGACAGAGGAATCGGACTTGCTTGAAGCTCAAAAGAAAAGCCATCCTTCCTGGCAGACCCATTCAATGAGCAGAAAGGACATCCCCCAGTATATCGGCTGTGCTATTTACTTCGAAAAGTTACGTTGTTTTCCTTCCCTTGTTGTATGGCCTTTCCTGCAGCACTTTCCTTGTCACCTATTACTGGCTTTTGCTTCTTGGCTGTGCACTAGAGTGCATGGAAGCAGAATTTGGCCCAGCTACAGCAGTCCTTTTATTTCAGATTTTTACTTACTGTATTTAAATCCCACCTTTCATCAAGGCGGCTTTGTGGCTCTCCCCCAGTTTAACTTTGCAACAACCTTCTGAAGTAGGTTAGGCCGAGAGGCAGTGACATAGCCCAAGGACACCCAGCATGTCCCATGGACGAGTGAGGGTACCAACCCTGGTCTCCCAGGTCCTACTCTGGCACTCTATAACCACTACACCTCACATTTAAATTCTGGCATACAACAAAACAGCTCGCTCAGAAAACAAAGGGGAAGGCACCTCTTGAATCCCTGCATTATGTCGGGAACATCAGATGAGCAGCCTTGCCTTAGGGAGGAATCCAACCTCACCCTCTTCCAACTGTTTAGTCAGCACCAGCATTTTAACTTGCCTGATGAAATGATACCCACCACAACCCCGTGTGCTGTTCTGGGGGTTCTCCCAACCTCCCTCCACAGCCAACTGTGAGCTAAGCTAGAAGGAGCTCCTATCGCACTGGCAGGGCCAGTTAGTTGGATCTGGCCCGATAATTTTATCTCAAATTCAACACAGCTGAACTTATAACAGACTCGTTCCTCAAGCCACCCAGAGGAAGCATCCAAGAACATACCCAGTAACTGCTACTTACGGTCATTATTTACCTGTATCGGAACCGACTCCCTTTGAAAAATAGGTTACTGCTGGACACAGTGCGGACTTGGCTTGACTTCTCCAACCTGAAACAAAAAAGCAGGCGTTGGCAGAAGGCCCATAACTTGGGTTTTGACAGCATTCTGCTGGCAGACTTTGTTGGAAATGATGTCAAAGCTCCTGCTCTGGGAGCAAGTAGAGAGATACAAGAAGCCCCTGCGCTCCCCTCGGTTTGGTGCCCCTGCCAGTGTCCAAGGTGAACAGTTTTTTAACTCAGCATCTTTACTCCTCCAGAAGCTGCTCTTGACTTCCCCCTTTTTTTTGCATTCCAAGTCAAAGCGAAGGGTCTGGACATGAGAATATAAAAAGAGCCTGCAGGATCAGGCCAACAACCCCATCTAGTCCAGCATCCTGCTCCCACAGTGGCCAACCAGAACCAGATGCCCCAATGGGAAACTGCCCAAGAGGACCTAACAGCAACTTCCCTCTCCTGATGTTCCCAGCAACCAACATTCAGAAGCATTGCCATTTCCAAGTGTGGAGGCAGAGCACAGCCATCATGGCTAGTAGCCACTGCACTTGTTGCCCACCCTGCAGTGCCTATGCATGAATTTCAGACTCATGTCTGAATTTCAGACTCAATTTCAGAGAGTGAGGTAACTTAGCTGCAGAGGAGAAAGAGGTGCAAACTGATCCAGTGTGGTAAAGCAAATGCAAATGTCTCTCCTTCAGTGAGATCCGCAATGGAACATTATCGGCTAGAAAAACATTCCGCCCAATCTTCCTCACCTAGAAGTAACTGGGAGTGCACAGGAGGCTTGGGGTTGACACCTCACTGCTGCCAAACTGCTGGAGCTGATCAGCAATCCCAACACTGGTTGGGCTACTTCACTAGGAGGAGGAATGGGCTTGCTTTTTAGATAAGGATATGGGTTCTGGCTGCTTCCACACTGCCACTATTTTGCAGGTACACAAGTAAATTTCAGTCATGTAATTAAAGTAGATTTTGTGCTGTTACAAAGCAAACCCAGCTTCTGGGGGTGGTGGTAAGGAGTTTTGAGAAAATGCACTGGAAAGTGTGGGTTAAGTGGGACATCACATAGCATCATACAACCTCCACACAAACAGAGAGTGAATGCTCACAGTGGGTGTTGTATAAACTTCCACACACATTTTAGCTCAACAAACAGGTTGTCTGGAAGAGCCCCTAGCCTAGAATCTTTAGGAGGGGTGCTTTGGGTGAGGCACTGGTTCTGTATAGAGGGGATCAAGGATAGAACAGAGCGGTCTTAATTGCATCCATCATCTGGTTTCTGGGGATGCATAAGCAGAAGACAATGTACCAGTGCTGCTATTCATCTGGAAAAGAAGCAAAAAGATTTGTGAAGCAAAACGGCAGCTGTGCTTCATGTTAATATAATGAGAAATGAGACGGCCTGATTGCAGCTTACCCAAACAGAACAAAGCAGCACACATTTTCTTGCAGCCCACCGACTACAAGGAAGCACACTAGAGAAAGCAACCTTCTATTTTATAAGCAAAACACCAAATTAGAGGGAGAGAACAAAGGATTCTGTTTGGGGGCTACCAGAGATGAAATGCCTCTTCACAAATAGTCCATGTTTCTGGCCCATTGTTCCTTAGTTACTTCTCAAGCTGGCTGTTCAGTTGCTGGTCAGAAACTTTCTGGGGCCAAGATATTCTTGCAGCACCCAGTCAGCCTACACCTTGTCCTAGATCCAAACTGCAGCTAAAAGTGGGGTGGCCTAGGCAGAAGTGAAAAGGAAGCTGGCAGGAAAGCAGCCCTGATCCCTTCCTGCAAGTAGCTTTGGTGTTGTTGTTTTTTGCAGAAAGGAGGGGGGGCAATCCAGATTCAGAGAGCAGCCCCCCCACATACACACAGTTTGCCCAGGCATGTTTCCACATCCAGACCCGACACTGTCAGCGGCTGCTGGGAATGATCACAACTGTCCCACGGACAAAATTAATCCTGGGGAAATTTATTTCATGCTTACTTATAAAAGGCTTGATTTTCAATCCCACATTTCCAGAGGTGCTTGCAGGCTTCAGGAGTTGGAGCAAAATATGTCAGAACTATTTTCTTTTCCTATAGAAAGCCCAGGGGGAAAAAACCCGTAAGGTTAATTCACAAGCTTGGTTCACAGACAGCATGCTCAGTGAGTTAGCTTTAAATGCAAATGCCCCGAATGCTATTTGAACGGAAGAAGGATGGGAAAGCAATTTCCCTGAAGGAGCTGTGGGTTTGCTTTCCATAAATAAATATATGTGGCTCTATAAGCAGCATCACGCACCCTGCAAAACCTGGAAACCGCTCAGCATAAGATGGCGATGGCATACTACAAGTGGTGGTGCGATTTTTACTTGGGCCACGTAAACAGTGGATGAGATTGCAATGCTGTTTGTGAGGAGTCTTGCACAGAAGGCTCTGGCTGTTTGTTTCCACTGTCAGAAATAATGGCAGGATTCGACTTTCCTCCTGGCAATACCAACAGTGCTACCTTTGCAAATGCACCTGACCCTTAAGGATACCTAATAGAAGTTATTATAAGGCCAGTAAGTATTAGATTGAGCATCCTTAAACTTAGCCATGCCTCTCAATATATGTGGTGCTTCAGGATGGAGTGTGGCCAGAAACAGTCAGGAATCCTAAACATTGCATCTCTTGGAACAGAGGCAAAAACTATACCTACACAGTTACAGCGGCTGAAGAAGGTACTCACCTCTTTCTGACTTACATATAAATAGAACGTCTTGCCTTCGAATTTCATTTTTGTCACTTCGTTCCTACAAGCACAAAAAAGGCACTTGCGTAAACCAGAGGACGCAGCCTGCCTCCCATCGCACAGCATTACGAATGCAGAGCCCACACACAGCGTGGAATAGATTCCGGCAAGATGCAGAAATTGAAAACCAAATTGTTTGCATGAAACGCAAAGTCAAGAAACAAAATGTTTTAGAGGGCAGCAGTGGCAGGAGTTTCAAGTCCAACATTTGCAGTTCATCCAAAGTGTAACATGGTTAGAGAAGAGGACTCCTGGCTCAAAAACAGTGGCTGAGGTGAGAGAGGAATCTCAGCGCAAAAAGGTGAGTCTTAAGTGGGGGGTGTCCAGGAGCCACCTTGCAAACTTTTGCTTTATTAAAACAGGTGCATATCTGGATGAGAATACCAAATGTAAGATAACCACACTTAGCTGATGAGGCCAAAATCTGAGATACAGCAAAAGGATGAGCAACAATGCGACCAGGTCTGGAGCAGGGTCTGGAGGGGCTTTTAGGTGACTGTGCCAATAAACATGGACAATGCAGTTTAATGCAGACAGATGTACAAAATAATACATTTTGGGGCAACAAACCAAATATTGAGAGTACAGATTACATGGAACAGTCATGCAGCGTACTGACCAGGAAAGGGGTTTAGGGGTTATTGTAGAAAAATCCTTGAAGCCATCAGCCCAGTGTGTGGCTGCAGTAAAAAAGGCAAACAGGATACTGGGGTACATCAACAACGGGATACAATACAAAGCAAGAGAAGAAGAAGTGACACTAACTACATTGCATGGACCAGATCACAGCTCTGCTTCTTGTGCCCTGAGCAGCGGGGTGGGGGGTGGGGAAAGAGGCACTCGTGCCCCTTGTGACAAAACACAGCTGAGGATGGGAGGAGCCCCCAATAGGCATGGCGGGGGGGGGGGAGAGAATGTCATTCTTTTCTGCACTGGGAATTTCAGGGGAGATTATCCAGCATGGAAAACCCACAGGGGCTTTTTTGGAGGACGGATTCTCTGATTAGTTATGGGCGTTCTGTACAAAACACCATGGATCATGCTTTCTTACTAGGTAGGTAGATGAAAAACTATCTCATCGGAGGAGAAGGAGGGCAGGAACAAGAATCTTGCATCACTGCATGGCCATTTTTTTGCATGGCAACAGTAGGATCGAAGGCCCAGGTGAAAACTGGTTCATAAAGACATCAGAGCTAATAGGTGAACAATCTGTCTTGGGAATTCCAGATGAAGCATTTTGCATATTTAAAAAACTACAGAAATAACCACAAAGGAAAGATCTTAAGGAAATGAACAGTATTGCGCATTATTGAGTTGCTCCAAGGAATGCTGCTCCTATGTATTGCCCTGTCCAGCTATCTACCTTCGGGGCAAGGACAGCTTTCAGGGTGTCTTGGTCCTTTATAAGGAGAGAAATTTGACCCTGGTGAGTAAATGACTTCTTTGGAAATAGCCACTGGTAATTTCAGAGATAACAAAAAACCTGAACAACTCTGAGCCTTAGTACCCATCAACTAGGTCCCTAATTACCAGGAACTCTCTTAGAGAAACATAATATGCTTTCAATAAGCAAGGGACACAGCTCCTTGGGTTGCGTCCACTGACTGCCAAAGCACATTCCCTCCAGCAGCTAAAATGCAATGTCCACAATCTTTAAACAAGGGGATAAATTCTGGGAAGGATAACTGGTGGAGGGTGGGGGATCCTAAGGCAAAAAGAACAAGTAGGCTTGGGTTTTGCAGAATGACAAGATTTTGGCTTTCCACTTCCAAAAATGAAGTGTTGTTGCTGCTAGCTCTGAGAGCAATAATGTGGTGCTAATAGGACACAGATTGGGCAGATGTCCCAAGTGCTGCATGCTAATGGCTTGCCTAAAGCTTTTCCTGGAACAAAATGCCTAGCAGCCATTTTCACTAGCCATAATAAAGTCTGGAGTGACAGTGTGTAGCTCAAGGCCAAACACAGCTTCCAGGGTTGCAGACAGCCCTCCACAACCTCATTGCACGAGGACACCAGGATTCTCTTCCAGGTACATCAGATTGCTAGTTGCCTAGGTGTGACACTGCACAGAGCTGGTTATTTACCTGTCACTGAAATACTTAATGTGGTCACCTGTGCACTCACAACCCAACTTCCTTCCCTACTACAGGTCCTCTGACTTTAGAGTGGATGCCTTGCAAGGAAATGGGTGTGAAGGTGCTAATCCTGCCCCCCTTGATATAAGTGCACAAGTCAAAAAGTCCTGCTGCTCCAACTCCCTGGAAAGAGCTTTGGGATGTTCCTAGAGAATGACACAGGGCAGGTGAGGAACCCAGAGATAGGTGGGACTGCACAGGTGACCACTCAACACTAGACTGAGAGAAGTTTCACAAATTCAAAGCTGCACTTCTGAAAATTCCCCAGATTTTTCAGAACAAAATACTTGTACGTTATATGTAAAATTAATAGTACCCTTTACATCTCTGTTGTCCCAATAAAAAGGATGACTTGCCGCATTGTCTCATATCCGGCTGACTGCCCATTTGCTTTTAACCACATGATCCCCAAGAAGGTCAAGGGGACCCAACTGCTACCCTTGGGGAACAGGTGGATCCTTGGCAAGTGTCTTCCAATATAATCATGACTTGAGAGAGGCCATCAGGAACACAGCGTCCAGTAGAAGCAGGTGGGACCAAAACCTGCTACCGTATTGGCCTGAATATAAGCTACACTCCCCCCCCCCCAAATTCTGACCATGAAAAGTTAAAGTGCGGCTTAAATTCGCGAGCTTACAAAAACTGGCTTTTATGATATCGCTGCCGAAACAGACATACAGTAAAACGGAACATTTGCCATTTGTGGGTGTGAGTGCCTGTGGAATTTTAAGGAAGTGGCTTATATTTGGGTATTCTCCCCCCCCCCCAAATTTTAAAGGTGTGGCTTATTTGCAGTTGCGGCTTTTATTCAGGCCAATATGGTATATCTGAAATTATTTCCTTGCATTTCAGGTATCATCCCCAACTCCCAGCTAAGTCAGCTCCCTACCCTCTGCCCCTATTGCATTGTTTAGCGGGAAGCAGCTGCATGCTGGGTTGCTAAGTATTTGTGCCCAGTGGAAGCTGGGTTGTCCATGTAGAGCAGAAGCAGTAGCATGCCTCTCCTCCCACACATGTTCTGGGGGCTGCAGTTCTGGCCCCGATTCACCTTTTTTAAAGTCACCAGTTGCACTCTCCACTAAGTGAAATGCAAATGGTACTTGTCTGGGACAAGAATTAGACAAACAATTAGTTTGTGTGTGAGTGTGAGTTCCAGCTCAGTTCCAGCTGTAGAATTTAGTCATGGGTTCCAGGAGAATGAATGAATGCTAAATCTGACGAGGAAGAAGAGGAAACAAGGAAGGCTCAAAACCTGAAGCTCGAACCCCCACATTAGAAGCAACGCCCTGTCAAAACACACCAGTTGGCTGTGAAGGCCTTCCAGCCTCTGAACAAAAGGGGCAGAGCAGAGCAAAAGTGGGATACCAAGCCAACTAGAAGGTCAGATCCTGTCTTGGTCAGCGGGTCTCTGTTCTGCACCAAAGGGGGTAAATGAGGGGCAGTAGGGTGATATCAGAGAAAGCTTCCACTGCCACCCAAAAAGGAATGGTAGAACTGGGGTTTCCAGAGCAGAACTCACCATTTGATGAAGTGGACTCGCTTGTTTCCTTGCAGGACAACAAACCCAAATGGGGTGAAGGCCAAAAAAGCAGCATTTCCAGACACATCCTGCAAGAGAGCGATAACTTCTCGTCACACAGCGCAGAGCCAGTAAGGCTTGTAGGACAACCTCCACTCGCATCTACTGGCAAAAGAAGCTGTTGTGTAGGAAAGAGCTGACAAGAGGCCTGTGCTGTGAAAATCTTTTTCAGCAGCAGAGAAATGAATCAGGGACGAAAGCAGAGCCCACGTCTCTCCTCTTGAACATGGGGAGGAGTGGCAAGTTCCTCACCTGCCCTTTCAGAAGATTTAACAGCCTCAGTGCCTTGGATCGTGTTCCTGGTTTCCAAAATAACTTTATCCATCATTTCTTCACATCATTTACTGTATATCAGGTCATATTCTTTGCTCCCTCCAGCCCAGCCAGCCAAGGATCCTGCCCCAAAGTCTAATAACCTCTTGACCACCCTGGAGACAAGTTAATTGCTCTGTTTTTAATAGTTAGAACCTCACGGGAGGTTTTCATACAGAGGTTGGATGGCCATCTGTCAGGAATTCTTTATCTGTGTTTCCTGCATTGAAGCTTGGGGTTGGACCAGGTGACCCTCGGGGTTCCTTTCAACTCTGCAATTTTATGATTCTGTATCTTGCAAGTCCCTTTTTGTTCTGATGTCTCTCTAGCCATGAGACACAACTCTTAAGGCAGGCTGGAGAATTCACACAGGGCCAGCCCAAGAGATTTTGCCACCTGAGGCAAGGACAAAATGGCACCTTCCTCAATTCCAAGCAGGAAAGCCAACCGCTCAGGCAGTTGACCTTCAATGTTGGCAATAGGACACCAGAGTGCCACGTGGCACACATCCCTGTAGCGTTTGCCACCCAAGGCAGCTGCCTCCCTTTGCCTCATGGTAGGACTGGCCCTGGATAGAGACATTATTGGGAGCAACCCCAGCCTTTGTCAGAGAAGAACTGGGGCCTCCCTGAGGCTTTCCCTCCAGCTCACCCACTTGCTTGAAGGGTGGAGATTGTTAAAGGACAAACCCCCTGGCCTGGAGGTGGGCACTTCTCTGTGGCCTCTCATTAGCCACATTCCCTGCATGACTGAGCAGGCGTGGGAGGGTAGTGTGGGAGGCACCCAATTCCTCAGGCTGAGAGGAAGGCGCCCACAAGGGTTCCGCAGGCTCTTTACTCCTGACAACCAGCCTCCTTGGTCCGAGTATCAGGATGAGGAGCCTGGTCCAGCTCTTTAGATGTTGGCACAGAAAGCCTCAGACTTGGTCCATCCACTCGCCTCTGGCTCCAGACCAGGGCCAGGAACCCACAGGGGTTGTGAAATCAAAAGACTGGCTAGAAAGAAACCTTTGGGGGGGGGAAACAACTGTGATGCGAGAATTCGTATTGTCAGGCTTGTTAGTTGGCTAAAGTGTAATCTGACCCTAGCAGTTGTTTTGGAAGTAGGATGCACCCAGTTATTTCATGACACCTGATTATCTTCCTACAATGGGACAAACTGAGGCTCTTATGCGTTACCTTTTCAAATGCTGAATTTATTTATGAATTAGAGCTAAATTTCTAACACCATTTGCTATCAAGGTGAGGAAGATGGGCCAGACCGTCAAAACATTAGCTTTTTTCTTAGCAAACAGGTGTCTAGAAGTACCTCTTTAAACCAGCAGCTTTTGCAGCTTTTACTGAATTTCACGGCACAAAATCTTCCTATGATCATGGTAGTGGCTGTTTGTCCTATCTCATGCCTATTGCAACACTCTGCAAAGAGATGGTTCCATTAATAATCATTTAATGTACTTCATTTTCTCATCTTTCTAGTGACCTGTGGCCAATACAGAAATGAAAATGAATGGAAAATTTAGATCCCTTGAAGTTGACTCATCTGTCTTTTGCAAGGGAATTCCTTCACGGACACGTAAATAGTGTGTGTGTGTTTTGCGGGGGGGGGGGGGGGATTATGTTAGAATCAGACCAGTGCACAGCTTTCAGCATGCCAAGGAGCAAGTTGGGGGGAGTTGGTGGCAATTCTCTGGGCTTGCTGCATTGGAGCACACAGCCTACCAAGCACAGACCCCTCCTCCAGGGCTGACAAGGGGAGTGTGTATGGGGAGAAACTGGTACAAATTACTGGGGCCCAGCAGTCCAAAAGGGGCCCCAACTATCTTGCATATGTTTTGTGCAATTCTTAACAAAATACATATTTCGTGTTCAATGCATGCACAATTCTAAATAGCGCCTTTGCAAACTTCTGTTGTGACCTGAGCATTTCTGACTCTCTACGAACATTTGCACTTTGACAGTACGACAGCGTAGCCTCATCTTATTAAACACAGTCACATTCGTATGTTTTCATAAGTGCAAATACAAAAAAGTTGTGTGGTGCTCATTGTGTTGTGCTGCATGTACATGTTTAACGTTCAAAGTGTCTGGTTAGCTCAGCAACGATGGTCTGGGTGCTTCTATTATTGATAATAGTCATTAAGATCTTAGTATTTTCAACGGACACGACTATTACCATATTATTACCATAAAAAATGAGACCACACTTTTATTTCACACTCTATGTAAATCTTTTTAGCCTGTCTGCCCTTGCTGGGGGGACCCCACAACCTGCTCTTGGCATCCCTGCCCTCGCCCCCCCCCCCATTGTGGCAGAACCTGTGGCACCCACTTTGCGTTCATCACATCCACCCACCCCCATCTGAATCGCAGCCACCTTCCACAGAGAGGCCTGCCAGGGCCCCCTGGGGATAAATTAGTGCTTTGCCCTGCTCAGCCTAATTAAATGAACTGGTAGTTTCTTCTAAAGATGAAGATCGCTCCCTAGGAGGGCAGCAGTAGGAACAGGAAAGGGAGGCATGACACCGGTTAGGTGAAAGTGAAGAGCCATGCAAATTATGACTGTCTTTGTGCCATTGTTAATATTCTATCCTCAGGCTGATTGCAACTCGTTTTGCTGAATTGTGGAATGCTTGAATTGGGGGATATTGTAACATTAGACTTTATTGCTGGCTGCCCTGAATGCTTGATCGAAGACCAAAAGCAACAACCACCAAGTATAGAAGTTTTACAAAACCATCTCATTGCAAGTCAAAGCTAGAGGGAAAGGGCATCTGCTTTGTATGTGGGACATCCCAGGTCCAGTTCCTGACAGCATCTCCAGATAAGGTGAAAGAGAATGAAAGACCCCTGCCTGAAACCCTGGAGAGCTACTGTCAATCGCTATAGATGGTACTGAGTGGGATGGAGAAAGGGTCTGATTCTACTTAAGGCAGCTTCCTATGGTCTCCAAACTGTCCATGGGCTGGTCTCCATTAGTACTGGGCCTAGAGTACTTCCTTCAAAGGAAGATGGATACAGCCACCAAATTGTAGTTTATTTTACTCTCTGGTTGCATGGCCAACTGGTATGTGTTTGAAGCAGCTACTTCCTCCGTTACTGACCTGCAAGGCCAGTTAACGTCTAGAAAACAGCTCCATGTAGAAGTGACTGAAATCCTACAAGAGATCTCCCTAAGGCACCGCCAAGTGTCAGGGAGGTTGCTGCTTTGTACCTTACACGGATGTGGGTCAACTCCGTACGTCTCCAGGGTCTGAGCTTTCCTTAAAAAGTTTAGCTCTGAAGTAGCTGGTGTCTGACCACTGGAAGAGAGGGGGGGGGGAGAGAGAAATGGGGGCAATCAACTTGAATCAAAACATGCCCTGTTTACATTCATAGGTAAAGAGAAGTAGTATACAAATCGTTGAAATGAAATGAGGAGAAAAGGAAAAGTTCACATCTTAGCCATATGGTGCCTGTTGAATTTCTGCCTGTCACACAGCTGTTAAAGAACAAGGTGCAACCCTTAGGAAGTCCCAGGGTACCCATCTGGGTTGCTGCCTTGGCCTGACCTCTGTCGTCTGCCTGTGGCCTTTCCCTTTTGCCAGTGTGGGGGTCCCATCCACAGTGCATTGGAAGCATCCCAGAATTGTAGAGTTGGAAAGGACCCAAAGGGTCAGCTGAGGAATCCCAGCTAGGAGAGTGAGCCCTGCTAGGCCAACTGCATCTAAGACCCTCTGGGCTGCTGCAAATGCTTATGCAAACTGGCCTAATTTTCTTTTATAAAACTTTACTTAAGTCTTTGTGTTCTAGTTATTAACAGCTGCATTTATTATGTTGGGATTGTTTGATGGCTTTTACTTCATCAACACATGGCAACTAATAAACCTAATATATAAATAAATGAATAATTTCTGACTTGGATGGCTAGCGGAGCAGGGACAGCTCAGAAGGAGCAGCCTAAGTGGATGGGCACTACTCACCCCCCACCCCACCCCGCCTAATGCCCTCACCCCCAGGCATGTCCCATCTCAGGGCAGATTTGTGTCCACATGATTTTCACTGCAGACCTAAGAATGGATTGCGTACCCACCCCCTGCCCCCAAGTAAGGATCTGGACTAAGCACAGAGCTGGAAGGTCACCTGAGCTCAATCTTGTGGATCTCTGCAATCTTCCTTTCCAGCTTTTCTGAATGCTTGGGAAAGAACTGGAACTTTGAGCTGTAGCCCTCAGGGTGCTTTCCAGGGTCATAGTCGCCAATCTCCGCTGAAGGACAGGAGAGAGAGAGAGAGAGAGAGGACTCAGCCACAGGCCCAGGCAAGGGCTGCTCTGTTCCCTTTCAGTATATGGAGCAAGTCAAGTCAGAGAGCACTAAATGCCACAGCCTTCCCCAAGCTGGTGCTCTCAAGAAGAGCCTGGCTGGATCAGGCCATTGACCCATCTAATCCAGCATCCTGTTCTCACAGCGGCCAGCCAGATGCCTGTGGGAAACTCACAAACAGGATTCGACTACAAGAGCACTCTCCCCTCCTGCGGCTTCCAGAAATTGGTATTCAGAAGCATTGCTGCTTCCAGCTGTGGAGGCAGAACATAACATCCATCATGGCTAGTAGCCATCAATATGGGATGTATAGGATTCCATCAATCCCTGCCGTGGATGGCAGAGCAGCCCAGAAGCAGGAGCCCAAGACAGCAGCCATATGGTATTCCTATGCGCGGTGCCCTTGTAGATGAAATTATGCCATCAGTACTTATCATGGAAAGCAAATGTACCTTGCCAAAAGGCATTACCTTGAAGGATGTAGGCAGCTAACAGAGCAGCGTCTGATGTCTTGCACAGGAGGCGGCCGTGATAGAGATCTCTTTTGATCTGCAAGAAGACGAGATACCTGACAAGAGAACCACAGCAAACAGGGAGTCAGTGACGCCTCTCATTAGACCCAACCTAGAGTAGCTTCTGCTACACAGTTCTTACAAGGAGCAGGGCTTCATAGCAAGGCTTCTCCCATTTGTTCCACTTGCAGAGATAAAGAACAGAAGAAAGGTTTTCACAGTGGCCAGCCAGATGCCCCCAAAGGGAAGACTGCAATGAGGACTTGGGTGCAACAGCCCTCTCCCCTCCTGCAGTTTCCAGCAGCTGATAATCAGAAGCATCGCTGTCTCCAACCATGGAGGCAGAGCATAGCTATTGTGGCTTGAAGCCAATGACACCCATATCCCCCTCCATGAATTCATTTGATCTTTTAAAGCCATCCAAGGTTGGTGGCCATGGGAGAAATTTGGGTAGTTAGATCACCTGCCTTTATGCATCTGTACAAAACTCTGTATTGCCCACTGTGCCTCAGCAATTTGCATATAGATTGCACCAATCTAAGCATTAAAGCAGGGCAGTCCAACCTCCCAGACCAAATGGGCTGCAAGAGCGCTTTGACAGAGAACCCAGCAGCCACACACTGAATTAAATTTCCATATCGTAAATTAAAGTGTTTGCAATATAGTTTTTTAAAAAAATATATACATACACAATTAATGTATTTAATTAAACATATATATTTAAATAGAACAATAGATTTAATTAGATACAAAAACTAATAGATTTAAAACCCTTATTTATTAAACAGATTTAATACGCAAACAGATGCATGCATTTTTGTTAACAATGCAGACATCAGTGGGATGCCCGAATTAGAGAATTCTTCACATGTTGATCAATGTCCGCCTTGAGGTTCGTTGTTGACATCCACAGGCAAATCTTGAGTGAATTGTCTTGCTAAGTTGTTTATAGAGTTTTGGACTTTATGAAGTTCATGTTTGAAAATGCTTGTTCACAGACCTACCCCATGTTTCTCGGCACCAAAATTCCTTTCTCTCCCCCACCAATTGGTGCACCCCAAAGCTCAGACCTCTCTGTATTGCAAGAAAGAAAGCGAAGTATTCCATACTGAAACACACACACACACCACGCTTCTTCTCTGTACTGCCCACATCCTGGGAAGCTCCAGTGCTCCAGAACCCTGTCAGTCTGGTGATGCAGCCACACTCTGAGTGGGCTCGAGAGCACAGCCTGGTGGCTTCACAGAGCTCCTGCAACAGCGGAGGAGGAACAGCAGCCGTAGCAGCCTGCCTTCAGCGGCAGCACACACACTCACTGCTGTCTCCCCCAGCCTGGCTGTGTTGCCCTGGATGAGGTAGAGGGTGGGGGGGCTGGAAAGCCACCAAGATTGGCCTCGGGGGCTGCGTGTTGGACCACCCTGCCTTTAGAAAGAATCTTTCTTTGTTCTTGTTCTTCAACAACTGGGAGGCAGGATAGGTCTGTGCACAGTTGGATGCACACTGTTCTATTCCTGCACTTTTGCAATGGAATATTGAGCCACACTAGTCAAGGCAGAAGCAAAGGGGGCCCCCTAGGGTGCTCAAATCCATTTCCCCAAAGAGCCGTTCCTCCTCTGAGCACCTGATTGCTGTCCAACCTTTTCAGAAGCACTGATCACTTTAATTTCATTTGCTTATTAAAATGAGAAGTTTTACTTTGCCCTAGTGAAATCAGTGCTCAGTTGTGCCATTTTCCCTTTTGATTTGAAGCGTTCCAGAAAATAAAGAGTTTGCCTGCATCTTTAGCAAGCAGAAATGATCATCTTTCTTCAATAAACCCGAATTAAGAAACTCTTGGATTTACTTTCACTGGAGATATTAAGAAATGACATATTTTTCAGCTGAAATGAACTGACTCACCAGCGGCCAGGCAGTTAACCATTTTGATTCCTACTTTCTCATTTGTTACATGCTCTGACTTTCCAACCCAGAAGATTTGAGAGACGACATGAATTAGCTTACAGACATGCCAGCTAAAATTAGGTTTGCCCCCATTTAAAATCTCCTGGCTATGAAAAGCAGAAATTGCTGGGTTGCAGGGACAGAGAAAGTAATCTAATTCTTCACCTGCACGAGGGAGATATGCCAAGAGAGGGGGCCAGGCAGCCAGAAAATATGTAAAGCCAGATTATCCGGGAGCCAGGGCAGCAACTGGCTCCAGCCCCCACCTGCAGCAACTCAGCCTCTTCCTCTGCAAATTCTGGGATTGCAAGGATTTGTTTTGATGACCTGAAGTGGTTGGGTTTCCATTGCCTCCCCAAATATATTTCTGGATGGGATTTCAATTTGCCTTATTATCTCTGATGACTGTCAAGGCACTGACCTCTCAGCAGTCCTGATTACCGTATCAACCATGGACATAATGCCAGCCATACATCCTACTGGCCATTCCACATTCAAATTCAGGCCTAATGGATGCACAATGCAGCTGTTGCTGAAAGAAGCATTTACCATAAAATCTGCAAATCAAACAGGGCAGCTGTGAGGGTGACTTGGAAGCCTGGGATGCATCCTGGCAGATTCCAAGGAGAAGGGCGTTGTGCACTTTTTCCAAATAAGCACCCAAACTGAGCTGCCACCACCCAGATTGTACCCTGTTATTCTGCACTCGGTTAGGCTTGCAGAACCATCAGTTGCAATAGATGAGCAGCCATGGTGGACTAAAATTGATGAGAAGAATGAAAAAACAAAACTCTGCACTACTTTGTACAGGTTGCTTGCCTTTTTTTTTTTTGCTGACTCTAGGTAACAGTTGTGTGGCATCTTGGATGATGCTACTATTGAAGGGAACACCATAGCACCAGTAAAATACTGACAGCCAGAGTGGTGCAGTAGTTAGAATGTCAGACTAGAATTTGAGAGTAAAGGTAAAGGTAAAAGGACCCCGGACCATTAGGTCCAGTCGTGACTGACTCTGGGGTTGTGGTGATCATCTTGCTTTATTTGCCGAGGGAGCCAGTGTACAGCTTCCGGGTCATGTGGCCAGCATGACTAAGCCACTTCTGGCAAACCAGAGCAGCGCACGGAAATGCCGTTTACCTTCCCGCTGGAGTGGTATCTATTTATCTACTTGCACTTTGACGTGCTTTCGAACTGCTAGGTTGGCAGGAGCTGGGACTGAGCAACGGGAGCTCACCCCGTCGTGGGGATTCGAACCGCTGACCTTCTGATCGGCAAGTCCTAGGCTCTGTGGTTTAACCCACAGCGCCACCCGAGAGACCAGGGTTCAAATCCCCACTTGGTCATGAAGCTCACTGGGTGGCCTTGGGCCAGTCACTCCCTCTCAGCCTAACCTACTTCACAGGCCTGTTGTGAAGATTAAATGGGGAAGAAAAGAACCATGTGTACCACACTGAGCTCCCCCAGATACGTTTTGGTAATCCACAGCCTGCATCCCACTTGGGCTCACCTAGGTAACTAATCTTCTCCTGGTCCAGTTCCTGATCATGATGAAAGATAGAGCATCATTTTCTTTCTTTCCTTCCTTCCTCCTTCCCTTGCTCCTGCCTCATCTTTTATTTACCTGCTCCATCCCAGCTGTTTGGGTAAAGCAGGACATTATCTCAAAGTGCCCAGTAAACTACAAAATAACATAGATTAGAAATGAACTATGGAATTTAGAAATTATGTTTCACCAGCAGATGGGCTGTGGAGGCTAGGAAACCAAATCTTCAGTTGGGAAAGGAAATAAACTTTTTTAATTGGAGCATTGTACAACAATAAACACATTGATTAATTGGAGCATTGTACAACAATAAACACATTGATTTGTTATAACCTTGAGTGTGGAGCTAACTCGTTATGCTTTACTCCCTGTGCCCCTGTGTCACTAGTAGTGAGCAAATTTCAACCCCGATTAGATCCCCAAATTAACCGACCCAAGCCAGAGGTGGACACCGACATACTGTCAATAGCTCAGATCTTCCTGGCAGCTGTTTTGGGGAGGAAAAAGCTAAGCTCATTGTCAGGGAACTGCCATCAGTGCCGGAGGGAGAGAGAGAGCTCCAGAGGGATCCCAGAGAGCGTCACGGGATTGGGAGAGGCAGCCCATCTTCTGGGGAAGGGAATCAGCTCAGCTCCAGTGGAGAAGGGGGGCAGATGTGGAATCTGAGAGGGAGTCACATGACTCCTTGCCTGGGACCAGCAGGGGGAGGAAGGGTCCTCCGCTGCCTACGCCTTCCTTGCGCAGAAGGCTTCCGCGCAGGGAAAGTAGGAGGAGACTGGGCGTAAAAGAACTTCTTTGCTGGAAGAAGTTTAAGAAACGCCCACTGACCGATTCTGCCAGCGATTGAGACAGCCACGGGTGAGTGGCTGTCCAGACAGAAAAGGTTCACTTAGGCAACCCAGCCAGGTGTGGGCACTGGCTTACGCACGAGCAACCCCTTGAACCACTACACTCATCAACTTCACTGTTCACCAGGCCGCCTCATCCTTCCATCTGATAATGCGTTTACAGACCACCTGAAATGGCCAAAATCCATGTTTTCTACACTTGCACTGGCTGCAAGCTGCCCCAACCAAGCCTCACCAGAACAAAATAGGCTTTTGCCTGCAGCTCTGATTCTTGGCAAGGGGGAAAGGGAAGCAAAGCCAAGGCTCCAACTCTGATCATGATGGTGAGCATCTGCAAAAAGCCACCTTCTCAATGCACCCAGGTAAAAGACCTTTCCAGAAACTTCCACAAATTTTCCATGTATATGACTTACAGAACCTTGCACTTGCTCAGTGAGCATTATGTGCAGTCATTGAAAACAAAGGAGTAGCAATTCAATAGCAGTTCTCTGGTGAGACTCCAAGCACCCCCTCCACACCCTTTTTGGCTACAGCCCTACAGAAAGGCTGATTAAAATGAGGATTGAGCGTGCCCATATCCCACCAGACAGCCTCAGGGGACTCTCAGGGAGCTTCCAGGCAGATGTTTACTGAGAAATGGGGGCTCCTCATTCATGTAAGGTCTGTTGTTGTTTTTTGCAGTATCTACATGCATAAAAACGCATGCCCATAATTCCCTCTGCCACCGCTTTAATCCGGATTTACCCTTTAAAAATATATATATCAAAAACTGATGCGGCAATACTAGAAAAAATGAGAAACTGAGAAAAACTGGAAAGGACAGAATCCACCCATCCCTGTTGGAGGACCACGAATTTGGGAGCCAGGGCAGCTGGCCAAAGCCTCACCCTGAGGCATTCAGTACTGGACATTTTGCACTGCCAAAATAAATCACTCCCTGTTCCAAAGTATGGCATTCTAATTCTGGACTAAGACCTTAGAGAGTTTAAATCTTGCAAGAGGCTTTTTTTGGAGGAAGAGTCAGGGGAGGCCAGGTGAAGCAGCCCCAGCCCAGTAGAACACTGTGAAATCGTGGAGGGGAGAGTGAGACAGGTGGCCATTACTGATTCATGAGCATTCTGCTTCCCTCCTTCAAGCAAAACCATGACTATTCTTAACATTCTTCTGTCATCTTTTAAGAAGGACATCTGGGCCCCCAGAAACAGTTACAGAACATCACATCTTGCAAATTAATATTAAGTGGCATTCAGTTGTTGTTGTTTTTTAAAAAAATGAGAGCAAGTGTTGGTGAAGATTGATCAAAAACAACATTATGCTCTACATTTTTTTGGAAAATTCAGAATAGTTTTCTAGATTTTAAAAATACTGAGATATAAGAGGAGCAGAGAAGAAAACCTGGCTTCCAATTTATAAAACAGAGTGCAGCTTTACAACCCCAGACATGACTTTGTTTCCTGCTATACAAATGAGCAAGAGCTCATCGCCACACACAATTTCTCAGTTTGAGAAGAAGCTAAATAGCTCTTCTCTTACAATCAGAGAAGCTGACTTGGCACAATGGGAGTCTGCAAAGAAATCACAGTGTCCTGACTGTCAAATAACATTTTTTTTGCGTTCAGGAAAACGGTTAAGTGGATCATCTGCTTCCAAGGCTCCACAAAGCTCTTTTTCTACAAAATGGCAACATCAGGAAAACCTGGGACTCTGCTTTTGGTGAACCAAACAGCAGTAAATAAAGGGGTCTTGGATGGGAGAGTTGGTTGTTCAGCAGCACAGCACCTGCTTTGTATGCAGAAGGAGCCCCTTTAGGCAGGGCTGGGAAGGTCCCCTGCCTAAAACCCTAGAGGCTTCTAGGGTCGACAGTACTAAGTTAGATGGACCCAAGTTCTGACTGGGTATAGGGCAGATTCTAATGTCTCCACAATGTCTCAATATGCATACACTTTCTATGTCTTTTAAGTGGGGAGGCAAAGCTACCCCTTTGCAAAATGCCCAAGGATCCTCCACAGCCCCACATCACAATCAGCTCCTTTTGTAGCCAGACCTAATGATGTAGGAGGTGTTGGATTTCTGTTTTGTGCCTCTGTGCAGTGCTTGGAGTCACAAGACTTGTGTTTACATTCCAGAGATTCCAGACTGTTGGAAGTCTCACGGGAGACGGATGTTGATATTACTGGTTTCCTGTTTCTTTGTCCCAGTTGCCTCTCTGCTTTCACAGAGAGAGGATGTATATTTCTTTTCTGTCTGCGTAGTTAGAAATAAAACTCTTAGCAATGTAGCTCATATTTCTTATCCTTCGCTGATGCTTGAATACTCTGCGTAATGAGGGAATGTGCCTGGAGCGTCATCAAAGGCTCGGGTCGTTAATCACCGTCAGAGGGCTCGACCGGAGGAGTAGCTCGGCCGAAGGCAAATTCCGAAAGGAGGCACCCCCCCTCGCCTTACCTGGTGATTTCCTCTTTCAGGGCCGCAGGGTCGGTAGGGTAGAACTTCACCCGGAAGCACATGGTGAACGGAGGCTGTGCTGCAGGAGAGAACAGCATCATGATTAGCATATCAGCTGGAGAATCAACAACAGCCTCCCCCACCACCACCCATGGCCTGTTAGAAGCCTATCTCTCCAGGCAAGATCCAGGCACAAGGCACAGCTTGGCAGTCCCCCTAACTCCGTCACCCCAAACGCTACACTCAAATTCCAGTGAGCAAATACACTCTTCTTCCTGGTGCAAGCTCATCTTTGTAATGACCACTCCAGCAAGTCATTGCAACAACTCTGTACTAAGAAAGAGCACTTATTTCCTCCTCCCCATCAATCCGCTTTCCTTTTGTGCCATAACTTTTCAACTGTAAGCCAGAGGGCTTAGGGTTTCTTTTCACTGATATTTGCAAGCCACTCTGGGAGCTGAAGAGCAGAAAGGAAAAACCTAGGCTGGGAACTGGACACCCAAAAAGATGTCTAATGAGGAAACTGAATGGCTGAAACTAGAGGTGAAGCTTATGATGAGGAACTTGCCCTTGGACACAGACACAAATGCACATACAACTCATGGCCGCATGTGCAGAAGAAAGAACGAGCCTTCTGTGCAGCAAAGTGATGTTATTAGGAAGAGACAGATTTGTTTAGAGTTTGTGGGTTTAAAAAAACACCAATACAGGAAAAAGTCAAGTCGAATAATGCATGGTGTGGGAAGTGGGATCAACTAGTTCCTTAGAAGCAAGTGTGGTAGCTCCTAAAGTCCAAAGGTGCTCAGAAAATACCAGGAAAGTTTGTCCCATGAGGACATTCATGCACAAGTAGAGTCCCAAAGGTGGATCTAGGCCAATGGCCCATCTAGTCCAGCATCCTGTTCTCACAGTGGCCAAACAGATGCCCATCTTGGGAAATCTGCAAGCAGGATCCGAGCACAAGAGCCCTCTCCCCTCCTGTGGTTTTCAGCAACTGGTATTCAGAAGCATTACTGCCTCCAACTCTGGAGACACAGCATAGGCATTGTGGCTAGTTGCCCTCTCCTCCAGAAATTGGTCTAATCCTCTTTTAGAGCCATCCAACTTGGTGGTCATCACTGCCTCCTGAGTTGCATACATTAACTGTGTGCTGCATAAAGACATACTTCCTTTTATGTGCTTCATGAAGAAGTTATTTTTTTTATCCGCTCTGAATCTTCCTACATTCAGCTTCATTGGATGTCCACGAGTTCTAATCTTATGACATCTTTCTCTATCCTTTTTCTCCATACCATGCCTAACTATAAACTTCTACCATGTTACCTATCACTTGCCTTTTCTCTGAACTAAAAAGTTCCAAATGCTGCAATCTTTCTTCGTAGGGGAGTCACTCCATAAAGCACTATCCAGACCAGTGCAGAAGCCTTTTGCTCCTATTTTATTTTAGTAATTCAACAAAATGTAAATACAACTTGATTGTAATAAAACCTCAAAAACACTTTGCGACAAAAAGACATGCCACCCCAACCCCCTTGGTAGAATCGAAAGCTGCTCCCTCCATCACATCAGGGGCTGTTTCATTGTCTCGGCTCTCTTAACAAGGCAATACTTACATCGCATTTGCTTCACAACAGACTTTGTGAATTCCAACCAGTGCTGAAACGAAGAAGAAATCAGTTTTCAAAATGGGGGGAAGCAAAGCACTAGCTACAAAACCTGTGGGGAGGGCCTCATGCAGACAACCAAACTGGATTACAAAGGGTCCTGACCTAGATGGACCAGGGTGAGTTTCAGGGGCAGTCTTACAGGGATGTTTTGGTTGGTCGTTGTGTTGTTTTAAGGAGGCAGCCTGCAACTTGGATTGGAGGAATGGCCAAGAGGAAAAGATGCACAGCTTTGCATGGCCACCTCACTGGATCTCTTGGAAGATCAGCAGCCTTTGGCTCCCCAGCTACCACCTACAGTAGCAGCAACCATTCCATCAGGCTGCAACCGAAGGAAGGAAACAGGACCACTCCACTGGCTTTGCTGAGAGACCAGCTGTGTCCGGCTCTTCCTCTCCCTCAGCTGTCACTATCAGCAGTTCTTTCATCAGGCTGCCATAGAGAGAGAGAAGGGAAACAGGGCCACTGTATCAGTTCTGCTTAGAGACCAGCTCCCTTTGGCTCCTTCCCTCTGTCCCTGAACTGTGTCCATCCCAGCTGGAACCACTATGAGACTTTTAAAAATCAGTGATTAAGTTTATTGGTTTTTCCTCTTCCCTCCTCATCCCATTTCCCTTTCATATCACATCTTTTAGATTGAAAGCCTGAAGGCAGGGTCTGTCTCATTTCTTACTGATTTGCTATTGGGGGCCTTTTTGAATGCAGAGCTAAGTAAAACGCTTTAAATAAATAAGCACACAAACCTTTTCCGCATGGGCCATTTTTTTCCTGTTCAAAATGAGATCCCTTCAACTGTTTTTCCACCCATGAAAGCAAAGATGCAATTATCTTTTTCCCCACTGCTGCGAAAGCAGCTTAGGGGATTTTAAGTAAGAAAATGTCCAGTGGGGAGGGGGGTACAGTACGCATCCTCTCTGCTCAAATGTGCAGCAACCCCAGGGCTGCTTTTCATTTAAAAATAACAAGTTGGGTGACTTGGAAGAAAGGTGAGATATAAATGTAATTAATAATATAAACCCTGACAACTAAGACAAGCAATGGGAAGGGTTCCCTGCAGAGGGGAAAGCAGAGCACCAAACTGGAAAAACCAAAGCCAGCCTCAACCCCACCCCACCCCCACGGTCAGGAAGCAGGAGTTGGGGCTGTATCCACATTTTGCATTCTCTCTCTGGAGTGAAGGGCTGGCTCACAGTTGAATGGCAGGCAACCAAGAAGCCCCATGCTGCAGAGCAAGGAGGTCAGATTTTGCACCCTGAATAAATTTTGCAAAGCCAGCCAATTTGCATAGAGTGCTTTTGCTTCTGCATAATTTATTTGTTCTGCTTTCACTGCAGCACCAGGCCTTGCTAACTCCCACTCCAAGCTTTGAAGCCTGACCAAGCTGGGCCTTTTCCGCAGGACTCACCCGTTGCTTGTCGGGGTCCACGTAGCGGATCCCAAAGTAGTCCTTCTCCAGCAGGTTCAGGTGATGGCAAAGGAGGTCGAAGAGGTACTGCCCTTTTGCATCTCTCTGCAAAACAAAGGAAGGACCCTGATCAGAGCGGGAACAATAGCCACCACCGTGGCTGTTACCAAATGGCCTGAACACATACTCCTCATGAACCAGGAAGGGCTCAGTGACAGAGCATCTGCCTTGCATACAGATGGTCCCAGGTTTAATCCTCAGCATCTCCAGGTAGGACAGGGAAAGAATCCTGCCTGAAACCCTGGAGAGCCACTGCCAGTCAGTGTAGATGATGCAGAGCTAGGTGGACCAAAGGTCTGACTTAGCATAAGGCAGCTTCCTATGACATGTGGAATAGCCGAGATATGTGGACAAGGGGACACGATAGCATGAGTCCCACCCCAAGGAATCTGGGCTTATGAAAGGGACCCTGGACCTCCAACAGGTTTTGCTAAAGCCAAGTTGGAACCCTCTGAGGCACCTTCACTGCTTCCCTGGGCTAAACCAGCCATATCAGCCATTTCAGACCATTGTTTGGCCAGGGACACCTCTCCTGGTAAATCCCACCTTGTGCACATAGGCAGAATAATGTTCTGAACAGATCTGGAATTGGCAACAGACAACTAATTACACAAATCTATAGAATCAAGGGAGATCAGTGCTTAAACTACAAATGTCAGGTTTACCGTTTGCCAGCAGGCAAAGAAAGGGATAAATGCACTGCTGATGGTGGAGCATTTGACAGCAATGCCAATATATCCAACCTCCAGGCTCTGCAGAATCCCCATCCTTCCCAGAAGACCCACTGGGTGGATAAATAACCTCCTCCATCTCCTTAATTCTACAATACCCACTTTCTGCTTTCCCCTCTATTGTCCGCTGCCATGTTTGGTATCTCTCCTCCACCCGCCTCTTGCCCACCAGAGGCAGAGCTCTCCTTCCAGCAGAGACCACATCACTCCTCGTCTTCTCTGCAATGCCAAGCACCCAACTAGCACTCAATCCTTGTTAAGCAGGCCAGCCATTGAACAGATTTAGTTGGCACTGTCTATACTTTTCAGACAACAGGGAGCTATTGTGGTGCTCTCCAGACATTGTTGGACTACAGCCCCCATAATTTCTGACCAATGACCCATCTAGTCCAGCATCCTGTTCTCACCGTGGCCAAACAGAGAGCCCTGCGGGAAACCCACAAGCGGGATTTGAGCACAAGAGAGTCTTCCTTCCTGCAGTTTCCACCAACTAGTATTCAGAGGCAGTTCTGCCTCCAACTGTTGGAGTAGAACATAACTATCATGGCTCGAAGCTATCAATAGCCCTCTCCTCCTCCATGAATTTGTGTAATCCTCTTTTAAAGCCATCCTAGTTGGTGGCCATCGCTGCCTCCTGTGGGAGGGAGTTCCATAGTTTTAACTATGAGCAACATGAAGGAGGACTTTCTTTTATCTATCCTGAATCTTCCAGCATTCAGCTTCACTGAATGTCCATAGGTTCGTGTTGGGAGAGAGCGACAAACATGTTTCTCAACCCACTCCCTCCATGCCATGCACCGTTTTATAAACTTCTATCATGTTGACTCTTGCGTGTCTTTTAGCTAAACTATAATGTCCCAAAGGCTGCAACCTTTCTTCATAGGGGATTTGCTCCACCCCTTAATCATTTTGGTTGCCCTTATCTGATCCTTTCCCAACTCTACAATATCATTAACCTCCCACCAACTCTGTCTAGATGAGAGACATCCCAATTTTATGAGCAACCACGGAAGGTAGGAGGGCAACCCATTGCTAACCAGTGTGGGCGCCTCTCCCTGCTGCTGTTGGGGAATCTGGTAGCAGCTCCTTCCTGTTCCTCCCGGCTCCCTTCAGGGCACCCTCGACAACGTCCCTGCAAGGCGGAGAGTGCAGCAGACCGAGATAAAGATTGAGTTTAATTTCAAGCTCTGTTAGGAATATTCACTGTTGCCAGAAGGAAGAAAGGAGAAATGAAAGGAGGAAGATCAGCTGGGGAAGAGGCAGCCTTGTCAAGAGGCCACCAGTACTAAGTGTGGCACTTCACAGTTCACACACATTCAGAGCTGCCTGTTTAGCTGTGTGTGTGTGTGTGTGTGTGTGTGTGTGTGTGTGTGTAGACAGCAGCACCCCCCTCCCTTTTGAACTCATGACCTCAGGTCCCTGGTAAAAGAAGCCCAAATCTACAACCAACCATTTAGCACAGGGGAAAGAAGAGAAACCTTTTTCAACTTGAGGGCCACATTCCCTTCCAGGCAGTCTTCTGGGAGCCACATACCAGAGGCAAAAACAGGCAGAGAAATGCTGCCTTTGGCCCATCATAAAAACATAAGAAGAGCTCTGATGGATCAGGCCAATGGCCTTTCTAGTCCGCTTCAGTTTCTAACTTGGACCAGTTCTTACAGAGAATTGCAGCCCTGAGCCCAGCTTGTTGGCTCCCTCCATCCTGTGCCCGCCTGCCATCCAGGAAATCCTGTATTTTCCAAGCAATTTATGGTGTTCTATTAAATCAGTCCAGTGATTCACAGCCAAGTTAAAATGCCATCCTATGCACATCCAGGGGAGTTAGGTGCATTCGACAACCACGGTTTCTCTGCAGCAGCGAACTCCAAACAAAATCCTCTTTGGAAACTGTTTGGGATACTTTTGAGTGCTTTGTGTCGCAAAAGCGCCAAATGCCCTTTCGAAGAGGCCAGGGGAAGACAGAAAATACAGCTTGCGTCTGCAGCCAGTGGACTGATTAATTGTGCTAATTGATTGATTAATGCACTTGGCCCGGCTTCCTTTGGGTTCAGCATCTAGCAAGATCCTCAGGCCAGAATCCTCCCCATGATTCCTCTACGCACATGCAGGAATGTGCTGTCTTCATGAAGTCCAGGATCTCCAAAGATCATGCCCCCCCCCCCCCCGCGCCTTCTCTTAGTGCTTATAAAAGCAGAAGGGCACTGGTTGGCTGCTGTGACAGAATGTGCCAAGACAGAATGTGGGGCTGCTGACCTGATAGAGATCTAATCCTCCTCCTTTCACACAGCACATGCTGGGATGGGGAGGTGTTGGCTGGCTGGCTGGCTTGGTGGCATCCTTGCCTCCCCTCCTTCTTGCACATGGACTGAGCAACTGGGCTGTAAGTGATCAAACAGCCTCCAGCCATGGCGAGTTGTGCCATGTGACTTTGGAGCCCCCCCCCCCTCCGTGGCTTGGGCCACTGCTGCTTTTCCGGGGTCTCTGCCGCTAAATGTCACTGCATCTGGAATCATCAACAAGCCCTGCCTGGATTCTGGCTGCCGCTGCAATGACAAGCTTGATTCCGCTATGTTCCCATTTTGCTCGCTGAGAGAGGTGACCTTTTGCAAAGAACTCTCCAAGCTTCGCAAAGGCCACCACGACTGCAAGGAGAAGCAGGAGGGTGCATGGAGGGTGGTATGGAGCCCGGCTGAGGGCTAAGCTAGACCTCTGGGCCAGGCTAGCTTCCTCTAGCCGATGCTCAGGGCCAAAATGTGCTCAACAAAACACAGACATGCACACAGCTCCTGCACTCTTGGAGCTGTGAAAGGGCCAAAATGTAGCCCCCTAAAAACCAGCAAAATATGTCCTTAGCAAAATCAAAGGGAAGCTGCAGCTGCCTCAGGAGGACAGGAGAGGAGGCTGCTCCTTGGCTGCAAGAATTTGATCATCAGGGACTTGGCTTCTGCCCTGCTTCCCACCCGCAGGCATCACACAGCCCCAGGCAAATGCTCTCCTTCACTGCTCCAGTCTTTGCCTTCAAAGACAAGATTGTTATCCAGCACTCAACAGCACTGACAGGAGTCAAACACAGCAAAGCTGGGGGGGGGATATCAATAGCCCTCTAGATAGCCTCAACACCCCCCAGGCCTCAGCCAGCAGGGCCACACCAGAAGGTGCCAAGTTCCCTGCCCCTTGATGCATGGACCTGCCTCTCCACTGTTGCTCTGATCATTTGCTGCAGAGAAAGAGATCTTGCCCGAGACTTTTCGCTCTTTAAAAGCAACTATGAGAAAGAAAAGGAGACATTTTAAAGTTCATACATCTCGTTCCTTTGAACCACTAATAATATCCAGCTGAACCAATATCCTAGAATCAAAGGGCTAGCCTTGCCTTTGAAAACCCATCAAGACTTGGAACAAGGGTACCTAAAAAATGGCTGGTTCCCCAATCAGCTCAGGTGGCTGCAGGGTTTTCAAAGGGGGCTTATCTGCGGTGGCCTCAGTTGTGGGACCCTTTCCCCAAGGAAGCTCACCTGGGCCCAAGGGTCCCTTCCAACTCAACTGTTCTACGATTCTTTGCAAGCTGACCTGGAAGCGTCTCTGAAGAGGAAGGCAGAGTTCTGCAGGAAAAAGGAGCCGCAAGGGCTCGCCTCTTTCAACAGAACCACATTTCTGAGGTTTCTATATGTAGGGGAAGGAAACGTCTGTGCTCTGTCTCACTCCTTGCAGCATTGCTGGAACCAGAGGACTGTGTGCTGTTGTCAAAGCAGCCTCTCCCCCCCTCCCCTCACACACACGGACATCTCTGTTTATGTACATCAATCCCTTCATTGAAAACCATCTGATGGTTTGGTTCAAGAGGCTTTGTTAGAACAAGACACCCATTTTCTTTTTTGACACATGATGTGGAACCTTGGGGTTGTTGGATCAATCAAAGATTAAGCCGTGAATCACCACCTTGCCTCCACTTACTCCCCTTCACGGATGAGCAGCCCCTAATGGGCACCACACTCTTTTACAATGGCACCTTACACCACGTGCGATGTGGCTGTGCGTTATCACGGAGGCAATGAAGCAGGCATCCCGCTGGAGATCACAAAGACAGCCTTCCGAATAAAATGCTGAAACTTAGCAAGGGCTGCTTAATGCTGCTACACAAATGTATGGTGCGGCTGCATTTGGAATACGGTACACAGTTCTGGTCGCCCCAGGATATTGTAGAGATGGGAAAGGCTTTAAGAGTAATTTAAAAGATCAAGGGGATGGAATGACTCCCCTATGAAGAAAAGTTGCAGCTTTTAGGATTTTTTTTTAAGTTTAGAGAAAAGGCATGTAAGAGGTGACATTATAGAAGTTTAATAATGATGGTGGTGGTGGTGATGATGATAATAATCAGTGCCTCCCCCCCCCCGGCGGTACTGAAGGGTACACAGTACTGGCACCTTTTTTTCCTAGAAGAAAAGCACTGATAATGTTATTTGTACCCCACTCAACCTAGACGGCTTTAAAAGAGAATTGAACAAATACATGGAGGAGAGGGCAATCAATGCCTTTATTTATTTATTTATTTATTTAATGAAATGGCATCACCGCCCGATTCTGAACTCAAACAAACCTCACAATAGTATACAAAAATAAAAAAATTAAACAACTATTTAAAGCATTCAAAAAGAATTAAAAATCAGTGATAAACTAAAAACAGATTAAAACACACATCCACATTCTGCGTATCTGGGTAGTCATGTCTATAAAGAAATATGTTTTTAGCAGGTGGCAACAAGAGTCCAGCAGAAGCACTTGCCTGGTGTCAATAGGCAGGGAGTTCCGAAGTGTTAAGTACTTCCCTATGAAAATATTGATTTATTACAAATGCAGAACGGGTATCACGTGGCACCTGTAACAGAGCCGGATCCACATGAATGGCAGAGATGTACAAGATCAAGAACAGTGTGGAGGAAATAGATCGTATTATGAGACAGCGAGAAACAGTCTCAGAGGCCAGAGGGGTCATCTAGCAATGGAGCAGACATGCTCAGGAGGTGATGGTGTTTCCTCCACTGGGGATATTTAAGCAGAGATTTGACAGCATCTGTCAAGGATGCTGTAGTTCCATCCTGAGCAAGGAGGGTAGACAGGATCCTCCAAGATCCCTTGGGACATTGTTTTTTATCTTGCCATGACAAATGGTAACGTTTCTCATTATTTCCGCATGCAGACAGCAAGATCCCAGGAAGCGGAGGAAAAGCAAACGTTTGCACCTTCTTGAAAATTTGATCTAAAGTTATAATGCAGAACTTTATGCTTCATTCAATAGAGAACTCTCTCTCTCTCTCTCTCTCTCTGCTTGGGCAGCCATGCAAAGCCTGAAAGCTGGATTCTTCTGATATTGTTGCAGCAACTTTAAATAGTATTTTACTGTAGTGACAGCAAATGCTGCCAATAATCCTGGAAGGCACCAGAGGCTGCAGGATTTCCACTTGAAACAGACACTAGCAGGCAGCAGCCCATACTCTCTTCTCCAACCTGCTTCAATGTTTCTTAAAAGGATTTGCAGGGGGAAGATGCTCGGAGTTCATCCTGATGCCTGCAAGATGTTTTCCATTTCAATTTCAACAGAGAAAACATCACAGAGAACAAGTCAAACCGCATCCTGCCGAATTGCAGAGAAATGAGGTTCCAGTGTCAAAAAGCAAACACTGATATGCATAAAATTGTTTCCTCTTTGATCTCCCTAACTTGAATTAAACAGGTTTTAAATTAATCATTAAGAATGTGTCCTCCAAGGAATTCTCTGCATTCTTATGAAAGTAACAACTTGAAAAGGGAGGCAAGTCCCTTCCAGAGATCCAGATTAGGAGGTTTTTGGGATCGCTGTTTTTCATCTTACCGAAATGAGATTTCCATCTGTCTTAGTTGTTTGGTTGCTCTCTTGAGTGTTAAGTCCTTTGCAATTTGGAAACTGGGGTTGGAAAAAAGGAAGGCGTTTGCTTTCCCATTGCTATGTCAGTTCAAAAGCGGCTCAGTAAGCACCACCAGTCTTTCAGAAATCCCTGACACAACGTTTCCACATAAATTGTCAGCAGGGACCTAGCAGGCAAACTCATTCCAGAGCACTGATGCTGCCTCTGGAAACCAACTGGGGGTAAGAGGTGGTCTCCATCCATTTGCACCCTTTTCTGTTGCACCTGAGCACCAGGAGCTGGCTCAGCAGCAGAGCAAACCAAGAGGGTTATTGAAATTGGGTATTTCTCAGCATTGCAACCATTTCCAAAACCCTTCATTTGCAAATGCTCCACGGCAGTGCAAAATGCAGGTGTTTTCAATCATTTGCAACTTCCCCTTTGCAAACAGATTGTCACTATTTGTGTTTCAAATCAGCTTCCTTTACGTATTCCTGAGATTATTATTTTTTATCATTTTGCGTTGGCATAATAAAAGCAAACCACTCTGCCTGCTTCTGATCTCCCATCCTTGGGGAATAATGCAGGAGCCACTCTTGACTGAACACTGGATAATAGACACGTCTCCACTAGGAACACCAGCCTGTGTGTGCAAATGCGCACAGATTGCCTGCATGGATCAGAGAGGAGCTTGACCCTGTGGGTTTCATTTTATTGACAACCAGCTCCAAGGAAGCAGCTGCTCTAAGATAATCATCTGGAAAGAGCAGCTCACTTCAGACACTGCTTTCTTTCCAAAAAGCCCATCCTTGCGACAGTGGGGATATTTCTTGCGACTGGGAGGCTGGCAAGGCCTCGGGCAGGAATGGGGAACCTGGTTCAACTCCAAAGCCACATTCCCTCTGGCGGTGTGGGAGTGTGGCGCATGGGCAGGTAGAGCAATGAATGATGTGACAGTTCCCTTTGTACAATTGGCTTTGCAAAGCTCACAGGTACCTACATGAACTCAGACAACCCTTTCTTTGTCTACCCAGGCAAACACAACAACAACAACATTTATACCCTGCCCATCTGCCTGGGTTTTCCCAGTCACTCTGGGTGGCTTACAATACAGATAAAAACATAATAAAATGTCAAACATTAAAAACTTCCTGATATAAGGTGGCCCTCTAAAAGTTCCGTAGTTCTTTATCTCCTTGACATCTGATGGGAGGCTGTTCCACTCTGAGGGCAGTACTGCCAAGAAGGCACTCTGCCTGGTTCCCTGTAACTTCACTTATCGCAGTGAGGGAACCACCGGAAGACCCTTGGAGGTGGACCTCAATGCTTTTCAGCATCTTATTTCTTGTCATTTGAATCCCTTGGTCCGGATCCTGCCCTCTGGAGCAGCAGAAAACATGCTTTCATGGAGGGGGCAGGGAGTTTTCTTTTGCTTCCCTTTTTAGGATATGTTGGGTACAATCTTCACTGCACAGGTTTTCAGGCAAGGAGGATGGCATTAATATTCCTAACTGCAACTCAATTGTTCTTTAGATATAAAAGAGAAATTAATGAGATTCTGGCTGGTGTCACAGTGGTATTTATGTAATTACTTTTGATAATGCCGCCAGCTTCAGGCAGTTGGGGATGAGATCTCCTAATCAGCCCTCTGCAAGCAAATGACACCATCCAGCCCAGGCAATTGGGAGGCTCTGTTAGTCACCAAGCCATTCTGCAAAGGTGATGGTTGGTTAAACCACTGGCAAGATCCCCGCCCATGCAAATACCATTCTTTCCCCCCTCAATTTTGCCAAATTGGTTTGTTCCATCACAGCAGCAGCAGCAGCCTGGCTCATTCCTTGCCTTGCACTTCCGCTGTATGTTAAATGACTGAAGAGGACATGACTAGGCGCAGGTGAGGACAAAGCGAGCCCAGCTGACGGCACCACCTCCAAGGCTGAAAGAATCAGCCTTGCCAGTCCTCAGAGCAACAAGCAATGTGATTGGGATTGGGCAGACAGTTCAGTTATTAGAGCACGAGACTCTTAATCTCAGGGTTGTGGGTTTGAGCCCCACGTTGGGCAAAAGTTTCCTGCATTGCAGGAGGATGGACTCGATGACCCACGTGGTCCCCTTTCAACTCTACAATTCTATGATACCAAATCTGTTTTTTGGAGGCAGCAATGCTGGATACCAGTTGCTGGAAACCACAGGAAAGGAGAGGGTTCTTGTACTTGAAACCTTGCTTGTGGAATTCCCACAGGCATTTGGTTGACCACTTTGAGAGCAGGATGCTGGACAAGATGGGCCATTGGCCTGATCCAGCAGCTGCTGCTTATGTTGATGCTGTTTTTGAGGGTTACAGAGCAAAGGCTGTGGAGTTATTCATATATGATATACGATATACGATATCTTTATTGTCATTGTCCCATACAGAACAATGAAATTGAAAATCTACATAAAACATTCAAAAACCCCTAAAAACTCTGAAACCCCATTTTAAAATACAATATACTATAGAGACTCCTTATGCTGTGTTTAGAACCAGAATTGCATTTGCGTAGAAACTGTTTCTCAGGCGGCTAGTCCTGGTCTTTATAACCCTATACCTTCTTCCAGAAGGCAGAAGCTGAAAGAGATCATTTCCAGGGTGTGTACTATCCTGCACTATCTCTGCAGCTTTCTTATGGCACCTGTCAGCATAGATTTGATCTAAGGGTGGTTTGCAGGAGCCTCTCCCATTCTGGTACCCTCCAGATGCATTGCCCTCAGGTCCTGCATGTGGGCTTCTCATCTTAAGGAGGTCTGCTATGACAGCAGAACCTCCATACCCAGAGACAGTCTACCTCTTAATACCATAAGATGGAAAACTGCTGTTGGAGAGCTGCTGTTGCTTGTGGGCTTCCCATTGCAGTATCTGGTTTGCCACTGTGAGAACAGGAAGCAGAACTAGATGGGCTCCTTTCAGCCTCATCCTGCAGCTTCAGGGCGCTTCTTACATCATCGCTACTCTTGCTATGCTTTCAGATCTGCTCAGAAAGTCAAGGGAGGGAAGGGTGCAAAGTTTCTTGAATCTTTAATCTCAACTTTAAGTGGTGATCTTGACATATTTGAGGCAAATACATTTTGAGGCTAATTCCTTTTTCCTCTCTAATCCTCCTTCCTGTTAACTGACATTTTAATCTCTCCCTTCAAGGCTCATTATGGGAGGTCTTTTTTCTCCATATGTTTATATAAGCCCGCAGGAAGAGAACTTACTTAAGAGAAATGAGCTTCAAGTGTCTCTTGGTTCCTTAAGCCCCAAATTAGAGTCTTTATCTCTTTAAATTTTAATTCATGCGCTGGATTTCAAAAGTCTTTCATCTGCCTTCACCCTCTCACCAGGTGCTCTCAGTGGGACAGATTCCCATTTCCAACTTTTCTTTTGCTCATTTGGGCAAATGTCAACATGCTGAAAACCCTCCACTTTGTTCTTGGACTCTTCTCCATCCTCCCCCCACCCCCCAAAAAAGAATTCTGGGAGTTGTAGTTTGGTGAAGGTGCTTAGGATTGTTAGGAGACCCCTATTCCACTTCCAGAGCTACAATTCCCAGAGTTCCCTGGGAAGAGGGATTGATTGTTAAACTGCTCTGGGAGAAGAACAGGGGTCTCCTAGCAAGTCTCTGCACCCTTAACAAGCTACAACTCCCATAATTCTTTGGGGGAAGCCATGACGGTTTAAAGTGGTGTCATAGTGATATTAGGACAGGTAAAATTGTTTTTGTATACAGCCACGGCTGCCAGGATGTTCTTTGCCCAGAGGTGGAAAGAGGACACTGTCCCAACAAAGGAAGAAAAGCAAGTAAAGTTAATGGACTATGCAGAAATGGCAAAACTTACGGGAAGATTAAGAATTCAAGAAGAAAGAACTTTCAACAAAGAATGGGGGAGACATGTGGATTATTAAAAATATATATTGTAAACATTTCAATACATGAGCAGGATTAATTTAAAATCTAGTGGTTAAAAGGTGACTTTGGAAGACTTACAAGAGTAATAAACAAAAGGTGCTAAGGAAGAGATACCGTTTTTTGCAAATGTTTGTATAGGGAACCAAGGAAGGGGAGGAGGGAAGTCTAAACAGCTACAACTATGTATGCACTCGTATTTGACGGTTATTTCTGTCAATTTGAAAAACTGAAAAATAAAATTTATTTTAAAAATAATTTAAAATAAAGCGGTGTCAAAGTGCTTTAAATGTACGGTGCGAACGTGGTGTTGGTCTAAGGCAACTTCCTGTGTTCCAGTTCTTAAAAACTAAGAAGATCCCTGCTGGATCAGGCCCATGGTCCATCTATTCCAGCCTCCCGTCCTCGCAGTGGCTGACCAGATACCCCAATGGGAAACACTCAAGCAGGATCCGAGCACAAGAGCCCTCTCCTCTTCTGTGGCTTTCAGCAACTGGTATTCAGAAGCATTGCTTCCTCCAACTGTGGTGGCAGAGCACAGCCATCATGGCTAGTGGCCATCGATAGCCCTCTCCTCCTCCATGAATTTGTCCAATCCTCTTTTAAGGCCGTCCAAGTTGGTGGCCTCCTGTGGGAGCAAGTTCTGGAGTTTAACATTTCACAGTGAGTGAAGAGGCAAGGTAAGTCCAGGTCTCCTTCCTTCTCTGCCTCCAAAGCCATCAGAGTTGGAGAAAAAGCCCTAACCAGCTTGTACTATGGCACCTCCTCCAAAACAAAGGAGAAACCCAGGAGCGCTGACCTCATTTGCCCCCGAGCCCAGGGTGCGTCAATCCCTCTGCCGTCGTGGCCATCTGTTTCCTGCTCCTCCGTGGCTCCCAATTAAGGACACGCTGGAGACACATTTGTGCCACCAGAACAAGCCACTTAGCACCATTCAAATATTCATAATGAACGGGGCGCAGAGGAATGCTTCAGAATGCATTTTTTTAAAAGACAACATTGCACTCGGCAGAAGCCGCAGGAGCCTCCAGGCAGCCTCCTGCGGAACAAGCCAGGCAACGGAGGATGTGTCAGGAAAGCAGAGTTCCTGCCATGAAGGACTTTAATAAGGAATCCGTCAGCGCTGGGGAAAGAGACGCTCCTTCCACCCCCTGGTATTTGTGTCCCATTACCCACACTTGGGTTATTTGTCTGGATAAGGCAGCCCTGCTGTGCTGGGGATTGGCATCACCGCAGGCCACTGCAACTTCTGGCATCTGAGGAGTTATGAGAAGAGGAAGGAGCGGGAGCAGCTCAGAGAAAATCCAAATTCCCATTTAGATCCTTCGCTCTCTTGGTTGCAGGAAGGAAGCACAGGTCGCCGCGACCCCATTATTACAGAAAATTGAGTTATTAATACATGCAGGAACCTAATAGCCGAGGAGTGGAAATCTGCCTCCCCAGCGACATCTCCAAACCAGAGGCTGCCTCATTTTTAAAAACAATTATCTAGAAAAGGGATGTCGCTTTCTTTCCTCACCATGTTAATTAAACGGTGGGGCAAGACCAACCTCCCTCCACTTACAAGGAGTCAGATCTAAAGGCCTGCAGATGTCCTGCTCGCTTTCTGCAAAAAATCATCATTTGGGGATTTCAGGCCAAACCTTCTCCATCAAAACAGGATACGGGGGCTAAATCAGGGCTGTCACATATGAACACACAGCTTCAGGTCTTGAGTGAAGGAAGTGCAATCCCAACACACAGGCAGGAAAAATGAACAAGGCTGATTTCTGAAAAATCCAACTGCTAGCAGAGAAACAACTGAATTGAACTTCAGGTGCCCCTGTGAGATTCTGTCTCGTTCTTGGTGAATTTCACAGAGTCCCTCTGAGGTTGAGGCTGTCACATTTGAATCATTGCGCGAGGAGCCTCTACCAGACATATAAATGCAACACCTGCCCATCATAACAACCTAAGGAGAGGCTGCTGGGATCAGGCCAATGGCCCATCTAGTCCAGCATCCTGTTCTCACAGTGGCCAACCAAATGCCACTATAGGAAACCCACAAGCAGGATTTGACCACAAGCACACTCTCCCTTCCTGCGGCTTCCAGTCATTGGCATTCTGAAGCATTGCTGCCTCCAACTGTGGAGGCAAAGCATAGCCATCTTAGTTAGTAGTAATTGATATCCCTCCTCTCCATTAAGTTGATGCTAGTTCAACTATATCCTAGGAAATTTATGGACGTGATGGTTTAGCATTGATGTATCCAATCACCGTTACTCTCTTATTGCAGAAATCTAGATCCAAACTAGGCACTTCTTGCTTTGAAGTCCACAGATGCCTCTCCTCTGAAGGCCCCCATTTTTTGCCTGGAGGAGAGCAGCAGAGTACAGGGTGACTCTCTGCTTAGCATCTGCATAGCCTGTGTCTTGGCATAATTCCACTTGCAACCACTGCAAATGCTCAAAGGAATACCTATGAGCTGGTGTCCGTGGCGTTGTCACGACAATCAATTTTCTAGAGTTGTCTGTATGATTCAACAGAGCGATTGTCTGATGAACACAAGACCCACGGAATACTCAGGTAATACAAAACCCATTCCACGGCTCATTCACCTCACCAGTTATTGTGGCTGCTATTATTTATTTATTATTATTGTTTTGATTTCTTCATCGGAGAAATGTTGGAGGGTATGGAATCACAGCTATGACATTTTCCAAAACAAAGTCTTCTCAGAACAGCTCACAATCATGGAATCCTGATGTTTAATCAAAATACCTTTTCATGCAATTCGCCCCTGCTGTTCTGTTTCCTGCCTTCTGGAGCAACAGAAATGAGGTCCATCACCTTTGTGAGAGTCCTCCTATATGTGATGACTATATTGCCTCCTCATCTCAAAATGCCCAACTTCTCCTGCCACCTTTCCTCCTAGGATTTGACCCTTCAGGCTCCTCACCATCTCCGATGCTCTCCCCTTTGGAAACATCCGAAGGCACCAATATCCTTAAAGAGGAATGCCTAGAAGTGGACCCAGAACATCAGGTGAAGTCTGACCAAAGTAGAACACAATGAGGCCATGACTTCTCACCTTCTGGATAGTATACTTCTTGTTGATGTAGCCCAGAATCACACTAGCTCTTTGTTGCAGCTGTACCACATAGCTGGCTCATGTTCAATTAGTCTACTAAAACCCCAGGTCCTTTCCCATTTTTTAAAATCAAGGAAGGTGCCACCCACCAGATGTATTTGTGCATCTGATCTTGCCTCGCGAAAAGGAGGATTTTACATTTATATTGGTTCAAATCCATTTGGTTGGCTTTGGCACAGTTCCCCCACTCTGTTGTTTGTTAAGGGTGCTGAAAATTGCAGCTCTGTTAGCTCTCTCTCTCAGGTTTCTTTGGGAAAAGCCATGTGCTCTAAATGTGTGTGATAGCACATGGTCGCTGCCTAAAGTCAAGCTAATTTGGTCTCAATAGGAATGAGACAGAAAATCTGAGTTCCGGCTGAAAGGATGCGTGCTTAGGTTAAAGCTAAGCATGCCTCTCTCTTGGGTCTGGGCAAAAAATAGTAAACCAGGTCGCTTAAGTTAAAAACTTAACCATAAAACTGTAGATTTTGGAAGGGACCCTAAGGGTCTTCTAGTCCAACCCTCTACAATGCAGGAATCACAGCTTAAAGATTCCCTGGAGGAGGCCAATTGACCTCTATTTAAAAGCCTCGAAGGAAGGAGAGTACTCCAGCTTCTAAAATAGTCTGTTCCACTGTCAAGCATCTCTTACCGTCAGACAGGCCTTCCTAATCAAAATAACACCGTCTTTGCTCCCATGGCTCCCAAACAAGCCCCATCCTTCACATTTCACAAGCATGGCCAAAGCTTTGCACCTTTGCCTACACAGCCTTGCACTTTCCAATGCCAGGATGGAGGAGCAGAGAAGTGCCTTGGGCTGGATGTTTGCTGTCCTCCCCGGACTACGCAGCCTCATAAAATAATGACTCTCCTAATAAGGTGCATTTGCTGCAGTGATAAGTGGAGCCAGGCGTCTTTGCTTGCGCTCCTGATTGGAGAGGACAATAAGCTCTAATCAGCATAGCCCTATTTTTTCCCTGCGTAATCTTCCAAAGCTGTTTATGGGAAGATTTCCGCTCTTTCGCTCCACTTCCAGACACAGCCTCCTCCTCTCCCCCCCCCCCCGCCTCAATTAACATGTTTCAAATTTAAAAATCTTGGCTCTTGGAGTTGGAGAGGCAGCAACAGCACAGCTCCCCACCACCCTGATGGAGGAAGGAGCAGGGGTCTATTTCCCATCAGCAACAGGAGCAACCCTCAAAATGCATTATTTTAGCAGTTGCTCTTTTACCATGGGACGCGGGTGGCGCTGTGGGTTAAACCACAGAGCCTAGGGCTTGCCGATCAGAAGGTGCGCGGTTCGAATCCCCGTGACAGGGTGAGCTCCCGCTGCTCGGTCCCTGCTCCTGCCAACCTAGCAGTTCGAAAGGACGTCAAAGTGCAAGTAGATAAACAGGTACCACTCCGGCGGGAAGGTAAACGGCGTTTCCGTGCGCTGCTCTGGTTCGCCAGAAGCGGCTCAGTCATGCTGGCCACATGACCCGGAAGCTGTACGCCAGCTCCCTCGGCCAATAAAGCAAGATGAGCGCCGCAACCCCAGAGTCGGTCACGACTGGACCGAATGGTCAGGGTCCCTTTACCTATTTGACCATGGCCCATGATGGGTGATCTCCAGGCCGTCACATCTTGTTTCAGGGGGCTGGACTAGTTGACCCTTGGGATTCTTCCAACTCTACAGAGTTCTATGATTCAGTGGTCATAGAAAGATTTTTATAGCCATTGGGAAGCAGCTTCTTTGAGCTGAAGAAGAATCAGGGTGGGCTGGATTCTGATTCCCCCCCCACCTCCAGTGGGTCAGGTTTGAAAGGTGGGTGGGGCTGCACACCTGTCAATCACCTGACACCACAATGACCACAAGTGGCCCATTTTTGCCTGGGCAGATTGAGATCAAGCATGGTGCTTTGCAGGCATCTCCAATCAGCTGGTGGTCGGTGCTTGTAAAGCCCCTTTCAACCCAGCCGCCTCTCTACAAGCCCCACACCTGCCCCATGCACAGCACCAGATATAGGGCAGGTGGGTGTATCTTGGCCAAAGGGAACCTAAGTGATGCGGCTACCGTCCTTAAAGAGATGTGACTTTTCTCTTTTGAAAAGCTGGCACCAGAGGGCTTTAGAAACTTGTTCACAGCTGGAGAGCTAACAGGTTTTTTAAAAATCCTAATACTTCAAAAAGGCCAGCCTTTCTATTTTGCTGGCCTTGACACGCTCTGTTTCTGCTTGCAGGGTGTGTTGCTTCTTAGAGTTCCTGAAGCTGTGATTAACTGTGATCCCTGCATTGGAGGGGGTTGGACTTGATGACTTCCTTATGTCTTTTCTAACTCTAGGTAAAGCTAAAGGGACCCCTGGCCATTAGGTCCAGTCGTGGACGACTCTGGGGTTGCGGCGCTCATCTCGCTTTATTGGCCGAGGGAGCTGGCGTACAGCTTCCGGGTCATGTGGCCAGCATGACTGAGCCGCTTCTGGCGAACCAGAGCAGCGCACGGAAACGCCGTTTACCTTCCCGCCGGAGTGGTACCTATTTATCTACTTGCACTGTGTGCTTTCGAACTGCTAGGTGTGCAGGAGCAGGGACCAAGCAAAGGGAGCTCACCCCGTCGCGGGGATTCGAACCGCCAACCTTCTGATCGGCAAATCCTAGGCTCTGTGGTTTAACCCACAGCGCCACCCGCACCCCTTTTCTAACTCTAGAATTGTTTTATTCTTTATTGTGGACAGTTCTTCATAGCACCAGCCACAAACTGAGCTGCTGTCATGCAGGGCAGGGGGTGGGACTGGGAGGCTCTCCTCCGTCCTCCTTAGCTGTTTACCAAGGATCATTTCTGCATGGAATAATTTCAACCTCATACTTTTCGTTTGTGCAAATACATCTCCCCAAATACCACAATGCACATGCCTGCCTTGTCTTGTGGAATGGGCACATGGATGTATAAGTTGTAACAGCCTGGTGCCTTCCAGATGTTTGAGACTATAACTCCCACCAGTCCCAACCAGCAGAGCTGAACGATGCTGAGGCTGATGGGAGTTGTAGTCCAAAGCATCTGGAGGGAACCAGCCTGAGGAAGACCCAGCCCACAACTGAACAGACCTGGCTGAAACAAAGCCGAGAGAGGCCAGGTTTTGAAGACACGCCTCAGGGAAAGAGTTCCATAGCTGTGGAAGAAGAAGAGTTTTGGATTTGATATCCCGCTTTATCGCTACCCGAAGGAGTCTCAAAGCGGCTCACAATTTCCTTTCCCTTCCTCCCCCACAACAAACACTCTGTGAGGTGAGTGGGGCTGAGAGACTTCAGAGAAGTGTGACTGGCCCAAGGACACCCAGCAGCTGCATGTGGAGGAGCGGGGAAGCGAACCCGGTTCACCAGATTACGAGACTACCACTCTTAACCACTACACCACACTGGATTTGAGGAATCATGAGGGAGAAGGTAATTATTAGGGCAGCCTTCCTCCACCTGGCACCTTCCACATGTTTTGGACTACAGGTCCCATCAGCCTAGGCTGCCTGGGGCTGATGGGAACTGTAGTTCAAAACATCTGGAGGGCGCCAGGTGGAGAGAGGCTGGTGTGCTTCATGGGCAGAACAAATCCTGCCCCAGGCAGCATCTTACCAAATGAATAAAACAGCACAACAAAACACCCCCAGTGGACAAAGGCTGGAAGCCCAGATAAGGCATTAAGGCACTTGGCAAAACGGGGGGAAATGAGGCAAAGAATAAACACTTCCTGCACCCGAGTGAGCCTCTCGTGCAAACATCTTGCAGCACCTTAAAAGAGGAGCAAAGGGAGCTTTCTGGAAACGGGGAGCCCTAGTCAGCAGAAATGGCTGCCTGAGACATAGCCAGGGGTGGCTGGAAGGAGGAAGGAGGAAGGGGGATGGGGCCTGGTCCTTTACCCACCAAGGAGCTGCCTGCCTGCCTGCAAATCTCTCTCTTAGGAGAAAGTCCTCGGGAGCCCTCACAGGATCATGAGCTCCTGTGTCGTGAGCAAACCAAATACATGTGTCCTCAAAGACTCTCTGTTTTGCACTGCATCTTTGAAAAGGAAGGAATCGTTAAGCGCCCCCATGTGCAAAAGGAAGGTTCCATCAAAATGAGGGGGGATGGGGAATAGATGAGAAGAAGAAAACCTCCAGCCAGGAAGCGACCACCTGATGTGAAATAAGTCATTGTATGCCAGGCAAGCGAGGTGGAAATGAAGGAATCACATAGTACATAGGCTTTTTTTAAAAAGGCTTCTTCAGCAGAGGTCAGGCATCCTCAGAATCCCACCGGCAGCCTTCCTCTGCTGCAGCTGCTCCCCCTGAAACCAGGACCATGGCATCTCCACTCCCCTTCAGAGGCTCACAGACAGTGTCACAGCTCAGAAAATGCAACCAGGGAAGCATGCTGGCCAGGAAATGAGGCAGGATCCGGCCCTGGACCTTCTCAGCCCCTCAAATCAAAGAAAGGGTAAAGAGAGAGAAAGGGGAGTCAAGGAAATAACCCCACCACCACTCAAGTCATACTCAGAGGAGACCCATTGAAATGAATGCATCTGAGTCAGTTGTGTTCATTAATTTCAATGGATCTACTCTGAAAGGGATTAACACTGGACACAACCCCTTGGTTTCAACACTGCTTTAGGCTGAGCTGCTGCTCTTACTCAGGAGTAAGCCCTACTGTGGGACTTGCTTCTGAGTTTATGATTATTAATATTGTTTTGTGGATTATGAGTCATGTAATGCTTTGTGAACTTTATGACTTTTCTTGTGGTTGTGCTGTGGTTTTTAATGTTTTAATAGTGTTTATTTAGGACTTATATAATTTATATATAATATATATATATTATATATATATAATTTTATATAATTTATGTTGTGATTGTGATGTTCTACTATATTATTTATTGTATGTAAGCCGCATTGGGACTCATGTGAGTGAAAAGCAGCATAGAAATAGAATGAATGAATGAAACACACACCTGGCCCTCAGAACTCTCCCCAAGCCATGCTCTTCATGCAGGATACATGGGTGAGAGTGTAGAAACCAGCCTATAGCACAAAGGCAAAATTTACATTTGTTGCTCCACCTCCTTTTGCCTCTGTTATGTACCGAGTTGAATAGGATCCAAAAGGCAGCAGTCTGATTGGTCCTAGAACAATGCAGCAGTATGATTGGTCCGCAGGAGCCACCCAATCCAGCTCCAGGTGGAAGTGAATCCGCAACCTGATTGGCCTACAGGAGAATCCCGGAATTAGCCAATCACGTGTGGCCCATTGTGTAAATAATGTATATAAAGCAGATATTTTGGGGGAACTTCCATTCCTCACTACTATGAGCTGAATAAAGAGCATGAAATCCACACTCGACTCCGAGTATATTTCACTCTGTCCCCATCAGCCACTGGCGCGTGGCCCCCAGAAGGTTGCCCAGATGAAAATGCAGCCCCTGGAATAAAAAAGGCTCCCATTCTTGTGCTGTCGCATTGTTTAAAACCATTTTTATGGGGGACTTCCGGGTTAGCGCCATCGGCGAATGGCGCAGTTCCTCCGAACTGGCTCCGTGGAAACGGTCTTCCCGCCGCGGCGAAGGTGGGGACCCGCTAGAAATCCCAGGTGGAGGAAGCCTGGGAACGTGGGGTTCGGCAGGGCACCAGGAGTGCCTCCCCTACTCACGGGGAACCCCATTTCGGGGTTCCGGAGTGAAGTGGGGTGAGCGGCGCGGTGCTGCGAACTGATTGCTACTTTCACGGAGTGAAGCCGCACAGCCATTGCCGGAGAGCGCTGACTTTTTCCTGTGGACAACTGGATTTGAAACAAGTACCCATGAGTAGAAACGGAAAATTGGATTAAGAAATACCCTAATTTGGCACCGAAGCGGGAAGGTTCAAACAGGAAGTCCGCCTTCCGCTTTTTGTACATAGACTGAAGCAAAAACCTTGTAAGCTAAAGTCTGGAAAGTCGTTAAAAAAGTCTAAATTTCCTTCATTTATAACCACTAAAACCCCCTTGGAAGCAGGAGAAAAGGGGGGGGGGATCTTTGTTTAAGCCTGCAGGAGAGGGAGTGAAGAAAGATAAGTTTCCACCGTCTCAAACCTGGGAACGGGGGGTCAGAGACAGAAATTGTTGGAAAGGTTCACTGACTGTGAATGGAATACTTTGACAGATAGCTAAAGAAGAGAAATAAACTGATTCCAATGTTGCCTTCTGCATTCTAAAGAAACAAAATATCTGAAATATGAAAGTAATTTTCCTTTGTTGGACTTGCCTTAAAAAGATGGATACAAATAGAAATTGTCTCCTCTAGAGGGAGCTTGTTAAATTGTTGCTGCAGTCTACTTGAGACTCAACAGCTGTGAGATTAAGATCGTGGGACCAGTCCTTTTGACCTCGAATAAAAATGAGCTGGGAGGAAGTTTTGGTGCTTGCTTTATGCAAGGTAAGTGCCTTGTTGGAACAGATGCATGAGAAGATGGATCTGATGAATGAGAAAACGGATTTGATGACTGTTGTGGTCAATAACTGTGGACAAACAGGGAATATTGATACAGAAACCATTCAGGGACCAACTCAGGAACCTGTATTGATGGGGCAAGTGCAGAAGATAATGGAGGAGGTTGCGGTTGCACCTCAAATAATACAAATGGAGAGACCCGAGGCCCTACAGGAGCATAAGCCGCTGTTTTTGAAGATTGAAGTTGGAGTGGGCCAGGGGGAGTCTGGAGCTGAGGAGGTTCTTAACTTCGGAGGGACTTTGAAATATGCTCTTAAATATTTTTTGGATTACATTGATGACTGTGGGGAGTGCGACTGTGGGGAATGGGCTGGTTTGATGAAGGGAGATGGAGATAATCTTGGGCTGGAACCTCCCAGAGACCTACTCCTCAATGAGAAAGGAAAGAAATTAAGAAAGAGACCAACAAAAGACAAGGAAAAGTGCAGGTATAAACAACAAGAAGAAGATCTGCAGAAGGGACATGGAAGAGACTTAAGAGCCTCGGACATAAGATTACCAGGTTGATGGACTAGATGGAATGGACAGTAAGGACTGACATGACCCGAGACCAGGAAGAAGAGACGCTGGATGAAGATTGGAAGAAAAATTATAAAGAAAATTTTTTATTTAGGGAATTAGCCTAAAATTAATGAATATTAGAGAAAAATGTTGGAATGAAACTATATGGCTTTAGGACGCGGGTGGTGCTGTGGGTAAAAGCCTCAGCGCCTAGGGCTTGCCGATCGAAAGGTCGGCGGTTCGAATCCCCGCGGCGGGGTGCGCTCCCGCTGCTCGGTCCCAGCGCCTGCCAACCTAGCAGTTCGAAAGCACCCCCGGGTGCAAGTAGATAAATAGGGACCGCTTACCAGCGGGAAGGTAAACGGCGTTCCGTGTGCTGTGCTGGCTCGCCAGATGTAGCTTGTCACGCTGGCCACGTGACCCGGAAGTGTCTGCAGACAGCGCTGGCTCCCGGCCTATAGAGTGAGATGAGCGCACAACCCTAGAGTCTGTCAAGACTGGCCCGTACGGGCAGGGGTACCTTTACCTTTACCTTTAGAAATGATATAAGGAGTTATGTATAATTGAGTATTAAGTTTCAAGCTCTAAGGTATTTTACGGTAAGATAAGGTTAAATAAATTAAGGTAATTTGAATAACAGAATATGGGGAAAGATGGAAAGGATTTGTTGAGTTAATTAATAGGTTAAATTGTTAAGATAAATTATTCAATAAAAATTGAGAAAGATGGAAAGAATTTGCTGAAAATAACTAATTAAACTAGAATACAAAAAGGGAGGTGTGAGGAGGTCAATGAAACAGGCAAATGGAAGTTAAAGATATGTAACATGGATTTGTGTCGGGTTTTTCCCCGTTTTTTTATCTTTTTGCTGTATTGTTGTATTGGTTTTTATGCTTTGTTTTTTTTCTTCTTTTTTATGTATTGTAGTGTTGTTTCCTATTTTTTCTTTTTTTCTGTAATTCTGAAACTTTTAATAAATATTATTTTAAAAAATAAAATAAAACCATTTTTATGCTGTGCTATCCTTGTGGGCTGCTCTAGGCTCCCTTTGAGGAAGGAGGAGTGCCAGCTACCACCATGAAACCAGACAGAGCTCTCTCCTGTGGCTCCTCCCCTCAGAGCGACGCTTGAGGTGGTGGCCTTGCTTCCGCCGGCGCTATTTGTCCCCATGTGCTTTTAGGGTCCTTTGATATCATTTTAATCATTCTGATTGCTGCTTTAATGTTTGATTGCTGCTTTGATGTTTTAATTATGGAAGCAGTCTATAAAAACCCTTTAAATGCAGAATAAAAATGACTGTATTCATTTATTTAATGGAAAATAGCTGTTGGTAGACTTTTCTGCATGGATCTGGCACTTAAATGGGGGCAGGAGTCAGACTGTCGGCAGTGAATCTGTTCCTTTGCAGGATTTTTGTCTTCTTCCCTATTTTAAATATTGATTATATTTTTATGGGTTTCTTTTTACTTGCAAACCCATCCTGCGATAATGGAAGTGGTGAAGTACAACCAACCAATCAAGGAAGCCATTTAGGTCATTGGCAAGTGTGATGTCCTGAGGCAGCAAGTTCCACAAGTTAACTCTGAAATGCCAGAAAGTTCTTCTCTTTGTCTGTTCTCAACCTTCTTAGCCCATAAACTTCTCGGTGACCCAGAGTCCTTCTATTCGGAGGGTGTGGGTGGATGCAAACCTTTCTACGATGTTCTTAGAGACAATATATAGCTATTATTACTAATAGCCACTGATAGCCTTATTCTCCATGAATTTGTTTAAGCGCCTTTCAAAGCTGCCCATGGTGGCAGCTATTAATACATGCAGGGGCTATACAGTGGTACCTCGGGTTACATACGCTTCAGGTTACATACACTTCAGGTTACAGACTCTGCTAACCCAGAAATAGTGCTTCAGGTTAAGAACTTTGCTTCAGGATGAGAACAGAAATCATGCAGTGGCGGCAGCAGGAAGCCCCATTAGCTAAAGTGGTGCTTCAGGTTAAGAACAGTTTTAGGTTAAGAACGGACCTCCGGAACAAATTAAGTACTTAACCCGAGGTACCACTGTATAGGATTTCAGACAGGGAGTTTCCCCCAGCTCTACCTTGAGATGCCATCAGAAACTGAACCTGTGACCTTCTGGATGCAAAGCAGATGTTCTACGCTTCCCCTCACGCCAGATCATTTAATGAACATGTTCCAACTCATGGCTCCCTACTGCTGGGCTGAACTTCTGAAAATCCTCAAGTCTAGCCTGGAAGGGAGTTTGCATAGGCATGGGTAGGCAAACTAAGGCCCAGGGGCCGGATCCGGCCCAATCACCTCCTAAATCCGGCCCGCGGATGGTCTTGGAATCAGCGTGTTTCTACATGAGTAGAATGTGTCCTTTTATTTAAAATGCATCTCTGGGTTATTTGTGGGGCACAGGAATTCATTCATCCCCCCCCCCCCAAAAAAATATAGTCTGGCCCCCCACAAGGTCTGAGGGGCAGTGGACCGGCCCCCTGCTGAAAAGGTTTGCTGACCCCTGGTAGAGGGAAGAAAGTCCTTCTAGGTGTTTAATAAGAGGAAGTTGCATGACTTAAAGCAGGTGCTTTTTTGTATAGCAAAATGTTCTAAAAAGGTGCACAGCAGCTCTCTGCTTGCCATCTCAAGGAGGTTCTTACTTTGCCTGCAGGGTTTAACATTTCAAAACAAGAATTCATTTAAATGTTTTTTTTCTTTTTTGTTGTTGTTCCCATTAGGGACTCGACACACACAAAAATCTTGCTGAAGTAATGTTGAATTTTCGCATTAATTTCTCCTCCCTCCTTGATCCCCTCCTTAACTTATCAAAGCCATGAAACAGGACTTAGTTTCCCACCCAAAGCTGTGAGATGGAGAAGAGTTGGAGATGGCTGAAGATGGAGGCACAGCACCCCTGAAACAAGGTCAGGGTGCCCTTTTTGCCAGAGACACAATCGATGCAGGCAAAGGAAAAACAGTGTGGGATGGAGTGGTAAGTGTTGAATTATTAGGACCTGGGAGACCCTGACCATTAGGTCCAGTCGTGGCTGACTCTGGGGTTGCGACGCTCATCTCGCTTTATTGGCTGAGGGAGCTGGCATACAGCTTCCGGGTCATGTGGCCAGCATGACTAAGCCGCTTCTGGCGAACCAGAGCAGTGCATGGAAACGCTGTTTACCTTCCCGCTGGAGTGGTACCTGTTTATCTACTTGCACTTTGACATGCTTTTGAACTGCTAAGTTGGCAGGAGCAGGGACTGAACAACGGGAGCTCACCCCGTCGCAGGGGTTCGAACCACCAACCTTCTGATCGGCAAGTCCTAGGCTCTGTGGTTTAACCCACAGCACCACCCACGTCCCTAGGACCTGGGAGAACCAGGGTTCAAATCCCCACTTGGCCACGAGGCTCACCGGGTGACCTTCTGCCACTCACCACCTCTCAGCTTAACCTACCTCACAGGGTTGTTGTGGGTATTAAATTAAATGGGGCAGAACCACGTGTACCACTTGGAGCTCCTTGGAGAAGAGGGGGGATATTAACACAAAATATAAAATAAAAAATGAACGGCACAGCTAGGTGGCAGTGAGAGAATATTGCAGAGGCAGGATTTTAATCTAGAGTAAGGAACGCAATCGGAGATGGAGGCAGCATTTCCAGGGGAGGAAACCCACTCATTTCTCCAAGTCACCACTTCCCTGCTGCTGCTGCTGCTGCTGACTTCCTCTCTTCCAGAACCTGTATGCATTGGATTATTCAAGGTGGAGTTGTGGGCAGACAGTCTCCAGGGCCTGGCTAATTCAATTGCACACATCCATTCATGCAAGGTTTGCGCAATCACCCCGGGGCCCAAAGGAACCAAAGCTTGTGGCTTGGTGGCACATGGTGTCGCTCCTGACAACGAGCCCCACACAGCCTCCCTGCACCTGAAATCACACAACCCGACAGCTATATTCGTGACACACGCCTCCTGTTTCCAGTTTCCCATTTATCAGCTGAGCACCTGTAACGAGACACCATCCAACTGCCATGAAATAAATTAGTCTTCTCAGGCACAGATATGCAGAAATGCTCCCCCAGCCACGAGCATTTTACGACAGGCCTTTCAAGGTGCGCTCCCTGAAATTTCCTGTCGCATGAAGGGACCTAGTCTGTCTGCCTGTCTCTCCCGCTCCCCATTCTGGCCTTAAAACTCCTCATTCCCAGGTTTCATCTTGTTGTACTCTCCCATTGCACTGCTAAAGGGTCTCTAACTGCTCCATGTGAAAGCCACTGTCCCCTTTGATGTGACCTAGAGAACAGCTGCTGCTCCAGGGATGCAGAGAGATTAACGTTGTGCCTGATTTGCTCTGCCTTTGAGGTGGAGTAAGAGGCATCCAGGTCTGAACTCCAACACAGTAACATAAGAGGAGCCTGCTGGATCAAGCCAGTGGCCCATCTAGGACAGCATCTTGTGCTCACAGTGGCCAACCAGATGCCCTTATGGGAAATCTGCAAGCAGGATTTCAGCACAAGAGCAACCCTCCCCTCCTGCAGTTTTCAGAAACTGGTTTTCAGAAGCATCACTACCTCCAATTGCAGAGGCAGCGAATAGCTATCATGGATGGCAGCCATCAATAGCCCTCTCCTCCATGAATTTATTTAATCCTCTCTTTTAAAGCCATCCAGCTTGGTGGCCATCACTGCCTCCTGTGGAAGGGAGTTCCATAGTTTAACAATGCACTGCATGGAGATGGGCTTTCTTTTATCCACATCTCAGGTTCCTCTTTGCCAGCCGACTCCCAGCCAGCCCTCTTTCCAAGCCCTGCCATGACCGTGCTGATGATCCCTTTGAAAAGAATGCTTTTTTTTGCGGATAATCGGAACACACTTTCGCCTAATTAGAAAGGTATGTGGTGCTCTCTGCTGGTCAAGGTGGGGAGGAGCAACCAAAGGAATTACTAAAATTAAAATGGAAAATGCATTTGCTTCTGGAAGGAAGGGCTCAGCCCCATCGGTCTACCCCTTTCAGCATGATGCACTTCCTTGGAATAATCTGAAATGTAAGGTGTGAAGAATGGAGGTAGGGGTGCTCAGGACAGCCTCCCATACTCCCTCCCTTACCCAACTGCAACACAACAGCCCTGCAGTGCTGCTAGTTGAGTCTTACTCTCCAGTACCTGCTGCCACCGCCCCCTTTTTGTCACCCACAACCCCAGAACCAAAGGGGGAAAACTGGGGCTGCATCAAAGCGCTTAATTTGAAAAGGCTCTGAGATCGTGCACCCGGCACACAAATTACTGGGGAATGTAGGGCCAGCTCCCAGCTGCCTTATCCTGGTCCAATTTCAAAGCATCTTGTTTGATTCCCTGGCAGACCCCCGCTAAACTACCTAAAACCCAAGAACTCTGAGGCCAAAGCACTCTGCATTTCCCAGACAGTTCCCTTATAAGCCACTCAGGGCGGAAAGGCTCCCTACACTCTCCAAGATGTGGGAAGAATGTGCTGGTCCCTTGCAACTCTGACCCTTCATTTTCAGGAGCATGGAGCCCAAGCATCTAGGCATGCAGATTCTGAGGCTGGAAGGTGCACACATTTCAGTGGTGATACCGTGGGAATTAACTTGAACTAAATAGTAGGGTAGTAGAGCTGAAAATAATGCCAATATATTTAACATCTGGCAGACAAGTCTAAAAAGCCTGGGACACAAATTTTCACAACCCTCTAGCAGCTATGGTAGCTCATAGACCAGAAGTAATGTATTTAGCGTTAACTCTGAAAGTGTATACTTGATTCTGACCAAACTAAGCCTCCTAGAGCAAAATATACATCAGAGAGAGTGCAAATCAAACTTGGAAGTCAGGGAGTTTTTCAGCTGAAAACTTTTAATTCCCAGGAGACGTGTGTGTGTGTCTAGTGCTATTTTTGTCTTACTTAGTCTGAAAATCTCCGCCAGCTGCTAGACAATAGACACACACATGTGGCCAACTCTTGACCTTCATGAGGAGAACTGTCAGATCAGAATGAACTTCTGAGAAAATCTGATCGAGGGGGTGGTTATTTGGACTGACAGTCACAAGAACCAGAAGCAGCTTGGTATTTCCATGGGACTCGTGCAAAACACAAATCCTGTTTCTGGGGGAAATTAGCAAAACAAGGGCAAAAATTTCATCATCACAAAGAGATCAATCTTGTCTTCCATGTACTTTACAGAAGACACTACCCTTTACAATCAAGGAGGAAAGGGGGATGCTATAAATAACTGAATTCTGTTTATTACAGGGAAAAAATGCTATCCACTCATTCATCACACCCGAGTGATGTGCTATCTTAGCACCTATGCTAATCCCCACAATGGTGAAACAATCTCCCTGGTCTATAAACCCCCATTTTCCATTCATTTCAATAAAGGCCTCACTAAGGAATTTTGTCAACCCCTCTTTCTGTGGAAATCCTGTCGGTTTTTTTCAATCTTTCAGCGAATACCCCAATGTGAGTATTTAACTTTCCTTTCCCTCCAAATCTCTTATTTCAGGTTTTGGAAACAGTGTCAGCGTTCAGCAACCAAAACACCCTCCATTTCCAAATAATTCCCATCAGCCACTGTATTAATTTGTCTCATCTCCTTTTAAAGTGAGTTTCTATCATCAGCCTGTCCTGCAGCAGGGAGTTCCGCCAATTAATTAAGCATATGCTGTGAAAAGAAGTCCTCCTCTCTGACTGTCCAGAATGCCTCAGCACCACTGGCATCCACAAGGATGAGACAGAGAGAAAAATGGATCTCTCCCCGCTTTCTCCACACAAGGCATAATTGTATACAGTGGTACCTCATGTTATGTACTTAATCCGTTCCGGAGATCCGTTCGTAACAGGAAACCGCTCGTAACATGAGGCGAGCTTTCGCTAATGGCGCTTCCAGCTGCTGCTGTGCCGCCGAAGCGCGACTTCCGCTTGCATCTCAGGGCAAAGGTTGCAACAAGGGGCATCTACTTCTGGGTTAGCGGAGTGCATAACCCGCAGCATTCGTAAGGGGGACAGTATGAAACACGAGGTACCACTGTAAATGTATGTCATGTCCCCACTGAAGTAACCTTTTTGTAAACTGAAAACAGGTAAACAGGTTCCTTTCCTTGTCAGATTACAGATTACAGATTACCATTTAGAGGGCACTTTCCCACATTCCTTTCCAGTTCTACAATATAAAATTTAACAACAACAACAACATCCCGCCCATCTGGCTGGGTTACCCCAGTCACTATGGGTGGCTTCCAACACATATAAAAACATAATAAAACATCAAACTTTTCAATACAGGGTTGCCTTCAGGTGTCTTATACAAAAGTTGTATTGTTATTTATCTCCTTGACATCTGACAGGAGGGTGCTCCACAGAGTGGATGCCACTACCAAGAAGGCCTCCTGAAGGCCCTCAGAGCTGGGATGGGAAGATCAGAACAGCACACAGTATTCCAAGCAAAGCTACCCCATAGATTTGCATGAAGGCATTTTCAGTCCTTTCCCTAAATTATTCCTAGCATGGAATCTGCCTGTCCATAAGATAAGAGCAGCAGGGAAGCAGGTCTCCTAGGGTGATTTGCCTAAGATGTCGCTGTCTTCCTAGAGCCAAGTGCAAAGGGTCTCATGCCTGTTTCTGTAGGAATCTGCCTTATACCAAGTCAGAACGCCAGTCCATTTAGCTCAATATTGTCTACACTGACTGGCAGCACCACAGCAGGGTTTGGGGCAAGGGACATTCCTAGCTCTAACTGGAGACGCTGTTGAATTTGAACCTGGGATATTCTGCATGCAAAGCAGGGGCTCTACCACTGAGCTACGATGGTTCTACCATTAGAAAGGGTAAGATTATTTTGGTCCGGGTGGCAAAGAGGGTGACTGGCAAGGGCTCAGCCTCCTTTCCCCAGACAGACCCTTTTTAACATGAAAGCAGGAACTATTATCCCAGATAGAGGATTCTGACATCAAGTCTCTGCAGCCTCACTCCATGAACAGAGCAAGTGGAGAGTTCTGGGGGTGGAAGGAAATGACTCCATCTCACTTAACGCAGCCCGCAGGGGTAAACTCAGCAACCCTTGTCCTATTCCAGAGGCGTATAATGAAGTGCCCAATCCATGCTAACCCCATTGCAGCCATGGCCTTTTGGCCGTCAGTGTCTCTCGCTGGAATAATCTAATTGCTTACATTTGGTACTAGACTCTATTCAAGGGAATCATCAATCTGAGGACATAGGCAGCTGAGTGCAATAAGAGATTTTTGCTTTGCTACATACTAGGCTCCAAAAGGCACCTGTTTGGGGGGTGGGGCAAGAGGGGGCCACCAGCCTTGATCTCACACAAAATGCAGTTTGGTGATCCTCAAATGCATCCCAGTTGACTCTTTGTTAGTTGGGAGAAGCCAACAGATTTAAGCAAAAGCAAATGCCCCAAAGCTGCAAAATAATCGCCTTCTGCAATATTTGCAAAAATGCTTTGGTGGTTGGCAAAAGCCGCGATGCCAGAGCATGCAGCTTAAACAGCTGAGCCTAGCCCAGGCCTCCAACTCCAATTACATTTGTGGCTTTGCTTTTAACAGCAGCAAATACAGCTCACCAACAACCTTTTCCGCAGGACTCAAAATGTGCCCAGACGGGGCCAACCCAAACTGCCTGCAGGATGGAAATAATTAGCAGAGCTGCACGCTCTGTGGTTTTCTCAATCGCCTCAACCATAAAATGGGAGCAATTAGAACCCAGGCCCATTGGGGATTGTCGGAAGGGGAGGAGGAAGACGCTTCTCCGGGCTGCAAAGCAGGAATGGAAATAGAAGCAACTTTTGTTCTCTGTCGATAGCAAAGTCCATTTTCTGACTCTCCTCCAGCCTCCAGTATAACCACCCTCCCCAAACAAGGGCTAAAATGCATTGCAAATCCCATTACGTTAAGTGAGGAGAGGTCAGCCCCTTCAATTACTGCAAGGTTTTTAGCTGGGTGATAAAGTGTTCCAGGGAGAGATGACAGCGATGCCTTTGGAGCCTCCCCCACCGAGAAGAGCAATCATTTTTGTGACACACGCACGCACAGTCCAGCGCAGCAGAGGCTGCCCAGCTCACAGACACAGTGCTCAGCCATCCCAACACGTCTCCACCAGAAGGATGCTAACGGGGCACAATCTCCGCTCTGTGCTCTGAGGCTCCTGCGCTGCTCAATGGCAGCTTCGTGCCTCCTCGCTTGTGCTTCTGATATTTGGAGCCTGTCCTTTCAAATCCTACCCTGCTGTTGCAGGAGAGGAACTGTGAGCAATCTCATATGTGCCTCATTTTATTTGTAAGCCGCTTTCCCACAAAAAATATGCTTATGGCAGCTTACAGCAAAGGAAGCAGGAAAGTATTTCAAAAGCAAGGCTGCAAAACAATTTCATAACAACCCAGTAGCAAATGGAACATACCAAATGTAAGTTACCTTGTTATCTAATAGCAGCTGTATTCAACAGCAGGGGCCACCCTTTTCCTTTTTTACCTATTTTTTAAAAACCCCAGCGACGACGTTGCTCACCGTCTTCTCTCATCATGGATGGGGTCTCTCTAGGACCAACATAAAACTATAAAGCCCCCTTGTTATTTTTGGTCCTGGATGCTGCAAATGTAATCTTATATGGTACTGAAATGTTGCTTTTTGTAAGTTATTATATTTGCTATTGTGTTTTGCTGTATTGTTGGGAAATTGTTTTTGTACTGTTTGGCATGCCTGTTTTCTTTGTCGTAAGCTGCTTGGAGCACGGTGTGTGTGTAGAAAAGCAGCATACAAACAAATGAATGCATTTTAAACAAGGCAGGGAAAGGGCAGTTTGCAACCCAACCCCAAAAATTCTGATGCAAAAAAATCAGAATGGGGGCCTGATTGTAAGGCTGCCCACAGGGCTGCCCACTCTTCTCCCAATAGCCAAATGATGCTCCTTCATGCCCACTCTCTCGGTGTGGCCATGGCTGTTCCTGGAGTAGAAGCCACCTTCTTGGGGAAAACATCCTTCCAGGGCACTGCCCCTCAACCTGGTGCCCTGCAGAAGTTTTGGATTACAGCTCCCATCAGTCTTAGCCAGTACAGCTGTCCAAAACCATCTGGAGGGCACCAGCTTGAGGAAGGATGGCCTAGGCCATCTCACAGCTTTTCTACTCCTGTGCCAAGGCCAAGTTCAGGCTCTGTCTCTGAGTGCCACCAGCCTGGTCTCCACGTTGCCATTCCCCCATTCTTCTGATCAGCCACTCTGAGGACAAGTCTGAGCACACACTTTTGTGGACTGCAGCCAGGGTGCTCCCACTACTGGCTTGGGAAGGAGTGTGTACACATCTGCCAAATCCATATTGTTGTGATTTTGGCATGGGGGGTGGTGGTTAAGTCTGAATGTTGCCCTGAGTCTCTTCCCATTCTTGGGTTCCTGTAACCATGGGGCTGAAGCAGGCATAGGCAAACTCGGCCCTCCAGATGTTTTGGGACTACAACTCCCATCACCCCTAGCTAACAGGACCAGATGGTCAGGGTTGATGGGAATTGTAGTCCCCAAACATCTGGAGGGCCAAGTTTGCCTATGTCTGTGCTAGAGGGTGTGAGAGCAAGTTTGCCAGAATAATCCCTTTGCCTAACAATAGTTTTGGGCCAGCTAGTCATGGAAGAGAATCATAGGATTGTCAAGATTATTTTTGCATGCAACCACTGCAGCGAGAACATTATATGCCCAAACATGGCAAAATGATGCAATACCTATGAAAGAGGAGTAGCAGGTGAAATTGATGGAATACGTCAAATTAGCAAGTTTATCCAGTAAAATTTGGAGGTCTTTAAGCAGAGGCTTGACAACCATATGTCAGGAGTGCTCTGATGGTGTTTCCTGCTTGGCAGGGGGTTGGACTCGATGGCCCTTGTGGTCTCTTCCAACTCTATGATTCTATGATTCTATGAAAGGGACCAGGAGTGTCATCTGGTCCAGTCCTCTGCAATGCACTATGTTAAGCACCATGTTACCCAAAGAAGTTTTCCCAAACCAGCTTTGATCCGGATAACTGTGCACATAGCCCTAGTTTCAAGTTGGCTCAGCTCAAGAGGAAGCATGAAGGACAGCCAGCCAGGCGTGAGCCCCACCCCAAGAGGACTATTCCAAAGAGAGTGGAAGCCTTCCTTTTAGGGGTAATTGGATCAGAAGCACCAAAGAATCGAACGAACTTATTTTTGCATGCGACCACTGCAGCAAGAACATTATATGCCCAAACATGGCAAAATGATGCAATACCTATGAAAGAGGAGTAGCAGGTGAAATTGATGGAATACGTCAAATTAGCAAGTTTAACCAGTAAAATTAGAGAACAAGGTGAGATAATTTTTAAGGAGGATTTGAAACTGTTCATAGATTATTATTTTTTTAAAAAAATATCCTATTGTAT